CGCAGTGATTGATTAAACCTCATGGTGATCAATTAAACTTTATTGTAGCCAGACACTGACCGGTACTGAGAGGAAGGAAGCCCATCAAATCAATGAGTCCGGCCTCTATACAAACCAAGGCGTGTATTTGGTAAGATTGAATCGGGGTGGTGCTTTCTCCTCATTTGGACTCCATCCCTAGCCTAGCCATCAACAAACAACTAAAGCATTCATACATCCCACAGAAGCACAATTGCTAAACTGAAAAATACTTAACAATGAACCCAGCTGAAAATACCAAGAATGCCTTGACAAGAGGGGCTAAGTAAACCAGTAACGTATTGCCCTATACTGGTGCTCAATAAATAATGATATAAACTACCAGAAGTCAGGGTTGACCAAAGTGAAAGTTGCGGAGGCTTATGGACTTGTTTGCTTCAGGAAAGCTGTAAGTCATAAAGACCAAGGACAGTTGAAGCATGTCAACAGAACACAAAGTTTCAACATCATTGCTGATAAAACATTGTTGCTAGCCACACAATAATAATAATAATCCTAGCATGTGATAGAATGCCTCATTACGCCTCCTAGAAGCCTCAAAGCACTTCACAGAATATACTATAAAATGAATTGACTGTATATTTTGTAGGCAATCCACGGCAGCCAATTGCTTGCACACAGCAGTGTTCCACAAACAGTGGATTGAGTGACCAAATTTTTTTTGAAGGAATTATTGCCCCCGGAAAAGCGATCCACCAATAGACTAACAACCGGGTGCCTACTTACTGCTAGATAAACAGAGGAGTGTGGAGTAAGGAAACTTGCCCAACCTTTCGCATTAAATCTGTGGTACTCAGATTTGTTTAAAACAAACTGCTGGAATTTTAATTGGCGACAGGAGGAGACTATCTGACTAAAAAGATGTATTTGTGGAGCTGAATTCCACATGTCTTGACAAAGTCAATGTGTCTCAACGAAAGAAGAGCAGAGATTTGGAAAACGGACTAGCTCCCCCATAACCAACATCTTAAAAGGAATTACAAGGGTTCACAAGAAGAAAAAGATCAAGACAACCGTCAACATACTGACCAACAATCGACACATAAAAATCCTGGTACCAGCCGGTCAGTTGGTTCTTGCTCCACCTCTTCCACAACATTGGTCCAGCCAACTTTACTTGTTGTGAATTGTACTAAATATACGTAAGAATTACTTCTGATTGATTACCTGATTGTAACTTGCATAACTTTACTAATTAGTATTAATAAATATTAATTGATTGAAGAATTTGTGTTGGGTCCTTACTTCACCCCTGGTTCACAAATTTAATTAACCCTTACACAGAAACATCTACAAGCTGCCCATAAAACTGAGCAATCCTATTATAATGTGGTGGTTTGTGTCCATGAAGTCAGACTGCCTGCCCCGGCCTCCGGGCTAAAATGAAACTTGGAAAAAATGGCTACCTTCAGTGGAGGTTATCATATCACCACTGACATCACTTCAAGGACCAAACACACAGGATAAGTACCAGTAGAAGACAAATAGATATCAATCTCATCTGCTTGCCTGAAATATAGTAATCTATTTTAAAACCACTGTATCCTAATGAGTTTGCGTGTTGTCTTTCAAGTGTTCAAAAGCAGCTGTCAGTGGATGGATTACCAACTGCAAAAACCCACAGTATTTATAACATCTGAGTAATCAGAACCAGGAATCCTAAGAGCTTAGAGACGTTATTTGTAGGGCTTGGGGGCACTTTTTTTAAAAAATATGAAAGCATATGAAAGTGGAGAGTAGGCAATTCTTTTGGAGAAATAGTACACGGTTTAGTTGTGTGTCTAACCAGACTGATATTCTGAAAAGTACAGTAGAAGATTTGTAACACTGCATTTACAATGCATTTACTTATTCTATCATTGATTTCAGTCTCTGTGGCATCTGTAGTGACAGAGCAACTGAATTCTATTAGATTAGCTGTTTGAATGGCAATATTGTAGCTAGACTCAAACTAGATTTGACATATTTCAATCCCTTTTTTCGATGGAAAAGTGTTTTATTCTAATTCCAAGAACATTACATTGTCCAATGCATTCAATTCCAATCAGTCCTTTTCTTAGTCTCTGAAGCCATTACTCCTTCCCTCTATGCTGCCCTCACCATTTCTCCATTTTATGCTATTTTACTCTATCCTTTTTAAAAATGAAAAAGAACTTAAAGCACTCTACAAAAGTCCCTTTACTATTCCATCATTCCACAAAAGCAACAACATATTTGCAAAAATATATGTTTCTTAAAAATGTCAATGCCCTTGTGGACAAAATTCTACAAAACTAGAAACCAAAATAATAGTTAAAAATAGTATAAGACATATAGTCACTTATAGTCATATTGTGGGGTGAACATCCAACCATAATAGAAACAAATTGCTGAACAAATGACTGGATAATTTTCTACATTTGTATCACATAACACTTATTTCACTCTATTTAAGTATGGATAAAATAAGGTTTACAAACTTGTTTACGGTATCAGAATTGCTTGTCAAATGTTAGCATTAATGAAGAATGAGCGCACTGTATCATAAAGCAATTTGATGAAAAACAATATAGCTATTACATTTCTAACCTTGAACAGATTAGATACGCACATGGTTCTTTCAATCAAATACTTAACGGTCAAATTGCCCTTGACCCAAAACTGTCCACAACTGAAATCTGGCTGCACTTTCACTCAGCAACATAAGAATGGGTTGTTTTTTTTAAAGAAATCTAGATGTTGGTTGAGGCCAACGGTAGCCAGGGCCCCCGGGCCGGAAGTGGCCCACTGGGCTGCCAAGAAGTGGTCCAGCGAACATTCTCACTGGTCTAAGTGAATCTGTTTTAAATCAATGTTTTGTTTCCATTTTTTTCTTGATTGAATATTTAAATATTCAATCAAGAACATTTATTTTGTTGGCTAATCAAAAAAGTTGGCCACCACTGCGCTATATCTTCCATCAAACAAGTGTGTCATGTATTTTGTCCAGAACGTCAAGAAAGTCACTAGTTATTCCTTAGTAATAGACACATTTGGGCTTTGTAGGAGTTGAGAGTTGAGTGAAATAGACATATTTAGCACAAATGAACTTCTTGGGGAAGCTTTAATAATAATAATAATAATAATAATAATCCTTGCATTTGATATAGCGCTTTTCACGTCGGGAGGACGTCCCAAAGCGCTTCACAGAACACACTGTAAAGTGAATTGACTGTATATTTGTGGGCGAACGCGGCAGCCAATTGCGCACAGCAATGTCCCATAAACAGTCGTAGAATGAAAATGATCAATTTAATATTGTTTTTGGTTTTGGAGAGATTATTATTAGGCTCTGTGTGGAGTAAGGAAACTTGCCCAAGGTTTCGTCCTGCCTGGAATTGAACACAGGTTTCTCGCTTGCAAAGCGAGTGCTCTAACCACTGAGCTACAGGCTTTAGTCATGGAGGAGTGAGAGAATCGTGTCTGAGGCCAAGAATGATGATAGATAAAAGGATTAAGAGTACAGTCATCAAGGGTAAGAGGTATTCGGCTGTTAGGAAAAATGCTAAGTAATTCACTTCCTCACGAAAAGGCACGCAGACGATCAAGATTTCTATCGATCCAACCATTGAACTGAAAGCAGTGAAGGCTTCATGGAGGAAATGCGATCTGAAGCAAGCTGGCAAATGTAAAATCATCAGCGAAAGATAGAATTGCTTGATGAATAGAGGATGTCACTCGTGTAGTAAAGCAACAAAGCTGGAGATTCAACAAAGCTCTGGGGAACTCACACAGTGTTGATGTGGGTGGGGGAAGGGAGAAAGTCACAAGATGGTACAGTAATGGGGTGGCAACTTATTAAACAATTGCTGTTTCACTGAAAGAGTGGCAGAGATAACCCATGCAACTGAGAGAGGGGGAATAAATAAACTTGATCAAAACAAGTAGTGCATGACATACAAAGCGTACACACGAGATTAACTGCCCCCGCCCCCCGCCCCCCCCCCACCACCACCACCACCAGAAAGGGGTTCAAAGCCAAGTGGGTGTTCCACGTGTGGAGCAAAAAAAAAAGACACATAAACACACGCACACCCCAACAACAACAACTTGGATTTATATAGTGCCCTCCACGCCGGACGGCATCTCAGGGCGCTTTACAGTAACGGATCCCGGGGCCGAGCCGGGGGGAGGGGGAGCAAGGTGACCAAAGGCGCGGTCGAAGAGAAAGGTCTTCAGCACACACTCCCTCTGCAAAAGGCACTTGTACACGTTTGTACCTTCCACTTCCTCGTGTGAGTGACGTGGGGATCGTTTCGGGTCATGCAATGTGAGACTAGGTTTGGGATCAGGAGCAGGAATGGGTTTTTGAAGCAAGAGCTCACTGCTGAGTTAGTTACAACGCAATATACAATACAATGTGATCCCCGGCGCTGTTCCCACGGTCAGTATCTCCCAGGAAACATGCATTACAGAGAGGAAGGTCAACCAACAGCAGCAGCAACACACACACAGACAGACACACACCACATACACACACACACACACACCACATACATACACACACACCACACACAGACACACACCACACACAGACAGACAGACACACACCATACACACACACAGACACATACCACATACACACACACACACCACACACATACACACACCACACACACATACCACACACATACACAGACACACACACAAACACACAGACAGACAGACAAACACACACACACAGACACACACACACACATACACAGACACACACCACACACACACAGACACATACCACACACATACACAGACACACACCACACACAGACAGACACATACCACACATATACACAGATACACACAGACACACACACTACACACACACACACACAGAGACAGACACACCACACACAGACACACACACACAGACACACACACACACACACAGACAGACACACACACACACACACACACACTCTCTTTGCTCAGCAGTCAGCACTTGCCTTGGCTTCCGCCTGTTGTGCGTGGCTCCCTCCCTCCCTCCCTCCCTCTTGCCTTCCCTGCCTCGCCTCCAATCTTTTCTTCCTTTTTAATTGCTGCAAATTCCCTTTGGTTCCGTGCAGGGAATGTGTAGTTTCTTAAAGTAAATGAAAATGCAATGAAAGCAGCCTGCGGCGGCGGCGGCGGCGATTTCCCAGTCTCTCCTGCCTTGTGCGCTCCGCACCAGTTCTGGTGCCCTTTCCCCCAGTTGGTGTCGTTCAGTTCCCCCCCCACCCTCTCCCCCCACCCCCCCACCATGGCCCGAACACATCGTGTGGCTGCGCTACAGAACTGCAACCACAGGACAACAAATCCTGGCAATCGATAACAAGCCAATGCAATGCAATGCCCACCCCTGCCCGTGGCCGGAAATAAGTTGCAGCCTGGAGGTGGCAGTGAAGCAAGTCATTTGCAATAATCAATTCTAATAATATTCATGCTTACCCCCTCCCCATTTTAGCCCCCACCACCACCACCACCACCCCCTGGCTCGGGATCAGGCTCCACCGCTTGTCAAGCGCGCGAAGATGCTATTGCTTGCGCGAGGGGCGGGGAGGGAATCCTCGCATTCGCATTCGACACAGCGTCCTTATCACGTCGCTGAGACGTCTCAAAGCGCTTTATTAAGACTCTACGGTAAATTGAACTGTCGGTTATATTTCGTGGGAGAAACGCAGCAGCCAATTGCACACAGCGATAGCCTACAAACAGCCACGATCTTTCAATCCTCCTTGGACACCGGGGTGGTGCCAGAGGACTGGAGGGTTTCAAATGTTACTCGGTACAAAAAGGGGCAGAAGGATAATAATAATAATAATAATCCTTGCATTTGATATAGCACTTTTCACGTCTTCTCGACATCTCAAAGCGCTTCACAGAATAGACTGTAAAGTGAATTGACTGTATATTTGTGGGCGAATAAACCCAAGAACTACAGGCCAGTCAGCCTAACGTCAGTAGTGGGGAAACTTCTACAGACTATAATCCAGAACAAAATAAACTTTCACTTCGAAAAATATGCATTAATAAAGGACAGCAAACACAGATTTGTTAAAGACAAATCGTGTCTAACAAACCTGATAAGAGTTTTTTGATGAAGTAACGGAGAGGGTGGATGAAGGTAGTGCAGTTGATGTAGTTTACAGGGATTTTCAAAAGGCATTTGGTAAAGTGCCACATAAAGAGACTTCTAAGCAAAATAGTAGCCCACAGTATTAAAGGGACAGTGGCAGCATGGATACCGAACTGGCTGGGAGACAGAAAGCAGAGAGTGGTGGTGAACAGTTGTTTTTCTGATTGGAGGGAAGTGTGCAGTGATGTCCCCCAGGGGTCGGAATTGGGACCGCTGCTGTTTTTGATCTATATAAATGACCTGAACTTCGGTAACGTGAGTATAATTTCCAAGTCTCCAGATGATTCTAAGCTAGGAAAAGTAGAAAACAGTGAGGAGGATGGTATCAGACTGTAAATGGACATAGACAGACTGGTAAAATGGGCAGACAGGTGGCAGATGAAGTTTAATGTGGAGAAATGCAAAGTGATGCATTTTGGAGGAAGAATGAGGAGAGGCAAAATAAGCTGATGGTACAATCTTAAAGGGGGTGAAGGAACAGAGAGATCTGGGGGTCATATAAGTAAATCTTTGAAGATGGCAGGACAGATAGATAAAGCTGTTAAAAAGCATACGGGATACTAAGCTTTATAAACAGGGGCATAGAATACAAAAGCCAGGAAGTTATGAAGTTACGATGAACCTTTATAAAACACTGGTTAGGCCTCAGCTTGAGACTGTGTTCAGTTCTGGGCACTACACTTTAGGAGGATGTCAAGGCATTGGAGAGGGTGCAAAGGAGATTTACCAGGATGGTACCAGGAATGAGGGACTTCAGTTATCAGGAGAGACTAGAGAAGCTAGGATTATTCTCCTTGGAAAAGAGAAGGTTAAGAGGAAGCTCAATAGAAGTTTTCAAAATTATGCGGGGATTCGATAGAGTGAACAAGGAGGAACTATTTCCACTGGTGGGTGGGTTGGTAACCCGAGGACACCAATTTAAAATAGTTGTTAAAAGAAACAGAGGGCAGGTGAGGAGAATTTTTTTCACACAGCGAGTTGTTCGGATCTGGAATGCATTGCCAGAAAGGATGGTGGAAGCCGATTTGATAACAAGTTTTAAGAGAGAAGTAGATCATTATTTGAGGAGGACAAGTTTGCAGGGCTATGGGGAGAGCGCAGGGGAGTGGGATTGATTTGGATAACTCTTTTCAAAGAGCCGGCATAGACACGATGGGCCGAATGGCCTCCTTCTGTGCTGTATAATTCTATGATTCTAAGTCCGAGGCCTTCCTGATTGGTTCCCATCAGCCCCTCCGCATCTCAGTTACTGGCAGCATCACCATCCACGGATGCACACTCCACCTCACTGAGCCAGTCTGGAACATTGGCATCTTGTTTGACTCTCAACTGTCCTTTCTACCCCACGCCATGACCCGCTCTGCTTTCCCCCCCATCTGCAACATTGCCTGGCTTTGCCACTGCCTCACCCCTCAGGCTGCTGAATCCCTCATTCTCATGTTCACCAATCTAGGCTCGACTACGCCAACTCCCTGCTTGTCGGTCTTCCCAACTCTTCCCTCCATAAGCTTCAGATCATCCAGAACTCTGCAGCTCGTGTCCAGGCTCCATGACCCCATCACTCCCACCCTCGCCCGGCTCCACTGACTCTCTATCACCCAGAGAATAAAGTTCAAAATCCTCATGCTCACCTTCAAGGCCTTCTAAAGACTTGCCCTTCCTACCTCTGTGACCTGCTACCTCATATCAACCTCTCCGCTCCCTCCACTCAGCAGTCTGTGGCCTACTCCACGTCCCCCGCCCATCCCAGCCCACCATCGGCAGTCGGGCCTTCAGCCTCTCTGACCCTACCCTTTGGAACTCCATCCCACATCCTTCATCTCGATCCCCCCTTGCCTCCTTCAAGAAACGTCTCAAGATCCTCCTCTTCGACCACGATCAACAAATATATCATTGAACGCAAATACATTCAGTACTAGTAACCATATACCGTAGTTCTTTGTGGTGTCTTCCCAACATGAAAAGCACTAAAATGTAAAATGTATATTTTAATGTATTATATTACGAGTACAAATCATTGGTAAGTTTCATTATACTTCTCCAACTGAGATCTCTCAATCCACAAAGTATTTGGCTTGAGGACCTTTCCACACAATACATAGGAACTTCTGTGTGTAGGTGGGATGCATGGAACTCTCAGTTTGGTGTGGATACTGTTAAGCATGGTGATGGACTTCCACAGACACCCCGCTGACCAAAAAAATTCTACACAATCAAATCTCATTGATGAGCCAGACAGTTTGGTCAATCGTCAACAATGCCTTGAATTACTGGGAAAGGTACAAGGAGTTTTGTAGGATGATACTCTTTGCTTGCATTTGACATCTGACAAGCATAGGGATAATGAGTTTTCCATATGATGGGAGATGAAAGAAACTGGGCCAGTTTTTATTAGAACAGAGAGGGTTGAGAGAAGACTTCATAGAAGTGTACACAATTATGAGAGTGTTTTTTAAGGCAACTATGAAGAAATTATTTCTACTGGTTAGTAAGTTAGTAACTGGAGGTTATAATCATCGAAAAAGGGTTAAAAGAGTTTTTAGGTCATATTACATCATGGAATTTCTTGTCAAAAACTGCGGTTGAAACCAAATTCATAATAGCTTTTACTAGTGAATTGAACAAATATTTGAAGATATATATAGGTCTCCCTATTCTACCATCCACAATCTCCAGCTCATTGAAAACTCTACCACCTTAATTCTCATGTGCACCCATCTCCACATGCCCACTCGCCAGGCTCTACTGGCTCCCTGACTCCCAATGGATTAATCTCAAAGACCTCAAACTCATCCAGAAATCCCTTTAAGGCCTATTTCTGTAATCTTCTCCCTTCCTACTCTTTGCTTGCATTTGACATCTGACAAGCATAGGTTTGAGCCCTCACTGGATGCATAGTAGGTATCAGGAACTTCCTGTAAGGTTCATAATGGGCATCGAGGTGCAAGTCCAATGGTGCACATCTTTGGACTTGAGAACATCAAGGTGGCTGGCAATGTATTGTGCTGTAATGCAAGCTATCCTGTAAAGGCACTCCAACCACGCTGAAGGCAGATAGCTCATAAGGAAACTCTGAGGCTTGGGGTGACAGCTGCAGGCAAGTGTTTCCTGGAGTTCGAGTTTGTGAACACATGTTTGTACATCCAATTTCTGGAATCCACCTTTATTGGTCTGCAGAGAGGTAAGGAGCTGCTGCTTAGACTCCACACCTACAACTGGTGGAACCATCGCTCAATGGGAAGGGATGCGTGCCAGAGCTGTGGGCAGGAAGACAGTAGCAATGCTCTCATTGACTTCATGCTGACCTGTTTGACCCACCAGAAAGCTCGCAGGGAGATCCTGGTACCTATTATCCACTTAGAAAAGGCACAAACCAACGCTTGTCAGATGTCAAATGACAAACTAATGATGATCCTCCTTTATGGGGAGGAGATAAGTGGGGTCTCCTTGGAACTGAACTGGCTCCAAGGTCACATGCTTGCCAGTGTACACAATTCTGAGAGTATTTTTTAAGGTGGGTCTGCAGAACTCCAGGGCACTGCTGATGATAGCACAGCTAGCCCAGCTCAATGGCAGGACTTGGAAGGGTAGACTAGTCACTGGGGGACAGGAACTCTTCCCGCTCAACTCCCATTAACCCTACAAGCCTTTGAGTCTTTTTTTTTAATATAGCTTTGAGATGTCTCAATGGTGTGATAATAATAATCCTTGCATTTGATATAGCACCTTATCACGTCACGTCAGAAAATACACAATCACTCTACCTTACAGCATATATTGCGAAGCACTTTGAAACGTCCTCCTAACATGAAACAAAAACAACAACTTGCATTTATTTAGTGCCCTCATGCAGGGCAGCGTTCCAGAGCGCTTTGTCGAGGGTTTGCACCCGAACTGGGGTTCGGAAGGGTGCTCTATCAAATGTGAATATAATTATTATTATTTATTTCAGCACATCCAAATACAATGTGAACGCGAATATTCCAACTAGGTATCCATGCATTCCATTACAATAATCCTTTCATTTGACACAGCGCCTTATCACATCTTCTAGCCCTCTCAAAGCGCTTCACAGAATATACTGCAAAGTGAATTGACTGTATATTTTGTGGGCAAAACGCAGCAGCCAATTGCACACGGCAGTGTCCCTCAAACAGTCGTGGATTGAGTGACCAATTTATAATTTTTTTTTGAAGGAATTATTACCCCGGAAAAGCGATCCACCAATTGACTAATAACTGAGTTCCTATTTACTGCTAGGTAAACAGAGGTGTGTGGAGTAAGGAAACTTGCCCAATGTTTCACCCTGCCGGGACCCGAACCAGGTCTCTCACTTGCGAGGCGAGTGCTCTAACCACTGACCTGCAGTGGTTCTTTCAAAAAAAAATCATCACAATAACTCGGTCACTCAATCCACGACTGTTTGTGGGACACTGCTGTGCGCTACCGGCTGCCGTGTTTCGCCCACAAACTACACAGCCAATTCACTTTACGGTACATTCAGCGGAGCGCTCTGAGAGGTCTCGAAGAGGTGATCGGCCGCTATATCAAATGCAAGGAATATTATTATCATCATCATCATCTTGAATCCAGACCTGATCCTTCCCTCGCCAAGAGCTGAACTTTGGAAAAGTTCGCGTTTAGGAGGAGCGGTTTATTTTACAGGAGCACTTCCTGGCGCTGGTTGTTTTCAAACCGTTTCCAAGTGCAATGACTCGGTTGTGGAATCGCCTCGTTCAGCATTGCACGGGGCAACCTTCGGAGCGGGTGAAATGTGACCTTAAATCAATTCTTAACAGCCTGAACCGCGTCACGCAAAACCAGACACCCTCTTTTAAGTTTGGGGTATTTTTTTTTAACCCCTAATAACAACCGCCAACCCCTCCCAACCCGCAAAAAAAAAAAAATGTGTTCTCCTCCTGGCTTTGGGCCATCCATCAATAAATCTGATCGTTGTGTGTGATTGCTTTCTCTCCCTGTGTGTGGGGTTTTTTTTTTTGCAAATCAATTCCCTAAATCACTGCTCCTCCCAATGCACAGAGAAGCCCAACACCTTCTCACCCCCCACTCCCTCCCTCCCTCCCTCACGCTCACTCACTCACTCACTCACTCTCCCTCACTCACACTCACTCACTCACTCACCCACCCTCCCTCCCTCTCACTCACTCATTCCCTCACTCTCCCTCCCTCCCTCCCACTCCCTCTCACTCCCTCTCCCTCCCTCCCACTCACTCACTCCCTCCCACTCCCTCGCTCCCTCTCACTCACCCTCCCTCCCACTCACTCTCACTCCCTCTCACTCACTCCCTCCCTCTCACTCACTCACTCTCCCTCCCTCCCTCCCACTCCCTCTCACTCACTCACTCCCACTCCCTCCCTCCCACTCACTCTCACTCCCTCCCTCTCCCTCACTCCAACTCACTCACTCTCCCTCCCTCCCACTCACTCACTCCCTCCACTCCCTCGCTCCCTCTCACTCACTCTCCCTCCCTCACTCTCCCTCCCTCTCTCTCTCACTCCCTCCCTCCCTCCCTCCCTCACTCACTCACTCTCCCTCCTTCCCTCCCACTCCCACTCACTCACTCTCCCTCCCTCTCCCTCCCACTCACTCACTCTCCCTCCCTCTCCCTCTCACTCACTCCCCCTCACTCCCTCCCTCCCACTCACTCACTCTCCCTCCCTCCCTCCCACTCACTCTCCCTCCCTCACTCTCCTTCCCTCTCTCTCACTCACTCCCTCTCTCTCACTCACTCCCTCTCCCTCCCTCTCCCTCATTCCCTCCGTCTCACTCCCTCCCTCTCCCTCTCCCTCATTCCCTCCTCACTCCCTCCCTCCCTCCCTCTCCCTCATTCCCCCCTCACTCCCTCCCTCCCTCTCTCTCTCTGCCTGGAGTCTGGGACGCGCATGTGCTGGAGACCTGAGGCTGGAAAGAGCCCGGAGTGAGGCAGGTGAGGAGCGGCAGTGAAGTCAGTCCCAGGTCAGTCCCTCCTCACTCCCTCACTCACTCACTCCCTCAACTGCACAACCATTAAACCCGCGGCCGATCGCAGTGGCGGTGATTCTCGGCTGTCGCGTTCGTTCGGTTAAACGGGCGCTTTGCATTGCCACAGCCTCGCGAGGGGGGGAGGGGAGGGGTGAGGTGGTGGTGGTGAGGGTGAGGTGAGGTGGTGGTGGGAGGGGGTGAGGTGGTGGTGGTGAGGGAGAGGGTGAGGTGAGGTGGTGGTGGTGGTGAGGGAGAGGGTGTGGGTGAGGTGGTGGTGGTGGTGAGGGAGGGGTGGGGAGGGTGAGGTGGTGGTGGTGGTGAGGGAGGGGTGAGGTGGTGGTGGTGGTGAGGGAGGGGGTGAGGTGGTGGTGGTGAGGGGTGGGTGAGGTGGTGGTGGGGTGAGGTGGGTGGTGGGAGGGGTGGGTGAGGTGGTGGTGGAGGGGTGAGGTGGTGAGGGAGGTGGTGAGGTGGTGAGGGAGGTGGTGAGGTTGGTGGTGAGGGAGGGGGTGAGGTGGTGGTGGTGGGAGGGGTGAGGTGGTGGTGAGGGAGAGGGTGAGGTGGTGGTGAGGGAGGGGGTGAGGTGGTGGTGGGAGGGGGTGAGGTGGTGGTGGTGGGAGAGGGTGAGGTGGTGAGGGTGTGGGTGAGGTGGTGAGGGAGGGGTGAGGGAGGGGTGGGTGAGGTGGTGGTGGTGGTGAGGGAGAGGGTGAGGTGGTGAGGGAGGGGTGAGGTGGTGGTGAGGGAGGGGTGAGGGAGGGGGTGAGGTGGTGGTGGTGATGAGGGAGGGGGTGAGGTGGTGGTGGGAGGGGGTGAGGTGGTGAGGGAGGGGGTGAGGTGGTGGTGGGAGGGGGTGAGGTGGTGGTGAGGGAGGGGTGAGGGAGGGGTGGGTGAGGTGGTGGTGGGAGGGGGTGAGGTGGTGAGGGAGGGGTGAGGTGGTGGTGGTGAGGGAGAGGGTGAGGTGGTGGTGGTGGTGGTGGGAGGGGGTGAGGTGGTGGTGAGGGAGGGGGTGAGGTGGTGGTGGTGGTGAGGGGGTGAGGTGGTGGTGGTGGTGAGGGAGAGGGTGAGGTGGTGGTGGTGGTGAGGGAGAGGGTGAGGTGGTGGTAGTGGTGAGGGAGGGGTGAGGTGGTGGTGGTGGTGAGGGGGTGGGTGAGGTGGTGGTGGTGGTGAGGGAGAGGGTGAGGTGGTGGTAGTGGTGAGGGAGGGGGTGAGGTGGTGGTGGTGAGGGAGGGGGTGAGGTGGTGGTGAGGGAGGGGGTGAGGTGGTGGTGAGGGAGGGGTGAGGTGGTGGTGAGGGAGGGGGTGAGGTGGTGGTGGTGGTGAGGGAGGGGGTGAGGTGGTGGTGGTGGTGAGGGAGGGGGTGAGGTGGTGGTGGTGAGGGAGGGGTGAGGTGGTGGTGGGAGGGGGTGAGGTGGTGGTGGTGAGGGAGGGGTGAGGTGGTGGTGGGAGGGGGTGAGGTGGTGGTGGTGAGGGAGAGGGTGAGGTGGTGGTGGTGGTGAGGGAGGGGTGAGGTGGTGGTGGTGGTGAGGGAGGGGGTGAGGTGGTGGTGGTGAGGGAGGGGGTGAGTGGTGGTGGTGAGGGAGAGGGTGAGGTGGTGGTGGTGGTGAGGGAAGGGGTGAGGTGGTGGTGGTGAGGGAGGGGGTGAGGTGGTGGTGGGAGGGGGTGAGGTGGTGGTGGGAGGGGGTGAGGTGCTGGTGATGGAGAGGGTGAGGTGGTGGTGGGAGGGGGTGAGGTGGTGGTGAGGGGGTGAGGTGGTGGTGGTGGTGAGGGGCTGAGGTGGTGGTGGTGGTGAGGGGCTGAGGTGGTGGTGGTGGTGAGGGGCTGAGGTGGTGGTGGTGAGGGAGAGGGTGAGGTGGTGAGGGTGAGGTGAGGTGGTGGTGGGAGGGGGTTAGGTGGTGGTGAGGGTGAGGGTGAGGTGGTGGTGGGAGGGGTGAGGTGGTGGTGGTGAGGGAGAGGGTGAGGTGGTGGTGGGAGGGGGTGAGGTGGTGGTGGTGAGGGAGAGGGTGAGGTGAGGTGGTGGTGGGAGGGGGTGAGGTGGTGGTGGTGAGGAGAGGGTGAGGTGAGGTGGTGGTGGGAGGGGGTGAGGTGGTGGTGGTGGTGAGGGAGGGGGGGTGAGGTGGTGAGGGAGGGGGTGAGGTGGTGGTGGTGGGAGGGGTGAGGTGGTGAGGGAGGGGATGAGGTGGTGGTGGTGAGGGAGAGGGTGAGGTGGTGGTGGTGAGGAGAGGGTGGGTGGTGGTGGTGAGGGAGGGGGTGGGTGAGGTGGTGGTGGTGGTGAGGGAGGGGGTGAGGTGGTGGTGGTGAGGGAGAGGGTGGGGTGGTGGTGGTGAGGGAGGGGGTGGGTGAGGTGGTGGTGGTGGTGAGGGAGGGGGTGAGGTGGTGGTGAGGGAGGGGGTGAGGTGGTGGTGAGGGAGAGGGTGAGGTGGTGGTGGGAGGGGTGAGGTGGTGGTGGTGGGAGGGGTGAGGTGGTGGTGATGAGGGAGAGGGTGAGGTGGTGGTGGTGAGGGAGAGGGTGAGGTGAGGTGGTGGTGGGAGGGGGTGAGGTGGTGGAGAGGGTGAGGGTGAGGTGGTGGTGGGAGGGGATGAGGTGGTGGTGAGGGAGAGGGTGGTGAGGTGGTGGTGGGAGGGGGTGAGGTGGTGGTGGTGAGGGAGGGGTGGGTGAGGTGGTGGTGGGAGGGGGTGAGGTGGTGGTGGTGGTGAGGGAGAGGGTGGGTGAGGTGGTGGTGGGAGGGGATGAGGTGGTGGTGGTGGTGAGGGAGGGGGTGAGGTGGTGAGGGAGGGGATGAGGTGGTGGTGGTGGTGAGGGAGAGGGTGGGTGAGGTGGTGGTGGTGGTGAGGGAGAGGGTGGGTGAGGTAGTGGTGAGGGAGAGGGTGGTGAGGTGGTGGTGGTGGTGAGGGAGAGGGTGGGTGAGGTAGTGGTGAGGGAGAGGGTGGTGAGATGGTGGTGGTGAGGGGGCTCCAGGCTGTGCCACTTGTCCTGCACAGTGTGGCCACAAATGACCACTGTGTTAAGGGTGTGAATATGTATAACAGTGCTGTGAGCTGCTGTGGTTAATTAGTGCCATTTCTAAGGGTCACTCACAATAATTGCAAGTGTGTGTGTGTGTGTGGTGTGTGAGCACAGTACTGGGGGAGTACTGTAGTGAAGTGCACAGCTGTTTTATTTTTGATTCCCACCATCAGAGAGGGTTTTTTTTCTCTGGCCTAGATTTGAATTTGCAGTAGTTGCTCGTTGTGAGTTTGACAGTGTTGCAGCGCCGCAATTCGTCTCCCACCTTCCTCAGAACTCGAATGGATTTGTGGTTTTTTTTTTAAAAAAATCTGCGCTTTTTTTTGAAAAAGACTATTGATTTGCCACTTACGTTACAGAAATGGAAAAAGTAGTGAACTGCATGTACAGAAAACCCGAAGCTCTGTACAGACTTGTCTGCTTTCCCTGGGCTGGAGGTGGATCTATGCATTATGCCCAGTGGGGGAAACATTTCAGTAATGCAGTGGAAGGTAATATGGACTTGTGTGTAATTTTTGTTTCACAGTTGCTCTCAGCACTACAACATATCAAAGTCAGTAGAAATAATAGGTGTTGAGAAAATGTTGTAACCTGTCAAGTCACAAGTTGATGCTTTACTCACAGGGTAGCTGTCAGAACAAATCAATTGACTTATTATGCTCTTAAGTCTCATGAATTCAGTTATTCTCTCCATGCTAAGCCACATTAGCGCAGTATTCCTTAACATTCCTGGAGCCTTTGGTATAATTTGATCAGCTGGTTGTGTGACTTACTTGGAAGACACAAGTATCAGACAGTAAAAACATTTGGAAAAAAAACAAATACGTCCTAATAAAACAAATGTGCGTGTTGACAATAATAATAATAATAGCAATCATAATAATCCTTGCATTTGATATAGTACCTTTCATGCTTGGAAGACAGAGGATTTAACAGGATTTTTCTGTAGAGTGCAATGATTGTGTATTTTTTCAGGTGAATGTGGTAGCCAAATTGCACATAGCAATGTCCCACAAATAGCCATGAACTTAATGACTAATTTTACCTGAGTGATTGTTACCCAAGATAGCGGATGAAACAACAACTTGCATTTATACGGGGTGAATTAGAAGTCGTTGCTCACAAGAGTTTTAAATTATTAATTATTTTTTCAAAAAAAGACAATATTGGTAGAGCATGTGCAGCTATTACAGGAGATGTCTTTCATCATTTTGGGACAGAGTTGATATGTATAATAATAATAATAATAATCCTTGCATTTGATATAGAGTCTTTCACGTCGGGAGGATGTCTCAAAGCGTTTCAACATCTACATGACATGCAGTTTGAATGTCTTATGTAGACTTATGAGTAAGGACTTTTGTTTCACCCTGGAAACTCCCCTCATGCAGGATAGCATCTCAGAGCACTGAGATGTAGTAGGGTTGAATGCTGAGAAAAGGAAGTTCTAGAGTTAGGGGTGTAGTGGCTGAAGGCACGACCACCAATGATGGCAAAAAGGGGGTCAGGAGTGCACTGTTAGCTGAGCAAATGGGTGAGCAAAGGAGTGGGGGTACAAACAGCTCAGAGAGATTTTAGCTGATTAAAAGCCTTACCAACAGGTCAGAAGTGAGGTAGGATGATGCTGTGGCATGAAGGGATTTGTACATAAGAGTAAGGATCTTGAAATCGATCCTTTTATAAACGGGGAGTCAGTGGAGTCGGGGAGGCGAAAAGGGAGGAATCCTTCTTTCTGAATAGTGCTATGGGAGTGTCATAGTGCCATGAATTTTTGCTTCATAGGAACAGGAGTAAGTTGTTTCTATCATTTTGGCAATCATGGCAATTTTATTCCAATTTTCTGGGCATTCTTTAATACCCTAATTTCTATTTACCTCCTGTTCAAAAATCCCAATCGATTCTGCATTTATGGTTTAGCTCAGGGAAATATAATCCAAGTTTACCCAATTTCTCATCATCACTAAACCTTTTCACTCCTCACACTAATACTATGAATCATTGCTGGATGCCCTCCAAGGTTTGTATCTTTTGATACAGAAGAGAGACAGTTATCTGCACTAATTGGGAATGGCCTTGTCACAATTTTGGATTGTGCCATACATCTCTGTCTCTCAGGGATGGCCAAAAATTGTATGGTGTACCATGATATTCTCTTGTCTGTGTTTACGTTTGCATTGCTATACACACCAGCAATTTGCTTGCTCTCTAACAGACTGATTTTGTTTGGTCAGCTAGGTGTCTGTCACATGCAGAAACACATCACCATGCTTAAAGAGTATCCAAACCCAACTGAGAAGTCCATGTATGCCACCTGCACATGGAGTTTTTTGTGTCTGGAATGGAATGCAAGTTCTCTTCAGAGGGACACACCCTACTTACCTAATTCCAGAGTATATTCGGAGCAAGTTGGCAAGAGCCAAATCTGAGAATCCCAGAGTGGGGTACTACTGGAATTTAACCAGCTGAAACTGCATAGCTTGCCATTGAAAGCACTGTCTGGCAAGATTCCCGCTGCTTGTCCAGCTAGAACCAGCCTATCTATTAGGACTTTTGCTTAAATTGAGTGGGCATTAAAGATCATATAGCATTGTCCAAAAAGGGAATAACAACAATTTGCATTTTTTATAGCGCTCTTTGTGTTTAGTGGCTGAAAGTACAGCTGCCGATGATGGAGGGGATGAGGGGCAAGCAGGACGTAAATTATCTGTCACATTCACCTATAAATACAGTCACTACACTTCATGGTCACATTTCTTTGAAGTGCTTTGAGACATTTCTGTGATGTGATAAGGAGCTATACCAAATGCAAGAAATTATTTTTTCACATTCTCTGTAATGAGGCAATGTTGCTCTGTTGTATCTATTCAGCCATGCAACATTTTGTCAAAGGCCCCAATGTGGATAACCAGCCAGAATGGATAATTGGACATTACTCAAAATACATATGCTAAACAAAAACGTACTGCATCAGGAGTTATACTGTCACTTTAGTAACATATCTTGCCGGCCCTTATCTTTCTCTACCTTGCTTTCTCTTTTTCTTTTTCTTTTTCTTTAACATCAAATTTTCTGTCTATTTCTATAACTTTCTATATCTCTAACTTTGTGTATTATTCTGTTTGCATTCGTATAGCTCTGAATCAGAAGTTTGTGGGTTCAAGCCCCACTTTAGGATTTGGAACTGGAACTCATATAGTCGAGCTGACATTCGAGTGCAGTGCCGGGGGTGTGCTGCATTGGTGGAGGTTCTCGCCTTCAGATGAGACATTAAAACTGAGGCTCCATCTGCCTGTTCAGGTGGATTTTAAAAATCACATAGCACTATTTGAAAAGAGAAAGGAATTTCTGCCAGTATCCCGCCCAACAAACCCCCAAATAAAAATGATCATTCATTTCATTGCTGCATGTGGGACATTGCTGTGCGTAACTTAGCTGCCATGTTCATCCACAAAACACACAGTCACTCCACTTTAAAATAGATACTATATAAAAGTGCTTTAGGATGTCTTCCTGACGTGAAAGGCCCAATACCAAATGCAAGTTTTTATTATTAACTCTACCCTGTCCAAATATAAGTATTACAAACTTTGTTTCAAAGGATCCAAAGGTCCCTTTTGACGTGGTTACTATAAAATCTTACATTGTTTCCCTAGAAATCTTGCACATATTTGAGTGCATGAATATAGCTAAATTGACAAATTCCCAGAGATAATGAACGATTTTACAGCATTTCTTATTTTCATATGAACAACTTAATCACACATTCACATGTACATTGACGGACATGATTCGTTCACGATAAAAAAGATGGTGTTTACAAGCTGTTATTTTGAAGTTACATTGTGTCATATTTAGTAAATTAAGGATCGGATTACTCAGCAATCAGGCGACATCAATAAAATATACAAGAAGAAGGTAACAGAAGGGTAAGGGTGGGAGTAAGGAGTCAGTGGAAACTTGTGGATTATAAACGCCGGACCGGACTAATTAGGCCAAATGGCTGTTTCTGGGCTGTACAGTTTATGTAAATCAATGGAAATTTTATGAAACCATCACAAGTAATGATATGGGCACACCAGCAGATTTCAGACACTACAGGTGGAGTCCTGTAGCTTAGTGGAGAGAGCACTTGCCTCACAAACAAGAACCTGGGTTCGATTCCCGGACAGGTGAAATTTTAGACAAGTTTCTTTACTCCACAGGCCTCTGTTTACCTAAAGGTAATTGATTGGCAGATTGCTTTTCTGGGGGTAATCCTTAATTTTTTTTAGTCACCACTCAGTACATGTTCACAAAATTGACAGTATTTTCTGTGAAGCGCTTTGAGATGTCTCAAAGACGTGATAAGCCGCTATATCAAATGCAAGGATTATTATTATTATTTCTGGAATGTTTTCATATTTTCGAATTAAACATGGTTCAAGAACTACAAATTAACCAAAGTGTCAAAATCATGAAATTTGGGAGTTAAAGATTTGCTTCTAATGAAATGTATATTTACTTTTAAAATAAATCTATAACAACGATTTACATTTATTTAGCACCTTCACATCAGGTCTCACAGAATTTGACAGGGCATCAATTTAAACTAGTTAGCAAATGTAAATGGAGAGATGAGGATACTCTTTTTCATACAGAATAGTTGGCAAATGGAATGCCCTCCCGGGAGTGGTAAGCACAATCTGTATTAACCTTCAAAAGGTAACTAGACAGCCAGTCTTAAAAAAAAAAGTGGTTACAGTGGTATAGGTAAGTGGCAGGTAAGTGGAACTGAAAGGATTGCTCTTGAGGGAGCGGGTACAAACATGATGGGCCGAATAATAATGATCATCCTTGCATTTGATATAGCCCTTATCACATCTTTGAGGCATCTGAAAGCACTCCACAGAATATACTGTAAAGTGAATTGACTGTATATTGTCTGACTATTGCCAGACTCCGCCATTGCCTCACCCCTCAAGCTGCCGAAACCCTCACCTCAAGGCTTGATTACAGGAACTTTCTCCTCATCGGCCTTCTGAACTCTTCCCTTCACAAGCTGCAGATCATCCAAAACTCTGCAGCTCGTGTACTCTCACGCACCAGGCTCTGCGACCCCACCCATCACTCCCACCCTCACCCGACTCCACTGGCTCCCCATCCCCCAGAGGATCGAATTCAAGATCCTCGTCCTCATCTTTAAGGCCATCCGTGGCCTTGCCCCCTGCTACCTCTCTGACTTGCTGTCTCCCTACGAATCTTCCCGCTCCCTCCGCTCATCAGGCTCCAGCCTGCTCCATGTCTCCCGCCGACCCTACCTACTTTCAGCCTCTCTGCCCCCCCCACACTGGAACTCCATCCCAGGGTCCCTTCACCTCGCTTCCTCCCTTGTATTCTTCAAGGCCGGTCTCAATGCTTTTGGTCTCCCTCACACCTCTCTGCCTTCCCTCATCCCTCCACCACCCATCCCCCAGGCTTGGGCCCCGACATCTGATTGTTCAGCGCTTTGGGACATCCTCCCAATGTGAAAGACGCTCTATAAATAAGCCAGATTTTTAATGTATATTTTCTGTGAATTCACTGCCTTGGGACGTCCTCCCAAAGTGAAAGGTGCTATACAAATGCAATTTTGTTGTTGTGTTGTGTGGATGAAACACAGAAGCCAACTGCGCACAGTATTGTTCCACAAATAGTCATGGATTGCAAAATCCCCCCAAAAAGCGATCTGTCAATTGACAAACAACCATGTTCCTACGTACCGCTAGGTAAATGGAGGCATGTGAAGTAAGGAAACTTGCCTAGCCTTTTTGCCCTGCCCAGGAATTGAACCCAGTCCTCTCATTTGCGAGGCGAGTGCTCTAACGAATACACTACGGGACTCCAGTAACTTGATGTAGGTTTAATTCTGGAGTGCTAACATTACAGTACTAACACGCTACAATCTGAAGAAGTGCTGAATCAAATTCTCATCCTCTTTGAATCTCAGTTTATTCTATTAGACTCGCTGGGAGAGAGACCCGTGCTAAGGAGCCTTTTGCACAGAACCTTTTCCAGCTCCTTGATGAACTCTCCATCGCCTTGCTGCCCAAACTGAAAGAGAAACCCTTTGCATTTTTTGGTCACAGGTATGGACAATAATAATAAAGAAGATGTGGGCTTTTGTAGGGCCTGCACAACCCAAATTCAGCTCTTAACATTAGCTTTTCATCATTTTGGCTGATAATTAGTTTACTTCTGGTGGTTATGTCTACATCCAGCAAGTTTTATCCTTTTCCTTGGAGTAAAGGAATGTTGAATTAAGATGGTGTCTACTCATTGGGCTGAAGATATTGTGGCATTAATTTTACTTTATCTGAGGAAAGCTTTGAGGCTGTTTAATATAATGACAAATGTATTTTAACAAACAAAACATAAGTATTGTACTATTAGGTATATATTATAATATATATTAGTCATTGAAGTATTGTGTGAGGAAAATCAGGCAGCAAATAGTTTTTTTTAAAATATTAATTTGTTCACAGTAAAATTAGTTTTGCTGCTAAGTTTAATTTATCACCACTAGCAGTAAATGCTGCAGTTTCATTTGGGGAAAGCATCATTATCATAACATTTCATTCAACGCAAATTGCCTTTTGAGTGTTACGGAAAATGTAATTTCCACTGTTGGCTTTAAACGTGTACTTTTCAACCTAGTGGTTTATGATATTTCTGCTTTAGTGTGCATTTCTGGAAGACATAACCATCTTCAGATTTATACAACACTGTTTGCCCTGTGCTAAATTTATCACTCCTCTGACAGTTCATTGAATTTATCCGGTAAGTAGCTGAATCATACAGTCTAGGAACACCCAGGTTCAGTTCAGTTTTGTGTTGTTTGCTGATCTCAGTTGGGAAGGTGCTACACAAGAGGTGCTACAATTTGCCTCAGCACCTTGGGTTAGCAGCCAGAATATTAGCTAGAGTTCCCACTCCTGAACATAATTTAGCCCTCTCTTCCCCCCTGCACTCCATCACCTTTCTGGAGGTTCAAATGTGTGTCAACTGCAGTGACCTGTAACACTTTATTGCTGCTGGATTTTGCAGAACCTGACCTGTCAAATATTAAAATGAGTCAAACATTTTATAGTATGGGGAAAAAATTCAGATTTGTTTTAATTTTTTTTACAAAAACTAGAGCATTAAGGCCCTATTTGTTAAGTAGAGGTTCTTGTTGATTGTTACCATCAGATTGAATTACCATTGACTGATCTTAAAAAAAATCCAAATCACAGTTTTAATGCTTAGTGTTCCGTGTCATAACATTCAATCATTTCTTAGCTGCTGCAGTGCTGGTCAAAATATTTATCTAAAGAAGGGCAGAAAAATATTCTTCGTGAATACAGCAGACTTGTAATGCCATGGTAATCGAAGTCTACAGTTTAGCTAATGTCAATGACTATAAATATCTGAATCATCTTCCCATTCCTTTAATTGCCTCTTTATTCAAGTATTTATGTAAAGGTACATTTTTATTTATAGCATTATTATAGTGTGTTATTGCTCGTTTTTGGTATACTAGATGAATGTATTATACATGAATGCATATTATTTTAGTTATTAATGTGATATTTTGTAAATAACAATAATATATCTTGATTTATAACGGAATTCTTTAACTCCGGAGGTTGATATGCCTCTTTGGGAGCAGAGTTCCTGTTAGTTGACAATGATATCCACAAATTCATTCCCATCAGTGGAAGAAGAACTACCCAGGTTTTTTGACAGCACTAGGTGGCTATTAGCCAATGATTTCCTATGAATCTGGTATCAAAGTTCAGCCTGTTCCACTTTCCTTTTGAATGCTCTTTTTGATGATTCTATGAAAATGGAAAAAGGAATTACTTAAAAAAAAACTAAACTAAATTTTGTTTCCTACAGTCTTGGAGGAATTCTTTGTTTTGCTACAGCGCTATACATAAAACAAAAGTATGGCTTGGAGCCAGTGCATCTCTTTGTATCTGGTGTTTCAGCACCACATGTAAGTAAGAANTTTTTTTTAACTTTGCATCATTTCTTTCAAAGGATTTGTGTTAGGAAAAAGTTTAACAATGAGAATTAATTCTCCTCGACTTGGAGAAAATTGGAAAAACTGACAAATATCAATTTTTAATGGTATAAAACTGGAAACCAGCAAGTCTAATTACAAAACGCGAATCCAGTGGCACAAAATATTGGAGTGTTAGCATAATAATAATAATAATCCTTGCATTTGATATAGCGCTTTTCACGTCAGGAGGACGTCCCAAAGCGCTTCACAGAACACACTGTAAAGTGAATTGACTGTATATTTGTGGGTGAACGCGGCAACCAATTGCGCACAGCAATGTCCCACAAACAGTCGTAGATGAAAATGACCAATTTATTATTGTTTTTGGTTTTGGAGGGATTATTATTAGGCTCTGTGTGGAGTAAGGAAACTTGCCTAAGGTTTCGCCCTCTGCCTGGAATTGAACTCAGGTCTCTCGCTTGCAAAGCTTGCAAAGCTACAGGACTCCACTAGTGGCATGCAGGTTTGTGCCACTGATTTACTCTATTAGGAGTTCCAGGTCAACAGTAGGCATTGGGTAAAGGTTGAGTATTTTTTGGCTCACTCAATCGTGGTTAAAAAAACAAAGAAAAGGTTAGAGTTAACATAAGGTGCATGTGGTTTGCTGGAAGAGAGGCACTTTATGTCCCGAGGCACTGTTTGTGTTGCCATTTTCCAAACTAGCATTTTTTCAACTCAATTTTACCACTTGGAACAAGACAAAAATAAGTTTGGATTAACTGGAGTGTTCATTAATAGTATCTTCTGCTTTTTTAAATTTACTTTTTATATTTATTTATCAGATTCATTACTTTTGCGCAATTGTGCTGATTACTAACTGAGTGGACTGAGCAATGAGAATACTGTCTCTTCACCTTTGGAATTTGGGTTGAATCCAAAGCAAATTGATCAGTTGAAAACCTTCTCTGGGGTCACTGTAACAATCAATTTGGCCAGACATCACCCGATACCCAGTAACTACTGAGTTTAAGATTTTTAGGGCAAAAATGGAAAGGAGCTTCACCCTACATTTAGCCCTTGTTTTTGCTAAGATTGATTGTTGAGTGGGCTTTGAGTAATTGTTTCATCTCCTATCATCGATCCATTTAGTCCAAGACACGTCGAAACAGCCAGCGGTGGTCTGAGTTGCCAGACGACGAGTTCTTGAAATGGATGGCCTCTATTGGTGGTACACCGATAGAGATTCTTGCAAATAAAGCATTGGCAAACCTATTCGTCCCAGTTTTAAAAGCAGATCTCCGACTTTTGGAATGCACCAGGTAAATCTGCACAATGATTATTAGAATGTAAAACAGGCAGGCCCTGCGATCTTTCCCATTTTCTACATTATGTGTGATTTGGTTGTTTCTCTTGAGATACAAGATCACAAGAGAGGTTCAGATGAAGAATTCCCTTGTGCTCGTCTGATCCCATCCTTCCAGAACACCACTGCTAAACTTTCATTTATAAAAAAAATAAAAAATACGCTGCTTTTGATCTAGTGCCTTTCATGTCAGGAAAACATCTCAAAACACATCATAGGATTTATTATAAGGTGTAATTACTGTATTTTGTAGGTGCAAGCACCAGTCAATTTGTCTCACGAATAACAAGGAAGAGAATAAACACTTATCTGGCGGACTGACAGCAGGAAAAATCTCCCTTTTTTGAACGGGTGCCGCGGGATCTTTAACATCCACCTGACAGGCAGACGGAACCTCGGTTTAACGTCTAATCCAAACAACACCAATAACAAATTACATTTATAGAGCGTCTTTCATGACCCTCGGCGGCCCTGCCTTCAGCCACTACGCCCCGAGGCTCTGGAACTCCCTTCCTCACTCCCTTCGCCTTGCTCCCTCCCTTCCTATTTTCAGGTCTTGGCTGAAGACCTTTCTTTTCGACTGCGCCTTTGGTCACCTTCCTCCCCATCCCCCCGGCTCGGCCCCGGGATCCATTACTGTGAAGCACTGTGAGACGCCGTCCGGCGTGGAGGGTGCTATATAAATCCAAGTTGTTGTTGTTGACATCCAACATTGCAGCACATACCCAGAGTACGAGTATTACCAACTGAGCTAGGCCAAGGCCATATTGTTGCATACCTGGACTTGGAGCAATGTTGACTGTTTTGTTTGTTTTAAGCTATGACAAGCAAGAGGAGTTTGTCTTCTCTTGTCCCATCACCACCTTTGATGGAGAAGATGATGTACCACATGATCTGAAAGGTGAGAACAATTTCAACTATTTTCCAGTGTACAAACTTAAACCTGTTCCTTTATGAATAATTGATTGTTGTGCTTACAAGTAAAGCATTTGCTTTTCAATGTTGCCTACTCACTCTTGAGTCAATAATGGGAATCGATGGCACTAAGGTATGCTTGGTTCTTTATTGCCAGGTGATTTTCTTTTTCATGAGATGAAACCAAATGGCAGTAACAAACATTAATATAGTGAAACCCCGCTTTTTTTTGTTTTTAAAAAAAAAGCCTAACAAAGAATGTGGGTTTGCTTGTTGTTTAACTGCATTAACATTATCATTTTGTCCACAAAATACATAGTCAATACTGTATATTATGTGGAACACTTTGAGACATCCCAATCACGTGATAAGGTTCTATAATCAAATGCAAGGATTATTTTCGTAGTATATATATATATATGTGAACTCACCCAAAATATCCCTGCTCCATTGTTGCTTCATCTCATCGGTACAGAAACATGAAACACCAGCTGGTACAGGGAAGACACAATGATTGACTTCTGGGTCACATTGCAGCTGATGTCACTTTTTGTGGTGCTAAGTGCTCTTATAGTGTTAGTGATTTTATGGACCCCCAACTAGTGCAATATAACAGGACTGCACTGGAGCCTGCTCAGATACTCAGAGCACTACACCTGTAGAAATGTGCTATTTCACACTGCCTGTAATTTTTGACACTTCTCAAATGACGTATGCAGTGGACTATAGTACCTTTTCAGTTCCATCATATAGGGAATGACCTGACCTCCAATTGGCAATTCCCTACGACAGCACAACTTGGATCGGGAATTGATTGGGGAATGCGGAAGGTATTTTATGTTGCATAACTCTGGTTCCGCTTGTTAGTACTTAGACATGTTAAAGAATGTTGCAGTTCAAATACTTAAATGTCAATCTGATAAAAATGTTTGTGTTGGTTTTACTCAGCTACTGCTATATTGTAATCTTATCTTAACTTATGTAAGCTATTTGTACAGTATAATATAACCCCTATTTTAACTTGATTGCCAATTTATAACTGGGATTATGTTTATACTGTACAAGACACTGCATCATGATGTCATAAATATTTCATTGGAAATGTGATAGGGTCAAATCAAGTTTAGGATCAGTTCCTGATCTAACAAAATGCAAAATACTGCAGATGCTGGAAAACTGAAACAAAAACAGAAGTCGCTGGGAACACTCAGCAGATCAGGCAGCTTCTATGGAGAAAGGAAAGTGAGTCAACATTTCGGGTCCACGATCCTTCTTCAGAACAGTTCTGACGAAGGGTCGTGGACCCGAAACCTTGAAATTGAAACCTTCCATAGAAGCTGCCTGACCTGCTGAGTGTTTCCAGCGACTTCTGTTTTTGTTCCTGATATAAGCTGTGCTGACAAAAGGAAATGCCAAGTGGAGGTCAGACACTTTCCTGTGTAATGGACGAGGTGATTAAAGGAAGGGGTTACCCAGGCCATTGATCAATTGTACCTTATGTTGATGTTTCAGGTGAGAACTAGCATTTGTGTCAACTTGATTTTCATATTGACATTCAGTAGTTTGGATGTTCAATACTGTCAATCTGGAATAGTACAGTGCTACATCATTACAATGGTATCCAGACAAAGACTTGTATTATTCTACAATACATATTGCTTAGTGGAGAGACTTTAGAGGAAATGTTTGATAGACCTTAACTGACTTTGTATACCACTTGTTTCCAGCCTTTGAATGTCATATACATTCAACTATTTGACCACAGAGTTCAAATTGATTCTTTTTGTTTGATCCTGCAGCCTGGAACGATTTAACAAGCGGGGAATTTTACATTCAGAAACGTCCTGGTGGCCATTTTTATCTCCAAGAGCCAACTAATGAAAAGTTTCTAATAAGTTACATTCTAAAACATTTAGAAACTGCTGAGGTAACTTATCTCTAAGGGCCATGTCAGATGGCAGAGCCACTGTTTTCAAGACAAAAGCTCAATAACAGTCAAGTTGTTATCATTGAAATGAATGTTGGAGGCGTGCATTTCTCCCTTTTATTTTTTTCTCTCTCTCTGGCTACTTTAAATCAAGTTTTTCTCCTCTTTTCGGGCCCACACTATGCATAATTGCTTGACCACACATTTGGTTGGGCAGCCAATCTGCTCCCAACTCACTGCCAATGCTATGTGAATCTAACTGCTTACACGTCGGGTTGATCCATCCAGTTTTGAGCTTGTTTTTTGCCTCGATACATTGCATCTTCCAAATGGACCATTATGATTCGGAACTTGTATGTGGAGAAGTGCTGGCACACACCCATATCCTAAAGCATCAATTGGGCCACCAGCAGTCATTCCATTAATGTGAAAAGCACATGTTTCAAACTTCAGAAACAGCTTTAATGTATATATCAAATAGGCAAGTGGATCTGTTGCCATCTCTGGTGTTCGTATCATATTTTCTAGTGAGGACTTTGCATGCATTTGCATGAAAATCAAACAAATCCAAAAGAATTGCACTTTTCAGTCTAGTTGAAAAATTTACTTTTTTCGGCCGAAAATGTACCTTTTTTTATTGAACGATGTGCTCTTTTTTATTTAGAATTTATGAAGATGCTTCACTGCTATTAATTTGTTTTATTTCCCTTTACCGCCTGTAAAATGTTGAAATGTGGCTTACTGGAAATAGAAGCATCTTTTAAATGTCTTGTTCACAGAAAGGGTGGACAATGAATTATCTTGCTAGGTTTTTTAAATATTTGTTGGTTAAGTTTAGATGGAAACATTAATTTTATCCAAATACATTTTCAAACAATTGTATAGCTTTTACATGTAACATTTTAAAGGATTTCAGTTCTTTAAACATGAATATGTTTGCCAAAATTATAGTACATTTGCCAAAGGTGCGTTGGCCTTCGTGCGCAGGATCTAATATGCAATTGCAATTAAGCACTTGCATTTAATCTGTCTCAACGGGTGTGTAAATATTGTAGATGGTTTTCAGTTTCCATATTTCATCCCCTGCTGTTTTCGCAATATAAGCACGTGCTATCTTTTTCGCAATACAAGCATGTGCTATCTTCTTTTGCAATGGTTGCAGGGAAAGTAGGAACCTCCATGTGTCAAAAACCACAATCTACTTTTATATAACGCCTTTTGCATTGGGAAGATATCTCAAAAGCAGTGGAAGCGAGCGAGGGTAGGGGCTGCAGGAGTCCGGTGAGAAGAACGGTGTAATAAGTGTTGGAATAACCAAGCCTGGACATCATGAAAGCATGGATGAGATTCTTGGCAGCTATGGTTTTGATTTATCTTAAATTTTGTCACTTATACAGCAATAGACCATTGCTATTAAAAGATATCATTCCACTCAATGCACCGATGGAAGGGATATCCGGCCCAGTGAGCTAGAATTGTAATTATTTGAATCCCACGAGCAGAGGATGAAAAAAAACTGCCTTCTGCTGGTCAGATTCAAACTGAGCCAAAGTCGATATCACTGGCCACTGAAAGCCGGCAGGTGAAGTTGAGGTGTGCGAAAGAGTGGGCTGAAAGGAATCTACATGCAGCCCACAGAATTTTCTTTTTGAAAAATCCCAGGGTTTTAATGCATTTTGGGTTTGAAGTGAGTTAAGATCCAGTGCAAGGATTATCATCACCTTTGGAATTTTTCTGTGCCTCCAAAAAAAAATTTCAGCATGGGAAATGCATAAATAAATAAAAATGTCTGCAAGGAAAATGTGTATGTAAGTGTGAACTAATGTGCAGCATGAATTCTCTGATGTTGGGTGGCGAATATCTATGCAAATTATTAAAAATAAAAGGTATGTTTACAAAAAAAATTGCAATTGTTTATTTTCCCAATTTTCAAATGTCTTGTGCTATTCTTTATGAAATTAGAAGAACGGCAACTGAAGCTATTCAGCCCATTTTGAGTCTGATGCACTTGATTAGATCATGTCAGATATTTTAATTGTATTTGCCCTCCTATCCCTTCGTTCTAAACCAACTGCCCATCTCCCTTTTGAACATCCTAATTGATTAATTTACTTCCCCAGCCTCTTGGGGAGTGAATTCCCCGTACTGATAATCCTTTATATGGAGAAATTATTCTGATTTGACTTTTAGAGTTTAGTCATTTTAAGACTGGTTCTTGTTTTGGTCAGCCATATGTATCTGACGCGTGCTTAAAAGTATCCAAACCATACTGAAAGTTCCACATATGTATGTATGCCACTTGCACATGGACATTTCCATGTCTGGAATGAATTGTGCACTTTCTTTTTGGAAGGAGAGGGGCACTCTGCTTTCTAATTGTTGGACAATTAATTCACTTTACTGTATATTCTGTGAACTGCTTTGAGACGTCTCAAATATGTGATAATGTGTGCTATCAAATGCAAGGTTTATTATATCAATTGCAGATATTATTGTTAATAAATTGTTGAACACCACCAACAGACTTTTGCAAAAGAAAACCAAATAAGGCAATAACAAAAGCTTTCTGTGATTTGACTTTAAAATAGCTCAACAGAGTTCTTGATGCATTAATAAGCAAATTCTTTTTTTATAATAATACTTACATTTGATATTGTTCCTTTTACATTGGGAGATGTCTCAAAGCACTTCACAAGATATTTTATTTAGTATTTTGTAGGCAAACATGGTAACTAACCAATTTGCATACAGTGATGTACCACAAAAAGCAAACAACCATGAGATAAATGACCAATTTTACTTGGGGAATTGTTGACCGGGACAACTGGAGAAACTCCTTTCCCTTTTGTCTTAAGGGGAGTTTTGAGAGGAGGGAAGAGGCAGAGGGACTCTGTGATGGAGTTCCAAAGAACAGAGATAGAATGACTGAATGTTTGCATACCGATGGCGGATGGAGAGAGTGGGGAATGTGAAATGGGAGAATAGCTGGTGGCGTAGGGATGCAGAGGGTGGGTGGGAGCAAGGCTCTGCTGCTCCTGCGTGTTCTTTGATGATGGAAAAGCAGCAATGGGGGAGGTTGTCTCTCCATTCACAGCTCTCAGTGATAAAACGTTTAGATTTTTGGTATTGAATAAGCAAATTTCTGAATCTGAAAACAAAAGGCAAAATTATTTCAATACTTATTTTTAATGACGCTCAATTTTATCCTGAGAGGTGTTGAAACGGTAATACTGTAGACGATAATAATCACTGCGTTTGATATAGCGCCTTATCAGGTTGTCAAAAGACATCGGAATATTCCTGGCCTGCCGCAAAACGTTTTAAAATACCGCGGTCTCCTCGCTTCGTCTTTATAAAAGCAAAGAAAGAGCCCCCACCCCGTCGTGAACCCGTGATTGAGAAATAAATGTCCGTCCGCACACCGTACAAGGTCTGGCCAAATAAATGTTGTGTGCCGTCCGCACACCGTACAAGGTCTGGCCTGTGGTCTCCCGTCACATCCGTGACTCCGGAGCAAACAGAAGGAAACCCAGAGGGGGTCTGTGTGACTGTCTGTCTGTGTGACTGTCTGTGTGACTGTCTGGGGGACTGTCTGTCTGTGTGACTGTCTGTCTCTAGTCTTTCTGCGTGACTGTCTTTGTTGTTTGTTTGTTGTTTTCTGTTTATGTGACTTGTGTCTGTCTGTGTGAATGTCTGTCTGTGTGACTGTGTCTGTCTGTTTATGTGACTTGTGTCTGTCTGTGTGACTGTCTGTCTGTGTGACTGTGTCTGTCTGTGTATGACTGTGTCTGTGTGAATGTCTGTCTGTGTGACTGTGTCTGTCTGTGTGTGACTGTCTGTGTGACTGTCTGTCTGTGTGACTGTCTGTGTGACTGTCTGGGGGACTGTCTGTCTGTGTGACTGTCTGTCTGTGTGACTGTCTGTCTCTCTAGTCTGTGTGACTGTGTCTGTCTGTGTGACTGTCTGTCTGTGTGACTGTCTGTCTCTCTAGTCTGTGTGACTGTCTGTCTGTGTGACTGTGTCTGTCTGTGTGACTGTCTGTCTGTGTGTCTGTCTGTATGTCTGTGTCTGTCTGTGTGACTGTCTGTGTGACTGTCTGTCTGTCTGTCTGTGTGTCTGTCTGTGTGTCTCTGTGACTGTCTCTCTGTCTGTGTGACTGTGTCTGTCTGTCTGACACTGTTGATGGGATTGAGAAAAAGTAAACCCAGAACAGTACTTTTCCGATGCACAAGTTGAAGGTGGGGGGGTGGGGGGTGAGGGGTAGGTTCCCATTTGGTGGGGAACTGTCGGCGGGAGCGGTTTGCCGGGGGAAGCCTGGCCACCGACACACACACACTCCTGCTACTGCGCATGTCCCGTCTGCATGGCTCCACGTGCACTCGCCAGATGTGCGCATGCGCGTGGACCTCCCCCCCCCCCCTCCCCCGCTTTGACCTCGCGGGCAGTGTGTGCGCATGCGCCCGGGGCCTGGTTGGAACCGGGTCTCAACGGCGGCTCCGCAGTGAGTGAGAAAATCACTGAGTGTGAGAGAGAGTGAGAGAGGGAGACACTGAGAGAGAGAGACACTGAGAGAGCGAGTGAGAGAGAGAGACACTGAGAGACACTGAGAGAGCGAGTGAGAGACACTGAGAGAGTGAGAGACACTGAGAGAGTGAGAGTGAGAGACACTGAGAGTGAGAGACACTGAGAGTGTGAGAGATACTGAGAGAGTGAGAGACACTGAGAGAGTGAGAGACACTGAGAGTGAGAGACACTGAGAGTGTGAGAGACACTGAGAGAGTGAGAGACACTGAGAGAGTGAGACACTGAGAGACACAGAGAGTGAGAGACACAGAGAGTGTGAGAGACACAGAGAGTGTGAGAGACACTGAGTGTGAGAGACACTGAGAGTGAGAGACACTGAGAGTGAGAGACACTGAGAGTGAGAGACACTGAGAGAGTGAGAGACACTGAGAGAGTGAGAGACACTGAGAGTGAGAGACACAGAGAGTGAGAGACACAGAGAGTGTGAGAGACACTGAGTGTGAGAGACACTGAGAGTGAGAGACACTGAGAGTGAGAGACACTGAGAGAGTGAGAGACACTGAGAGTGAGAGACACAGAGAGTGAGAGACACAGAGAGAGTGAGAGACACTGAGAGAGAGAGACACTGAGAGAGAGAGAGACACTGAGAGAGAGAGAGACACTGAGAGAGAGAGAGAGAGAGAGAGAGAGACACAGAGAGTGTGAGAGACACAGAGAGTGAGAGACACTGAGAGTGAGAGACACTGAGAGTGAGAGACACTGAGAGTGAGAGACACTGAGAGAGTGAGAGACACTGAGAGTGAGAGACACTGAGAGTGAGAGACACTGAGAGTGTGAGACACTGAGAGAGAGAGACACTGAGAGTGTGAGAGACACTGAGAGAGAGAGAGACACTGAGAGTGTGTGAGACACAGAGAGAGAGAGTGAGAGAGACACTGAGAGAGAGTGAGACACTGAGAGAGAGAGTGAGACACTGAGAGAGAGAGAGAGACACTGAGAGAGAGAGAGACACTGAGAGAGAGTGAGAGACACTGAGAGAGTGAGAGACACTGAGAGAGTGAGACACTGAGAGAGTGAGAGACACTGAGAGAGTGAGAGACACTGAGAGAGTGAGAGACACTGAGAGAGAGAGACACTGAGAGAGAGAGAGACATAGAGAGTGAGAGACACAGAGAGAGATGGAGAGAGAGAGAGACTGAGAGAGTGAGCGAGAGACACTGAGAGAGAGAGAGAAACACTGAGAGAGAGAGAGAAACACAGAGTGAGTGAGAGAAACACAAAGAGAGTGAGTGACAAAATCACTGAGTGTGTGTGAGAGAAACACTGTGAGCGAGAAATACAGAGTGAGAGAAACAGTGACAAAATCACAGTGTGTGTGAGAGAGTGAGAGAAACAATGTGTGTGTGGGAGAGTGAGAGAACACTGTGTGTGTGAGACAGTTAGAGAAAAGTTGTGAGAGAGTGAGAAACTCTGTGAGTGAGAGAAACGCTGTGTGAGAGTGAAAAAAACACTGTGTGTGAGAGTGAGAGAAATGCTGTGTGAGTGAGAGACGCTATGTGAGAGTGAAAGAAACACTGTGTGAGGGTGAGAGAAACACTGTGTGTGAGAGTGAGAGAAACGCTGTGTGTGTGAGTGAGAAACACTGAGAGAGTGAGAGAAACGCTGTGTGTGAGAGAGTGAGAGAAACACTGTGTAAGAGAAACGCTATGTATGAGAGTGAGAGAAACGCTGTGTGTGAGAGTGAGAAACATTGTGAGTGGGAGAAACACTGTGTGTGAGAGTGAGAGAAACGCTGTGTGTGAGAGTGAGAGAAACACTGTTAGTGATATGAAACAGTTGAAAAAACACTTAATAAATTGTAGTAAAATATACCTAGTATCCACAAAAGACGCTGCTCCATTGAACCAATGCATTTATTGTTTTGAGGTTGGGACGTTTAACGATTGCTCCAAAGTGTGGAGTATGTCTGTTTTTACCTCCTGAGGTTTGTAATATGGTTGGGAAAAATAAATGAGTGCAGTATCAACGATATTTATCTCGGCCAAACAAATATTTTCACATTAGATCCCACAAAGAATATTTACTTTTTTTTAATATATGAAAAACAGACATCTTTAGTGGGTACCTATATGTAGGAGAGTCGGGAAGCACCTTTTTCAAACCACTAAACTGCTGAAAACTACTGTTTTATTTTCTTCCCTCCCTTCTCTCTTTAAATCCAATTTGCATTCTGAGTTTCATGTGTGTTGCTTACAGATGTAGTTACGATTCATGTGTGAAGCAGAAACCCTACGTAAGGCCAGAGTGTCACAATTAAGGCTACTTTCCAGCAAGAAGGAGAGGTACAGCATAGCAAATAGAAACTTTGGCTGATTTTTCTCATTTGTAGTCAGCAGAACTGGACCAATTAATTTTGCACTGTTGAGATCAGCAAAATGAACACGGACCAGGGATCAAACCTGAGATTTTTCTGCTCTTTATGGCTGTTTAAGGGGCAGTATTTCCTAAAGGACATCAAGGAGCTGTTTCTCAATGAGTTTTATTTTATTAATGAGTTTTATTAAGCGCTCTGAGACACAACAACAACAACAAAATTACATTTATAGAGCGCCTTTCACGCCGGAGGATGTCCCAAAGCGCTGAACAGTCAGGTGTCGGGGCCCGAGCATGGGGGAGGATTGGTGTAGGGGTGAGGGAAGGCAGAAAGGTGGGAGGGCGACCAAAGGCACGGTCGAAGAGAAGGGTCTTGAGATCGGCCTTGAAGGAGGCGAGGGAGGAAGCGAGGCGAAGGGACCGTGGCGTCACAGGGTGTGGGGGCAGAGAGGCTGAAAGCCCGGCAAACGATGGTAGGGCAGGTCGGATGGGAGACATGGAGCAGGCCGGAGCCTGCTGAACGGAGGGAGCGGGCAGGTTGATAGGGAGTCAGCGTGGTCAGAGAGGTAGGAGGCGGTAAGGCCATGGATGGCCTAAAAGGTGAGGACGAGGATCTTGAACTGGGGGATGGGGAGCCAGTGGAGTCGGGCGAGGGTGGGAGTGATGGGGTCACAGAGCCTGGTGTGTGAGAGTACACGAGCTGCAGAGTTTTGGATGATCTGCAGCTTGTGAAGGGAGGAGTTGGGAAGACCGATGAGGACGGAGTTCCCGTAATCGAGTCTTGATGTGACAAATGCGTGGGTGAGGGTTTCGTCAGCCTGAAGGGTGAGGCAGTGGCGGAGTCTGGCAATGTTGCGGAGGTGGTGGTAGGCAGTGTCGGTCATGGTGCGGATGTGGGGGAGAAAGGACAGTTCAGGGTCAAACAAGACACCCAGGTTCCTGACTGGCTTAGTGAGGTTGAGTGTGCAGCCGTGGAGGCTGATTCTGCCAACGCCTGAGGTGCGGAGGCACTGACGTGAGCCAATTAGGTGGGCCTCGGTCTTGCTGACATTGAGTTGGAGAAAGTTGTCCCTCGTCCAGGACAGGGAGTCGGTCAGGACTTCAGTAGTCCTGGAGTTGAAGGTGGAGGTAGAGACGTAGAGTTGGGTGTCATCCGCATACATGTGGAAATTTACCCCATGTCTGCAGATGACGTCACCAAAGGGGAGCATGTAGAGAGTGAAGAGGAGGGGACCGACAGAGCCCTGAGGAACACCGCACAAGATGGTGCGGGGGCTGGAGGAGAAGCCGTTTGCCGTGACGAAGTGGAGGCGGTGTGAAAAGTAGGACCTCAACCAGTCAATGACAGAACCTTGAAGGTTGTGGTGGGAGGAGAGGCGGTGGAGGAGGATTGAGCGGACTACGGTGTCAAAGGCGGCGGAGAGGTCGAGGAGGACAAGGAGGCAGAGGGAGCCCTGGTCACACATGGTCAGGATGTCGTTTGTGACCTTGACCAGATCCGTTTCCGTGCTGTGGGCAGCACAGAAACACTACCCAGTGTGGAGGGCGCTATATAAGTGCAAGTCGTTGTTACTTTACCTGCAGTGCATTCTGAGGGTGATATTACATCCTATGGAGTCCTGTAGCTCAGTGGTTAGAGCACTCGCTTTGCAAGTGAGAGACCTGAGTTCAATTCCAGGCAGAGGGCGAAACCTTGGGCAAGCTTCCTTACTCCACACAGAGCCTAATAATAATCCCTCCAAAAAAAAACAATAATAAACTGGTCATTTTCAATCCATATGACTGTTTGTGGGACATTGCTGTGCGCAATTGGCTGCCGAGTTCGCCCACAAATATACAGTCAATTCACTTTACAGTGTGTTCTGTGAAGCGCTTTGGGACGTCCTCCCGACGTGAAAAGCGCTATATCAAATGCAAGGATTATATCAAATGCAAGGATTATGTCCAGTGTATCCGTCAGATAATTAAAAAACAGTCTGAAATGTTTGAAACAAAACATTTATTCGAAACAAAGCATCTGTAGTATTTTGCGTTCTGAAATTTTTTAACTTGTTTTTTAGAATGAGTACAGTGTAAATTGGTATTTGGAAGGTTCTATATTTTTTACATTTTAAGATTTATAGAATTGCACATCTTATTTGGATAATAATTTGCTCAATTTATTTGATCAAAATATTGCTGTAATTTGTTCTGTCCTTTACAGATTATTGAGTGCTTAGTTTCACTGGATTATTTACTTTCCATTTTAAAATGGAAATCTCAGCACAAGTCGCAAAAGGAGGAGTGCGTAAAGCAAGACCACCATCTGCCAAGACCACTTTCAACAATCCATACAGTATAAAATGGAGTCCTTTGGCTGAAGGGAGCATGGCATTCATCTTGGAGGTTTTGAAGAATAAGTTTCAACAGGTTGGTTTGTACAAAATAGAACCTACACACAGACCCAGGAAACCAAGAGCTTCAAAGGCACCAAAAAATCAGAATAAACAAGAGAACTCTGAAAAACCAGAGGAAAGCCAAGAGACGGTCCAGATTATGGAGACAGAACAACAGCAACTACAAGAAGGATGGACTTCCAAACAATTTAGAAAACAGTTGGCCATTGGAATTAATGAAGTGACACGGGGTTTGGAGAAAGATGAATTGTGTTTGGTGCTGGTATGTTTGTCGGTGAAACCTGCTCTGATGACTCAGCATCTCATTCAGCTCAGCGTGAGTCGGGCAGTGCCTGCTTGTCAGGTTCCCCGTTTGAGTCAGACAATAGCACCAGTGTTGGGTTTAAAGTCTACGATAGCCCTGGGATTTAAAAGAAATGCAGAGACTTTCCTTCAGACCATTAAAGCCATTATCACACGAGTGCCTCGTTTAGATGTTCCGTGGATACGACCGAGCAAAAGAGAAGAGACTGCTGAGGGAATTGAACCAAAAGAGCCAATAGACGCCAGTGAAATGCAACAAGTTGAATCATCCTCATCAGCTGCTGTGTTCTCCTTGAGTCGGAAGCGGAAAATTTGTGAAGTGGCTTCAAGTGAAGCTTCTTTAGAATCAAGCAGTACAAAAAGCAACGAATCTGAAGTACAGCTTCTGCCTCTCGTAATAAAGAAAGTTGTTCCAAATCCAAATAAAATTCGAAAAACAAAAAAGAATAAGAAAAATAAATAGTTTAGTGATGTATTGTAATATTATGAAAACTGTTTAATAAATCTTTTAATACAATTGCTGTAATTTTACAATCATGGCAAGGGTCAAATACATTATTTTGCGTAATGCCTGTATTTTAAAGATAGCATCTGCACTGTCATTGCTAAAGAACTGACAACTTGGGTCAGACGTCTTGTGGAGTCCTGTATCTTAGCGGTTAGAGCTTGCCTCACAAGTGAGAGGACCTGGGTTTGATTCCCGGCAGGGCGATGCGTTGGGCAAGTTTCCTTACTCCAGACGCCTCTGTTCACCTAGCAGTAAGTAGGAACCTGGTTCTTAGTCAATTAGCAGATCGCTTTTCCGTGAGTATTAATCCCTTCCAATAAATAAATAATAATAATTTAGTCCCTGAATTCACGGCTGTTTGTGGTACACTGCCTTGTGCAATTGGCTGCTGTATTTCGCCCACAAAATATTGTTATTTCACTTTACAGTATATTCTGTGAAGTGCTTTGAGTCGTCTTGAAGACGTAATAAGGCACTAAATCAAATGCAAGGATTATTATTATTGTTGGAGGTGCCGTCCTTCGAATTAGAAGTTAAAAACTGAGGTCCCATTTGCCTGTTCAGATGGGCAGTAAAGATCCCATGGCACTACTCAAAAAAAGAGTTTCTCCCGAGTGTTTTGGCCAACAATCTTCCAAATAAAATTGGTAATTTGTTTCATGGCTGTTTGTAGGACAGTGGTGTGCAATTGGGCTGTCATATTTGTATGCTGTGCAGTCACTCCGCAGTAAATCCTGTGAAGCACTTTGAGGTGTCATAATGTGAAAGATGCAATACCAAATTCAAGGATTATTATAATGCAGCCAAGACTTGTATATGCTCTATTACCTACAAATGCAACTCAAATGACCTTTGTACTCATCTCCCCAAGCTCCAGTTCATGCACAAAAAGCTTATATCCTAAACCATATCAAGCTATGCATGAGCATGGACTCCATCCTTGTCAGGTTCCATTGTCTCCTAGTGGGTTGACTTTAAGAGGTGAAGGGCAACGAGGGAGGAGGGTGGTCGAAGGCACGATTGAAGAGGAGGGTCTTGAGGCGTGCCTTGAAGGAGGCAATGGAGGGAGCGAGGTGAAGGGAAGATGGAATGGACTTCCAGAGGGTGGGGGCAGATAGGCTGAAGGCCTGACCAGCGATGGTGAGGTGCACTGGTTGGAGAACATGGAGCAGGCCGGAGCCCGCTGAGCAGAGGGAGCGGAGAGGTTGATAAGGGGTTAGCAGGTCAGAGACATAGGTGGGGGCAAAGCCGTGGAGGGCCTTGAAGGTGAGAACGAGAATTTTGAACTTAATCCTCTGAAGGATGGGGAGCCAGTAGAGCCGGGTGAGGGTGGGCGTGATGGGGTCACAGAGACTGGGACGAGAGAGGACACAAGCTGCAGAGTTCTGGATGATCTGCAGCTTGTGGAGGGGAGAGTTGGGAAGGCCAACGAGCAGGGTATTGGCATAGTCGAGCCTGGTTAATGAAGGCATGTATGAGGGTTCCGGCGGCCTGAGGGGTGAGGCAATGGCGGAGTCGAGCAATGTTGCGGAGGTGGGGGAAGGCAGTGAGGATCATGGTACGGATGTGGGGGAGAAAGGACAGTTGAGGATCGAACAAGGCACCTAGGTTGTTGACCGGCTTGGTGAGGTAAAAGTGTGCATCCGTGGATGCTGATGCTGCCAGTGCCAGAGGTGTGGAGGCCCTGGCATGAGTCAATCAGCAGAGCCTCGGTTTAGCTGACGTTCAATAGAAAGTTAGCTCTCATCCAGGACTTGATGTCTGACAGACATTCTGTCAGGACATCAGTGGTCCTGTGGTCGAGGGTGGAGGCAGAAAGATAGAATTGAGTGCCATCCGCATACATGTGGAAGTTAACCCCATGTCTGTGGATGATGTCGCCAAGAGGGAGCATGAAGAGGGTGAAGAGGAGGGGACCGAGGACAGAGCCCTAAGGAACACGAGACGGTGCAGGAAATGGAGAAGAAGCCACTTGTGGAGACAAAGTGGAGCCGGTCTGAGATAGGATCTGAACCATTTAAGGACTATAATAATAATCCTTGTATTTGATATAGCGCTTTTCACGTCTTCTAGACGTCTCAAAGCGCTTCACAGAATAATAAAGACCTGAACCATAATAATTTGGTCACTCAATCCAATTGGCTGCCGCGTTTCACCCCAAAAATATAGTCAATTCACTTATAGTGTATTCTGTGAAGTGCTTTGAGACATCTAGAAGACGTGATAAGGCGCTATATCAAAGGCAAGGATTATTATTATATGATTAATGTTGGGGTTATAACTGTTCTCAGATAATAATAATCCTTGCATTTGATATAGTGCCTTATCATGTCTTCGAGACATCTCAAAGGGCTTCACAGAATATACGGTGATGACTGTTTCAGGAAAGTCCAGGGCCACTCACAAGAGATATTGAGAAAAAAATGGACCTCGCAACTGATGTGAAGTAATCCCCAGTTTGAACTATTCTGAATGAGGATCACGTATACTTCTGAATTTTTGGGATCAAAAATAACTTATATATTCTGAAACTCATTTCTCTTCCCTGTTTCATTTTAATGAAAAACAGATTTCCTCTTGTTCGCAAAGGGCTACTCACGGAACTTGCAACATAATTTTTTTTCTGTGAAGGAAAGGCAAAAATTTTGGCAAATGTAATTTCACTCCCAGCAGTATAAGAACAGAATAACAAATAAGTTTGTGATCTCCTAATTAAAACTTTTTACAGGTTGTAATTTCCCACACAAAGCGTATTATTCCATAACTTTTAAACTGCAAAGAGCTATAATTTAGGTATGAATGACGTATTCATTGCCACTGACTGGAGAGAATGGCCATGCATTAATTATGTGCCAACTGCTGTAGTTCATTTGCAGTTAAATAACCACAGATAATAATAATGATAATAATTCTTACGGGTGACATAGTCCCATTTGCTAGTAATGGCTTAAAAGCGCTTCACAGGAATTTGTATTGTAAAGTGTAATGACTATTTTGCTAGTTAATGGACAGTCATTTTATGTACAGTAATGTCTCAAAAACGGCCAAGAAGTTCATGAATAATTACATCATGGGTATAAATCTCAGGGATTTGAGAAAATTGTTACATTGTCATTACTGTGGTAGTGGGGTGAGGATATGCATACAAATCAGGACAACTGAACTTTGAGTAGGTGTACTATTCTCTACAGCAATTGTATTTCTTTAAAAAGTGTAACTATAGCTATTCTTCATTTTAACTTCATCCGAAAGCACAAACACAGGATAAGTATGAAATGAGTTCAGTTTTACATTTCAGAATCTATTAATTATTATGCCAAGTTTTTCAATAATATATTAATATAATAATAATATTAATATTAATAATATATTGACAGAACAAGAACAAGTAATTATTGAAAGTTAGCTCTGATTCAGGACTTGATGTCTGGCAGACAGACTGTGAGGACAGCAGTGATCCTGGAGTTGAGGGTGGAGGCAGAGAGGTAGAGCTGGGTGACATTGGTATACATGTGGAACTTGACCCCATGTCTACAGATGCTGTCACCAAGTGGGAGCATATAGATATTGAAGAAGAGTGGACCAAGGACAGAATCCCGAGGAACGCCGCACATAACAGTGCAGGGGTTGGAAGAGAAGCCATTCATGGACATGAAGTGGTGATGGTGGGAAAGGTAAGATTTGAACCAGGCAAGGGTAGGACTGTGAAGATGGAGCCGAGAGGCAGTGGAGATAGAGAGGCCAATAGATAAATATATAATAATAATAATCCTTGCATTTGATATAGTGCTTTTCACGTCTTCTAGACGTCCCAAAGCGCTCCACGGAATATACTCTAAAGTAAATTGACTATATTTGTGGGCGAACGCGGCAGCCAATTGCACACAGCAATGTCCCACAAACAGTCATAAATTGAAAGTGACCAATTTATTATTGTTTTTGGTTTTGGAGGGATTATTATTAGGTGTGTGGAGTAAGGAAACTTGCCCAAGGTTTCGCCCTGCCTGGAATTGAACCCAGGTCTCTCACTTGCAAAGCGAGTGCTCTAACCACTGAGCTACAGGACTCCGCTATATCTGATAGTAGCATCTATAAAAAGGGCTATTATATACAATAACTTCTTTGTATATCATTGTTCGATTCATTTTGAACGTCTGCTTGCAGGGTTCATGTTCTGGCCGCCAGCAGACTCAAATGAAGCAGGATAACAAGACATGATGCAACAAGACTTTGAATGGGGAAGTGAGCCCTCTTGTGGTATGAGGTACCATAAAAGACAAAAAGCAAAGATGATAGCTGGACTCTCCAGATATGAAACATTTGTGCGCCTGTGACAGCTGGAAAGGTCATGTTTGGCTGTGATGCCATCTACATGAGAGGGCCAACAATGGTCCCTGAAACCACCCATGGAGGTCAAAAGACCCGAGCAGCAACAGAGAGGCATGTGCCAGAGAGGAAAAAAATAAAAATAATTCAATACACTAAAAAAATCAAAAATGTAATCAGTAAGCTTCAATATTTGTCATTTTTCGCTGTACAGAAATACAATCTGACAGAATTTTTTTAATCAATTTTGATCATTGATAAAAATCAATTTTTTTGACAATGACACAAAGTGAACATGAGAATTAAATCAAATCATAACAGAAGCATTAGAAATGTCCCAATGGCTTTTCAACAAAATTTATATTTATATAGTATTGTATAGTATTGTCCGAAACACCATGCGTTCGTTACCTCCCGACACAACTTCTCAAATGCCCTCTTTGCCGGTTTCCCCCGCTCCACCATGGACAGGAACCAGGTGATCCAAAACTCCAGCACCCACATACTCACCTGTACTAAACTCCGTACCCCCATCCCACCAGTCCTAGCCAGGCTCCACTGGCTCCCTATTACCGAACGGATCGATTTCAAGGTCCTCACACTCATTTTAAAATTCTCCTTCGTGCCCTGGCACCTCCCTACCCTACCTCTCCGACCTGCTTACCTCCCAACCCAAAACCCGCCGACTCTGCTCAACTGGATCTGCATGTCCCCAGTGCCCTCCATTGGTGGCTGTGCTTTCAGCCACTACGTTCCGAAACTCTGGAATACTCTTCCTCTATCCCTCCGCCTTACCCCTTCCTTCCCCGTCTTCAGGTTGCACCTGAACACCTTCCTATTCCCAGCGCCTTGGGACGTCCTCCTGACGTGAAAGGCACTTTATAAATGGAATCTTGTTGTTGTTGTTGTTGTGACTATGGTCACCTCCCTCTTCCCCCCCCGCGGTCTGGAATGCCATCCCCCAGTGCCTTCGCCGCCTCCTCCCTTTCCTCCTTCACGGCCGGTCTCAAGACCTTTCTCTTTGACCGAGCCTTCAGCTCCCCTCTCGACTCTCCACCCCTCCTCGCCCCCTCCCTTTAGAGGGCCATTTCCCCCCCAATGCTCGGGTCCTGACCCAACTGTCCAGCGCCTTGGGACGTCCTCCCGACGTGAAAGGCGCTCTATAAATGCAATCTTGTTGTCGTTGTTGCGCTGCGTGAGGGGGTGCCACATGAATGCAGGTGGTTGTGCGAGGACAGAATGGAGAGCTGAGGGTTGAAGCGGACACCAAGGTTTGCGCACTGGGTTTTTGGTGTGTGTGAGAGGAGGTGGAATCAGGCAGACCGGGCAGTCACGTGACACTGGTCTGCCTCCCTGGTCCGAGTCAGCCTCAGCGCCAGGAACCTGACGCATGCGCTCTCACCACTCCCTGGAGAAACGGGCTGGGTCCGACGCAAGCGCAGTCACTCACAACCGGGGCGGTCGGTGGGCGGGGGGGGAGGGGTTTACGGTGGGGCATGCGCACAACGGTGCAGCTCCGGGTCTGACGCGCGGAGTGCAGTGCGCTTGCGCGCGGTGGGGGGGGGGTCTCTGCGATGTAAGAACGGAACCGGAAGCGGGCGGTCTTTCTTTTTCGAGCGGCCGCCATCATGGTGAGTGAGTGAGCGCGAGCGCGAGCCGCGGCCAGGCTGCACCTCGGGTTTAAAAATCAACGGAAATAACGGACGGAGGGGTTGGAGGGGAGGCTCCGGAGGCCGCGCGGGCGTCAGTGCGCGCGGGGGGCGGGATGGGAGAGGGGGGGGACTGGCTGCCGCCGCCTGGAGCCACTCTTGTGAGAGACCGAGCAACGTGCTCCGTGTCGGCGGGGCCTGGAGGACAGGCTTCCCCCTGCTGCTGAGGGAGGGAGCCTCTGCGGGGGTCGCCAGTCAAGCAGCAGGGAGCAGCCCCCGCCATTTTTTTCTGTCGAGTTGGGGGACAGTCGGGGTGGGGTGTGCGGGGGGGGGGGGGGGGCGCGAGGGCCCAGAAGGAGGCCAGAAAATGTCATGTCATTTGTATTAAACGAAATGAGTGAAGTGAAGGAGGAAATAAAGTGAATGTGTTTTGCATTGAATGCAATTTTAAAGTCTTTTAAACTGTGAGGAGAGGAAAGGAGAGGCCGAGCGCAGGGCGGCCCCTCCCCTCGCGTTACACCCCACACGCGGCCTCTCCGGGGCGGGGGCGGGGGCGCCCGCGGCGGCGGCTGCGGCGGCGGCTGATGGCGCTTCTCTTCCCTGTTGTGTCTGTGTCAGGTTTACAAGCGCTACGTGGAGATCGGCCGCGTCGCCTACATCGCGTTCGGGCCCCACGCGGGCAAGTTGGTGGCCATTGTGGATGTGATCGACCAGAACCGGGTATGTATCCTCAAAACAGTGCCCGTTGCCTTCGTTCCTCCGGGTCTGGACTCCTCCCCGTCCCCCGAGTCCTCCGCTCCGCCCTCAGCGGCCGTGCCTTCAGCCACTATGCCCCGAGGCAATGGAATCCCTTCCTCGCTCCCTTCGTCTCTTCCTATTTTCAGGTCTCTGCTGAAGACCTTTCTCTTCAACCGCGCCTTTGGTCACCTTCCCCCTCCCCCCGGCCCGGCCCCGGGATCCGTTACTGTGAAGCGCTCGGAGACGTCGTCCGGCGTGGAGGGCGCTATATAAATCCAAGTTGTTGTTCTTGTGGCCGGCGCACACCTGCCCCTCAGCACAGGCAGTACCTGCCCCTCAGCACAGGCAGGACCTGCCCCTCAGCACAGGCAGGACCTGCCCCTCAGCACAGGCAGTACCTGCCCCTCAGCACAGGCAGGACCTGCCCCTCAGCACAGGCAGGACCTGCCCCTCAGCACAGGCAGGACCTGCCCCTCAGCACAGGCAGTACCTGCCCCTCAGCACAGGCAGTACCTGCCCCTCAGCACAGGCAGGACCTGCCCCTCAGCACAGGCAGGACCTGCCCCTCAGCACAGGCAGGACCTGCCCCTCAGCACAGGCAGGACCTGCCCCTCAGCACAGGCAGTACCTGTCTGTGCCTTCTGACCGTTTTTTTTCCGTTGGGGGGTGGTTTCTTGTGAAGGGCATTAACTGCCCTTTCTTCTTCACATGTTGACCCAGAATGCTGTTTCACTCACACAAAAAGTCATTTATAATAATAAATCTTGCTTTGATATAGTACTTTATCATAACGAGACGTCTCTGGCATTTAACAGGAGTCCTGTAGATTAGTAGTTAGAGCACTCGCCTTGCAAGTGAGCACCTGGGTTCAATTCCCGGCAGTGCGTTTGAAACCATAGGCAAGTTTCCTTATTCCACAAGCCTCTGTTCACTGAAAAGTAAGTCAGATCCTGGTTGTTAGTCAATTGGCAGATTGTGTTTCCAGGGGTAATAATCCCTTCAATAAAAATTTGAAAAAGTATAGTCCATGACTATTTGGGACACTGCTGTGCGCAATTGACCGCTGTATTTCACCCACAAAATATAGTCATTCACTTTACAGTGTATTCCGTGAGGCACTTTGAGGTGTCTCGAAGATGTGATATATCAAACGCAAGGATGTTCCAACCCTAGTTTCTTCAGCCATGCATAGTGCGATGCTTACTTCTCCTTCATTCCTGTCCTCCACGCACACGATGTTAGCTCCTCTGTTTTTCTTATTTTCTCCTAAACTTTGTGCACTGCATGTATGAAGTCTTCAAGCGAAGAAATTCTCCCATTTCATGCCTATGCACAAAGAATTTAAATATAAACCTCCCCACATGTATAAGTTATTTACAATTATAAATGACACAGTGCTTTTTACATCTCAAAGTGCTTTATACAGCTGATCAAAAGCCTGATCTGAGGTTTAGGGGAGATTTGGCAGAAAGCATGGTTGAAAAGATGGGACTTAATCCAGGGAGGGAATGGGCAAGGCAGAGTTCCTGAATGGAGTTCCTGAGAGCGGGAGCAGAACGGCTGAAAGTTCACCCACTGATGTGAGGTGGATTGTCCTGGGGGACATGAAGCAGGCCAATGTTTGAGTGGAGGGCGTAGCCAAATTGTGTGGGTGGGGAGGAGGTTCTTTTTATATGTATAATATATATATAATATATATGAGTTTTGAGTTCTGGAAGTGCATTGATCCATTTCATTGATTACATTTCTCAGGCATTGGTAGATGGTCCTTGCAGTGGAGTAAGAAGACAGGCTATGCCATTTAAATGTATGCAGCTTACTGACTTCAAGCTTCCTATCCCACACAGGTAAGATCTGAATTTTCTTTATTTTTGAAGCTGGTTCTGCAGACACCAACTTCACTCTCACCTTTTGCTGCTCAAGTTCCTCCAGTCTGGTTTCCGTCCTGTCCTGCCCACAGCAATGAGCCAGCCTTAATTAGTTACCAATGACAGACTTTCTCTGCAACAATGTCCATTGATGTTCTGTCTGCCCGCCTGTCAGAAATCAAGGCTTGGATGAGTATCAACTTCCTGCAGCTAAATAATAATGAGGCAGAAGCATAGAGTCCAGCTCATTCAAACTCTTTCATGTCTTCAATCAGGTTTATGCCATCAAACCGCAGAACATTTATTTGTTAATAGTGAACTCGCCTAAAGATCTCATGCAATTAATGCTCCTTTGGCTAATCAATTGAAGATCTTGAAACAAGTAGTTCCACTCTCAGACCCTATGCCAGGACCCAATTCAACAACTTGCATTTGTATAGCGCTCTTCACCGTATCCTATTATTAAAAAAAATGGCTGGGGTTTACCTAGGGTGAAAATTCCTTCTACTTATGTTTGTTTGCTCTCAGAAGTGAATGTTTGCAAACGATAGCAAAAGTTTATTTTGAAACCTGTATTGTTTCTCGTTCCTGCTCTACTTCCATGTCCATGCCCTTTCCTGGTTTCACTCTTACAGACCCAGCATCTTGTCACTTCCAACAGTGTTTTTTCTCTCCCCGCACAAGTAACATGAGGCGTTTCTCAGGGCTCTTTCTATCTTTGGTCCTCTTCATAAAATAGATTTGCATGCAATGAGAAACACATGGGTCACACCAAATAAAATGTCTCCTTGATGGATTGGTTGGTCATGATCTTAAGAAAGTGGTGGGACAATCCTTCTGTTCCTATCACACCCTATTCTCTCTCTACCTCTATCCCCAATTCTATGACTGGTACATCTGTGAAGTGGCTTGAAATATTTCCACTGTGTGATAAGGTGCTATATCAAATGCAAGCATTATTATAATAGTGCTCTTCTGACCGATTACCTGGGCCAATAGAATAGTGCAGAAATATTTGGCCCAAATTGCAGGGCATTTGACAAATTATGCGGGAAATGATTGGTGCTGTTGAAATACGCATTTTGTGAAACAACCCAGATTAAAACTGTAGGCATATATTTCCTGAACATGTAGTTATGTTTAAAATACAAAAAATGTTAATGTGAATAGTATAGGACTTACTATGGATCGGTTACAGGAGCTCAGTGGGTGTCGGGCAAAGCCAATTTCCTGCTCGCGCCAATTCCGCAATCTCAGCACTCCCCAACACATACGCAAACAGAGCCACTCCACCCGCAGTGGCAGCTTCGAACGAGAGGCCCCGGGGCCATGCATACTGTGCATACAGATTTGTAGGGGAGGAATTGTTGCAAATTGCATGGAAAAAGTGCGGATGTACTCTTCTATTGGCTCAGCCGATTGCCTATCAGACATCAGAGTACTGGATGAGTTCTAACATTCTACAGGCCCACTGGCAGCATGCATTTATATAACAAAGATACATTTGTATAGCGCCTTTCACATCGGGAGGACATCCCAATATTTATATAGGGCCCTTCATGTGGAGTAATGCCTTGAAGGCTTAACGGTGGTAGACCTTGACGTCGAGCCAGGGAAAGAGGGGAATTGACTTCAGGCAAGGTTGAGGGCCAAGGTTTTCAGGTGTGATGTGCAGGCAATACCAAGACTCAACTTCATCCCAGAGTCCCTTCACATTGGATGTCCATTCCTCCCCCAACCCCAGCTTCAACTTTAAGACCCATCTTGTCAACTGTGCTTTCAGTCACTTATTGTTCCTCTCTTACCCCTCAACTGTACCACTTCAATTAAGCCTGAGGTCACCTCCTCATCCAAAAACCTGAGCCCCAGTCAGTTGTGTGAAGTATTATGAGATGTTCTCCAGAAGTAAAAGATGCTATACAAAGTAAACTGATCGTAAATGATGTGTTCTTTGGTGAATTTATGAAATGATGTTTTTCTGCTGTAAAAGTATACTGTAAAATGTGCTTTCTAGTACTCGTCAGAAGGTTGTGAGAGCTGCTTGGGTGAAGGCGCAAGTCAGTGAGAAATGGACAGAATCTCACTGGGCAAAGAAAATTGTTGCCAGAGAGAGGGTAAGTGCACTGTTTGCATGAACCTGCTAACTCTGTCCACATGTATTTCCTTGTGTTTGCAGGCTACAGTTCTTTTTGTATATAAAAAAACTCTTGGAGTTGATTTTCGACAGTGTCTTGAATTCAGTCCCTCCCAGCGTTTGTAGTAATTCCAGTTGGCAGAATTTTACATTGCGAAGGAAAATTCCTTATAGTTGGGGCTTCTGATTTTTGATTCTAACCACAAAATACTGATAAAATACCCCAGATACAAACAAATGAAATTGTGTTTATTCCAATGAAGACTGGAAATGCTGTCCTGGCATAACTCTTGAGGTGAAGTCGTCTCGCTCGTTCTTTGCCTCTCCCTCTCCTGTGCACAGGTGAATCTGGTGAAGCATTTGTATGTAAGAGGAGGAAGACACGTCATGCACCAGAAGTGTTTGCACATATGAAGAGAGGTGCTCCTACAGATACGGAATGTCTCGCTCATCTTGAATACAAGCACTTCACCAGACGTGCCTATGCACATGAAGGGCAGAGTGGCACCCTCACACATGCGCAATGTCTCCCTCCTGCGCTTCACCAGACATGCTCTCTCACACATGTAGGCAGTCTTTCCCCTCTGTGCAAAGGTGAGTGAATTGTCTCAGTAAGTAAAAGCAATGAAAAACCTTGGATTTTTTTACTTCTACACAGAACTCAGTTTGCTTAAAAAAAAGCTTCAAATATTAAATTATTAAATATTAAAGTTTCCTTACTCCACACAGAGCTTAATAATAATCTCTCCAAAAAAACAAAACAATAATAAGTTGGTCATTTTCAATCCACGACTGTTTGTGGGACATTGCTGTGCGCAATTGGCTGCCGCGTTCGCCCTCAAATATACAGTCAATTCACTTTACAGTATATTCTGTGAAGCGCTTTGGGACGTCCTCCCGACGTGAAAAGCGCTATATCAAATGCAAGGATTATTATTATTATTATTATAAATTAATAAACACTGAAAAACAGAAGCCCTACTTATAATTCTTAAATATTTTGTTGCTTTTTTTCAGAGAGCTAAAATGACAGACTTTGATCGCTTCAAGGTCATGAGGGCCAAGAAAATAGTAAGTATTTTTTCCTCGAGCAAATGTCATAGAAAATAGATTGACAATTTGAATTTATACAGTGTCCATGTTGAATAATGTCCCAGAGCGCTTCATAGAGACTGACTCACTGAGGTGGGGGAGGAGAAAAAGAGGTGACTGTAGGCCCAACCAAGGAGGTGAGTGACCATTAAGCCTGATCAAATGGTTTTAGGTGATGTCTGAAGATAGAGAGGGGATGACACAGGAAGTGCTGGAGGGAGGGATATAGTGACTGAAGGTTTGGCTGCTGATGATGGGGAGGAAGGGCGGAGGGTAACAATAAATTACTTTTGTATAGCGCCTTTCATGTTGGGAGGATGTGCGAAGGTGCTGGACAGGCAGGGATTTGGACCCGAGCTAGGGGTTGGAGGCGGAGGCAAGGAAGGTGACCAAAGGCACAGTCGAAGAGGAAGGTTTTGAGGGAGGGGGGTGAGGCGAAGGGACCGTGGCATGGAGTTCTAAAACGCAAGGGCAGAAAGGCTAAAAGCCCGATGGCCGGTGGGTAGGATGGGAGGTATGAAGCAGGCCAGAGTCCTCTTAAGTGGAGAGCGCGGACAGATAGGTGCAGAGTAAGCAGGTCACAGAGTTGACCAAGACCATGGCATTCAGCAGGCCTCTGTTTGCCAAATTGTAGGGGTGAACAGAAGAATGAGGCTGGAGAGGATCTGAAATGGGGAGCAGCGAGTATGTGATGAGATCTGTAGTTGGATATGAGGATCTTAGAAGTTAATTGACTGGGAACCTGGCAAAGATGAGTTATAGGCCTGCATATTTTGACAAATATGGATATGCATACTCACGTACACATCGAGTGGGTTAGGTGGAGGACCTAAAGATTTCAGGAGTTTGCTGAGTAGATGAAGCGGCTCGGGCTGTTAAAGATCACAAAGGTAGGCCTTGGGGGGATTTGAAAGCAAGAACAGAGAGCTTGAATTCAATCATTGGGTGGGGGCACATAGGTAAACATACATAGTGGTTAGAGCACTCGCCTTGCAAGTGAGATTACCCGGGTTCGATTCCCAGGCAAGGTGAAACTTTAAGCAAGTTTTCTTATTCCTTACACCTGTAAGTAGGAACTTGGTTGTTAGTCGATTCTGGAAGTAATAGTCCTTTTTTTAAAAAAAAATCCTCTAAAATTTGGTCACATAATCCACGACTGTTTGTGGGACACTGTTGTGTGTAATTGGCTGCTGTGCAAAATAAAATACAGTCTATACAAAACACTTTCCAATGTTTGTGAAGTGCTTTGAGACGTCTCAATGATGTGATAAGGTAGTACATCAAATACATGGATTATTGGTCGGACCAAATTAAGGTTTGAATGCAAGTGCTGCATTACGTTTATTGAATTTTTGAGGGGAGGATTTTAAGTGCAGTAATTAGTTGCGGTGATTGACTTGGATGAAAAATAATTCAAATGAGCATTGACAACGTGTTAGGCATTCGAAGTAGACCCTTTCCGACTTGGACTGTAGTCATAAAGGGGGGATATGAATGCCAGAGAAAATAAAACCTGTACCAGATGCTGCAAGTCAGTTTTCATCTTTCTGAGCAGCAACACATGGCTTTAACAAGAAGAATTGATCTTTTGGTTGTTGGTGTGGATAACAGAACAACATTCATGGTGCTTATTTGTTTTTCAGCGAAATAAAATCATCAGACATGAGCTGAAAAAACTCCAGAAGGAGGAATCCAAGAAAGCAGGAACCAAGAAGGGGGACGCCAAGCCAGAAGCCAAGCAAGTGGAAACTAAAAAGCCAAAAACTAAAAAAGGGGAAACTAAGAAGGCATAAATGCTGACCGTTCTTGCAAAAAAATAAACTTTTAACTATTGTTTGGACTTGCTGCTGTGAATTGATTCATTTTTGAAAAGAAAATCACTGGATTACAAATTTGAGGAATTGAGTGGCAGGGGTTGACAGTTTGGAAAATGGGATTTTTGGACTGAGTCCCACTCCCATTCTAAACAGCTGTCATCACTCCCCCTTTTTTAAAAAAAAGCATACTCTCAATCCCTTCAACCTTGTGCACCAGAGTCCCATTTCAAACCTCCCCTTCCTGGCCAAAGCCCTGTTGCAAACCAACTTCGCTCACGCCTCACCCTCCACTCCGGCATCCACCCAACCCACAGTCCTAATTAACCAACCACCAGCACTTCCATCTTGACCAATTGTTTTTTCTCTTACCTCCACCCGGTCACCTGCAACGTATCCCAAGGCTCCATCCTTGGCCCCCTTAACCTCATCTATACGCTCCCTCTTGGTGATGTCACCCACAGACATGGAGTCAACTTCCACATGTTTGAGGATGATACTCAAATCTACTCCAGCTGTGACTCCCAGTCCGCTGATGTCTTGTCAGCTTGTTTGACAGACATCAAAGCTTGGATGAGTGCAAATTTCCTGCAGCTGAATGTTGGTGAGACGGAAGCTATACTCTGGTGCCCCGTCATCATATTCTCTCTTGCAGGTCTGAACTCAGACTCCGAAACCGTGTGCAACTTAAGTGTCAGGTTTGATCCCCAACTTGGCCTTTCTCATATATCCATTCTCTGACCAGGATTGCTTTTTTCCACCTCTGCCACATTGCACGCCTCTGCCCATACCTCACTACCAAAGCAGCTGAAACTCTCCATGGCTTTGTCACTTCCTGGCTGGACTATTCCAATGCCCTCCTTGCTGGTGTTCTCAGCTCCATTCACAAAATACAATTAATTTAAAACTCGCCCGGACACTCAATCACAAGAAACTCAGTAACCCCATCACACCAGTCCTTGCCAGGCTCCACTGGCTCCCAATCACCGAACGGATCGATTTCAAGATCCTCACTCATTTTCAAATCACTTCATTCCTTCGCACCTCCCTATCTATCCAACCTGCTTACTCCCCACTCCACTCGCTACCTCCACTTGGCTGGCTCTGGCCTTCCATTTACCCCTTGTCCCCTCCATTCCACCATCGGTGACCGTGCCTTCAGCCACTACACCCCAAAACTCTGGGACTCTCTCAATTGCTTCCTCCTTGCCCCCTCCCTCCCCACCTTCATATCTTGCCTAAAGATGTTCCTTTTTGATGGAGCTTACAGTCACCTCCCTCTCCCCTTGGCTCATTGTCAGACTCCTGAAGTGCTTCTGGACACTACCCCACGTGAAGGGCACAATATAAATGCATGTTTTATTTATGAATGAATGAATATTTCTACATTGTTTGCCAGTGCAATGTAGTGCGTATGAGAATTATAGAACCGACTGCTTTTTTCTCTATAGCTGAGATATCAAGCTAGATAGAAGTTTGCAAACATCTTACAGGGTTAAGTTTATATCTCTCCCATATTATAAGGAAATGATCTAAGGCCCACTCTTGCGCGGTCACCTGTGGTGTACTCCAAGGCTTTATTCTCAGCCCCTTTTTTTTCTCATTTGCATGCTCCCTTTTGATAATATCTGCAGACAATGGAGTCAACTACCGCATGTTATAACTTTTCTCCTAGCTGCTGGTTCACCAATGATACATGTCTGCCTGCTTGTGAGACATCGAGACCTGAATGAGCATGAACTTTCTGCAGCTAAACATAAACAAGACTGAAGCCATCCTCTTTGCCTCCCATCAATGTCCTCTCATTTGTGGCTCTGATCTCCTTAACCTCCCTGGCCTATCCCGTCGGGCTCACCGAACCTGTGCGCAACTTGGAGTGTGTTTCAATTCATAGTTGTCCTTCCTACCCCTCATCTAATCCCTGACCAGGACCACTTTCCTCCACTTCCAACACATCACCCATCTCTGACCATGCTTCACACCCAACACTATCAAATCCCTCATCCACTCTTGTCACCTCCCACCTTGATTTATCCAATCCCCTCCTCACCAGACCTCTCAGCTTCCCCATTCACAAAGCCCAACCGATTCGAAACTCCTTCGCCCTTATCACCTGTTCCAAGCTCTGCATCACCATTACCCCAGTCCTTGCCAGGCTGCTTTGGCTTTCCCCTAGTTTCTGCTCATACCCCATTTCAATGCCACAGAATATACTGTAAATTGAATTGACTGTATATTTGTGGACGAAATGTGGCAGCCAATTGCACACAGCAGTGTCCCACAAACAGTCATAGATTCAGTGATTTAGTCGTGGAAAGTGATCCACCAATCAACCAACAACAGGGTTCCTACGTACTGCTAGGTAAACAAGCGTGTGGAGCAAGGCAACTTGTCCAACATTTTGCCCTGCCGGGAATAGAACTCAGGTCTCTCGCTTGCGAGGCGAGTGCTCTAATCACTGAGCTACAGGACTCCACACGGCCTGCTCCATATCCTTCGCCCATTTCATGTCACTTTGCTCCTGCTGCCTCGAACTCTTTCTAAATACTTATGCCTGGCTCCATCCCTCCACTTTAAAAATCCATATTGAAACCTGTATAATGGTCTTTTGTCACCTTCTTTCCTCCTCCCCCATCTGCCACCCAGTTGAGGCTCCATTCTGGAATGCTTTATATACACAGGTCTTGGAATCCACTTTGATAGGTGTACATAGAGCGAAGCAGCTGCTGCTCAAGATCTGCTCCTCCAACTGGTGGAACCATCGCTTAATGGGAATCTGAGCTGTGGGCCGGAAGACGATGATAGCAACGGTCTTGTGCATTTTATGCTGAGTGGCGTTGACACCAGGCAACTTGCACAGAATTCCTGGTACCTACCATTCACCTTGTGAGGGCTCAAACCTGTGCTTGTCGGCATCCAAATGACCAACTGGTGATTATCCTCGGGGGTGGGGTGTGGATGGGGTTTCCTTCAAGCTCAACTGGCTCCAAGGTGGCAAGTTTGGCAACAAAATGTTGGATTTGAGTCAACTCTGTGGTGTCGTGATAATCTGGTTCCTGAGCCAGGGTGCTGCTGATGAATGCCCAGCCGCCATTCTCATCTATAAGCCTCAGAGGGCAGACCATTCTCTGGGGGCCAGGATTCTTCTCATTATGCTACTGTTACAGCCTTGTAAGCCAAAGCATAAAGAGGTAGGGTGATCTTAGCTGGACATACAGTGGGAAAGTAAGGTACATTTTAGTATCAAATTGTAATTCTTGGTTCAGAATATTTTTGGTTAAAAGGCGTTTGCTTGAACGATCACAACTGCTTTTCTTCAATTGTAAAAATGAGGTATATATTCAGACCATCAAGCCTGTTCTGCCAGTTGGACTGGGCACTTTTAACCCCATTTCCTTCCCTTTCTCCATTCTGCTTAAGATAGAACTAATACATCGAAAAAATATCATATAATGTAGGGATTTTATGGACATTAAAAATTCATGACTGATATGTGAAAGCCAATTTGTGAATGCCGGCAAACATCAATGAAGTGAATGACCAGTTTTATCTGGGGCATTGGCAGCACCTTTGTCTTTCTTTCCCCGCCCCTTCTGTTTGTCCTTATAAACTGCTTCCTTCCAAGATCCCCCAATTCTGATGAAAGGTCATCAACCTGAAATGTTAACCCACATACCTCTGTATAGATGTTACCTGACCTGCTGGGTGTTTCCAGCAACTTGTTTTTATTTCAGATTTCCAGCATCTGCAGTAATTTGCCTTTTATCTGGGGGAATGATGGCCTGGAGACTAGGGAGAAACTCCCTTCTCTTCTCGAATAGTGTCACTTAATATACTTAATATATCCAGGCAGATAGGATCTCAGTTTCACATCTCATCAGCACCTTCAACAATGCAGCACTTTCTAGCAGTATATAGCCTAAACATATGAGTTCAAAGTTTTGACGAGGGGCTTGAGCCCACAAGCTTCTGACTCAGAGATGAGATTGCTTTAATGAAGTGCGGTTGTTGGTTACACCTCCACGTTCTGACTACTGACCTTCTTATGCATTTTGACTAAAAATGTCCGTTGTCTTGGTCACCAGGATCGCCATCAAAATCATTTCCTGCTCACCTGCACATGTGTGCACAAAGCTGCTAGCCTTGCAATATACGTCTTAGCCAATTCGCTGTATTATAAGGCACTCCTAATGCCTGTAGATTACCAGTAAACCTCCTGCGCTGCTCCTGGTATATTTGTAGCATCCTCTGTCAGCAATGTTTTTAAAATTATTGTTTTAGTAACAAGGGCAAACCTCCTAAATCAGTACCAGAGTTTCACTACAGTATAGAATACTGTCCTATGCTGTGTTGTTTATTTACCTATTAGATTCCTTTCACTATTTACCTGAAAATTGAAAATGGAAAACATAGAAATAGAAAAATTTGAAGATACAGTATTTTAATACAGGTTAAATTACATCACGTGGACGGAACATAGGATTTCCTGGTAATAACTGTATAGTCTCTGAAACTGATTTTAATGTAATGGTTATTATTGTTCATACAGTGAGAAAACTGACATATAACAGCAACATGAAACAAACAGCTTTTAGCAATAAAGATATTGAATAGAACTGAGTATTGAATTGTGTATTGATATTGAATACAATATGTAAAAATGAACAGGTCCCCTGGAGTGATTTCTGAGCTGTTTCGGAGGAGAGTTCAGACGATAATTATAAATCACCCAAGCTCCACTACTGTGGTTTGTGGAATTATTTCAATCCCATGAATACAAAATGGGGAAATAGTTTACTCGGTAAAGCAAAGATTCCAGATGCATTCTAGAAGTCCTGTAGCTCAGAGGTTAGAGCACTCGCTTTACAAGTGAGAGACCTGAGTTCAATTCCAGGCAGAGGGCGAAACCTTGGGCAAGTTTCCTTACTCCACACACCTAATAATAATCCCTCCAAAACCAAAAACAATAATAAATTGGTCACTTTCAATCTACGACTGTTTGAGGGACATTGCTGTGCGCAATTGGCTGCAGCGTTCGCCCACAAATATAGTCAATTCACTTTACAGTGTGTTCTGTGAAGCGCTTTGGGACGTCCTCCCGATGTGAAAAGCGCTATATCAAATACAAGGATTATATTATTATTATTTATAGAAAGGCAAGGATTCCATTAAATACACTGAAAATATGGGACATTAATGCTGGACTGTCTTTACAAAATGACAGTCACAGTTAACATTGTTGCTATATGGTATATATTGTGAGGCAAAATTATTCCATTTTTATTTCTATTTATTCTGTTTGGTTCTGAGTTACTCAAGTGCTTCACATTTTCTTTGTGCACCTCTCTGCTACAGCACCACTGACTGATTTAATCTTCAAAGGCTCATGTATAGCAGACCATATGGTGGCTATAACAATCTGTGTCTCGGCCAAAGCTTCCACTCTTTCCCACGCTCACCCTCCAATCTTATTACCTCCTGTTCCGTCGTAAGGATGAAATCTGAGTACCGTTGCTAGGCATCCTCAGTGAAAGATAAACTTCCTAATGAGAACATGAGTTGACTGCTCATGTACTACTCATGGACTCATCTCCATTGGAACCCAACACTTGACTGAAGAATACAACTGTCTGGTAGCTTCTCAAACTATTCTTCAAATCATAGATTGCTTTAGATCAAATGACAAGCCAAAGAGATGGTTAAAACAAACATCAGCTAGAGTTCCTCCATCAATCTTGGGTTTAAGAAAATTGTAATGGGAAATTGCATTAATATAATAATAATCCTTGCATTTGATATAGCGCTTTTCATGTCTTCTAGAAGTCTCAAAGCGCTTCACAGAATATGCTGTAAAGTGAATTGACTGTATATTTGTGGGTGAAACGCGGCAGCCAATTGCGCACAGAGGTGTCCCACAAACATGGATTGAAAATGACCAATTTATTATTGTTATTGTTTTTTGGAGGGATTATCATTAGGCGTGTGGAGTAAGGACACTTGCCCAAGGTTTCACGCTGTCGGGAATTGAGCCCAGGTGTCTCGCTTGCAAGGCGAGTGCTCTAATCACTGAGCTACAGGACTCCACATTATTCTGGTTTAATTACAACATTAGCTTGCAAATGACCAATATGCTAATTATCCCTGTTCCTACAAACACAGATAAAACTATTTGAAATGTAGTTGTAGATATTTTACTTCTGATCTCTTCAATCTCTTGTGGAATCGTATTGGTGATACTTAGCATGTAACCAAGTGACCATTTTACATGGATTCCGTTCACCTGCAACAAGAAGAACACTGCAGCATTGTGTTTGCATAAGCAGAAACAAAGTTGAATTGTGCTATTTTTAAAATAACTAAACTTACAGTTTCCATAAAACTTATTTTTTTCCAGCGAATTGGTGAAAACTTGTACCCATGTATTAGCAGTGTATGCATTAGGAATCCGTCAAAACAGTATTGTCTGATATCACAATCTTTATCATCTGGTAATATAAATTTCAGCTGTAAGACAGGTAATAGCTCTTTAGTGCGTCTTATATAGTAGTTATATTTATATCATTATTGCTTGAGGATATTATCAACACAAAGTAGCTACAATGTTTGCCGCCATAACAAGATTAGTTCATTTCTAATTAATCTCAATATGTAAAATGTTTTGAGAAAAAATATCATAACTACAAGTTGTAGATACGTTCATCACAAGATCACAAGAGGTTCAGATGAAGAAGGCCATTCGTCCCATTTGATTTTATCCTTCCAGAATACCCACTCTACCACCTTCCCACCACAGCATCATGTTCCTGGCCTCAACCACTCTTCCTGGTAATCTGTTCCAGTTGTTAATCACCCAGTGGATAAACAAGTACTTCCTGGTATCTGTCCTGTAATTGCCTTTTGCAGCCCTAAAAATCTGTCCTCTTGGTTCTGCACTCAAAATTATTATTCTGGGTTTACTTTAATCCCATTTAAAACGCCCACAAAATATAGTCAACCCATTTTACAATATATTTTGTGAAGTGCTTTGAGATAGCTCAATGATGGGATGAGGCGTTATATCAAATGCAAGTTTTTTTAATTATTAAATCTTGAATACCTCTTTAAGGTCCTTTCCAAGACATCTCCTTTTAAGTACTTTTTGTCTAATCGATGCTCAGAGCTCACTCCAGTAACACGAAAGGTCCCCTTCATTGCTCCTCTCTGTACTGCCTTTATTATAGCTTGGGCAGTCCCTGCATTTTACAGTACCTTTTCATGGTGTCAAGACTTCTCAAAGTGCATCATACCATGTTACTATGTATTTGTAGGTGAACGTGCAGCCAATTTACGCATGACAGTGTCTCACAAAAGCCATGAAATGAATGATTAATTTTATCTGGGGAATTGTTATCTAGTACACTGGAAAAAACTTTCTGCTCTTTTCAAATAATACCATGGGATCTTTCAACTCAACCTGAACGGGCAGATGGGACCTCGGTTTAACATTTCCTCCAAAGGATAGCACCTCAATAATGCAATGCACCCCAACACTACACTGGACTGTCAGCCTAGACTATGTGAGTTCAAAGTTCCGATGTGGGGCTTGACCCCACAACTTTCTAACTCAGAACCAAGTGTTATCAGCAGAGCCAAGCTGACACCTAGCTTAAAAAGTGTTTAGAAGCCCAATACAGTCCAACACCCTGTATGCCTTGTTTAACGCTACCTCACACTGTTTTGACCTGAGTTAACTCACACTCTCTGTTTCCCCCTTGGATAGTTCTACCCATACACACTTTTATCACATCCAGGTTTGATTACCCCATCACTCTGCTACCGGAATCCCTTACACAAAACAAGTTTTATTTTCCAGACGCAATCCATGCCCTCCTACAGGGAGATTATAGTAAAATCTGGCCTGTGTATGAATCCAATCCCACACTACCTAGATGATTCTTGATGCCCTGTGAAAAGGCCTATCAGGCCACAAGGACAGGACAAACAGGGATGAGCAATCAATGCTTGGCCTCCCAACGCCACACCACCACCAACACAAGCTGCAGTTGACACTGTTCCAAAGAGTCGTATTGATAAGATTTTGTTGTTTAACAAAATCTTAGTTACAGTCCATTGCTTTACAATTGAAACACAAAAATATTCTATGCTGTTCCAATGAGTTGTATCGATATTGCATCCAGGTAATCTGTCAAAATGACACAATTTCCTATTTTTAAAGTAATGGCCCAACACAAGCCTATTTCCTGCCTAACTACAGAGCTGTATTCCCAAATAAATCATCCAAATAACTCACAGACAATTCATACGTACAATTATGTACATTGTTTTTTTCTATTCCCCAATTTTGTTATTAATCTTATATCATGTTTGTTATGCGGTGCAACTGAATTTTGACCCCACAGTTTTAGCAAAAACATTCAGAGATGTGTAATATTTCATCTGGTTGTTTGATAGAAACTGTTGCCTTTAAAAAAATTCTTAGTTACAATTGAATTCACATTGCTTTGCTTTATTTTACCAAACGCATTCTCTATGTAGCAATAACACTGACTAAATATGTAAGATACTATCTTGGAATGCTTTCCACATCTTAATAACATTTTAGGATAACAAGAGCAATTTGTCACTTACCTCGGCCCAGCCTTTTGTACAAAAAGACAAAAGTGTCTCACTGAAGCTAGTCACTGAAAATGAAGTCGGCAACCTCAAAGCTCTTGAGATGTGATAGAATCCGGAAAACGCCTAGATTGTTTGGATGAAAAAATACATAATTTGACTCATTACCTAACAAGCAGATAGAACAAATTCAGATTTTCAAATATTTGCATTTGCAATTTACCATAAATTTGCCGCGGATTTTTGGCATATAGATTCCATCGAACGAGCAGTAGGATTTACCAGCGCAGGCTTCAAAATCAAACAATAAATAAACTAACTCCTGGCACTTAGCAGGATTTCCAGTTCCCTTGAATGTTATCTCATCATCAGGCTTGTAATTTGCTGGCCTTTTCGATGCAGTGCATAAACTTCCAAATAGATCATCCATAGAAACTGTCTTATTGTATCCAGAGGGCCAACAAGGACTTTCATAAGTGGTCTTGGCTTCTGAAGCCTAAGTTGAAAAAAGACAAGATTGGGTAAAACTTGCATAAGCAATAGAAGCAAAACTTACTTCAATTGCTGCAAAATTAGCATATGTGTATAACTAGAGCATATGAACCAAAAAGTATAAAATATTTGAGTCCCACAATCAGAAAATGGGCTGAATTTAGGCATTATTGCTACTTGCAGTGAATAAATCCCAATATAAGCCATCAGCAAAAATGTCAGTACAGCAGTGAACAGTGTACGGTATCCCCTTGTTATCTGTATATATTGGAATAAGTACTTTTCTCCCTACTGTGTACATCAATTTTCATATATTGGAAAATTCCAGCACAGAACCTATTAAGATCACAACTTTGATGCTTACGAAACTGACAATGTAATTTCTGATTCCCTAAACATTCTCTATCAGAGCAGTGTTCATTCAAATCCACTGCCCTGCCTTATCCCCATATTCCTTCAAGCTTCTATCCTTCACAAACCTGTCTACTTCCCTCTTGAAACCCACAATGGGCTCTGCCTCTACTACCTTACTTGGCAGAGCACTCCACATCCCAACTCTGAGTAAAAAAAAATCTTAAGTACTCCTTTCACTCTCTTGGGATTATCTTATAACTATGGCCACTAGTCACTGACTTCTCTGCTAGTGGAAATAGCTTCTCCCTATTTAGCCTGTCAAAACCCTTCATAATTTTGTACACCTCTATCAGGTCCTCAAGTTTCTCTGCTCCAATGAAAATTGACCCAACTTCTGCAATCTCTACTAGTAACTAAGCCCTCGTCCTTGGAATCATTCTTGTAAATCTGTTCTGCATACCCTCCAAGGTCTTAACATCTTCCTAAAATGAGGAATGAGCCCAAAACTGAACGTGATACTCTATCTGCAGCCTAACCAATGATTTGTACAAACTCAGCACAATTGGTTTACTTTTGTATTCTCTGTATGTATAGAACCCAGAATACCATTAACTTTTTCTATAGCCCTTCCCACTTGCACTGCCATTTTAAAGGACTTATGTACCTGCATCTAGAGTTATGAAATTACCTGATAAAGATTCACCAAGTATCTCCTCTCAGCTTCATACCTTCCATAGCAATGAAAACTATAAGCGTAGATCTTATAATTCTTCCCATACAGCTTAACTGTAGCTGGAGTACCAAATTTTTTCACATTCCTCTTGGGAGTAAAGGCTATATGTGCAGAAACTCCTCCCAAGTGTAGGGCACCTAACGTACGTTGGAATATGAAAGGGACACGTGGATGATTATTTCCTTGCTGCTGCCAAAAGATATGGGAAAAAACAAGAAAGACATAATCAAAAGTTCTAACGTAAATATAAAAATATAAGAAGATATTTTCTGCATTCATGAGTGAAATGCAAAAATTCTAATTTTAACTCTAAAGGCATGTTTGTGGAGTCCTGTAGCTCAGTAGTTAGAGCACTCGCTTTGCAAGCGAGAGACCTGAGTTCAATTCCAGGCAGGGCGAAACCGTGGGCAAGTTTCCTTACTCCATACGCCTAATAATAATCCCTCCAAAACCCAAAACAATAATAAATTGGTCATTTTCAATCTACGACTGTTTGTGGGACATTGCTGTGCGCAATTGGCTGCCGCGTTCGCCCACAAATATACAGTCAATTCACTTTACAGTGTGTTCTGTGAAGCGCTTTGGGACGTCCTCCCGACGTGAAAAGCGCTATGTCAAATGCAAGGATTATTATTATTATTATTATTATTATTATTAAGAACATTTGTTTTCCTCTCGATTTTTAATAAACACCAGCCTTAATGGATTAGAGTAATCAAAAAATCCACGATAGATTTGTGGCAACTGTTGCTCCGGGGGAGCAGGGTGGAGACTATGCTGATTGACAGGTACATGAACGCTGGTAATGACTGTTGCTTGTTTTTATGGTATAATGTGACTTCAAAATACAATAATTTGTATATCATTAATGGTTATTAGGATTTGAGTTATATTATTTAGCCTCTCTCTCCATTTTGTGTGTTGCTTCCAATGTTTTGATATTGATTTAGGAAAACAATCAATAGTTTAAAAAAGATGGCCTGAGAGCCTTAATAATAATTCTTGCATTTGATATAGTGCCTTATCACATCATTGAGATGCCTTAAAGCAATTTACAGGATATACTGTAAAATTAATTCACTGTATATTCTGTGGACGATTTCTCTGTAATGCCGCAGGTTTCGCCCCTCCTGGGAATTGAACCTCGGGAGGCGAGGTGAGTGCTCTAACCAATGTGGAGTCTTCTAGCTTAGTGGTTAGAGCACTCACCTAGGAAGCAAGAGACTTGGGTTTGATTCCTGGGCAGGGCGAAACATTAGCAAAGTTTCCTTACTCCACACGCCTCTGTTTACCAAGCAGTAAATAGGAACCCAGTTAGTCGATTAGCAGATCGCTTTTCTGGGAGTAATGATCCCTTTCAAAAAACAACCAATAATATTATGGTCACTCAATCCACAGCTGTTTGTGGGTCCCTGCTGTGCATAATTGGCTGATGCATTTCACCTACAAAATATACAGTCAATTCACTTTACAGTATATACTGTGGAGCGCTTTGAGACGTCTCGAAGATATGATCAGGTGCTATATCAAATACAAGAATTATTATTATTAATAATACGCTACAGGACTCCACAAGGACTCCCTCTGTTCCACACAGAGGGAGCTCAATGTGATTCATATCTGTTGCACCACAGTGTCCTGCTCCTGAAATCTCTCTCTCCGTCCCCTTTTAAAAAGGGAATTCACAGATGCTAGAAAAAGAAAATTGAGCAGGAGAGAGATTAGACTAGATATCTCTGGTATACAAAAACACCAATGTGGACTTGATAAGACAAATGACCAATTTTGGGGCTGTAACATTTTGTAACATTTCATATCTAGGTGGTGTTGTGAGCGATCGCCAGCAAATTCTTGCTGGCTCAACTCCTATTTATACTGCAGGACTGACATCAAATTGCCAGCAATATCACAGTCATCCATTGCCAAATCTACAAGTCAAATGTATGTTCTAACATGATTGCTTTATATACTTATAATCTCAATTTGATACCAGAAGTAAAAGAATATGTAGTCTAGCATAGCAAAAGTAGTAATGTAATTGTAAATAATAATGTAATTTACCTGGAACTTTTAATCTTTAATAAACATAACTTTGAAACACATCCTTACCTGTATAAATCTGCCATCTAAATAGTTTGCTGTGATCCAGTTGAAACTTCCTAATTCTTGTGCAGAAAGAATATGAAAGTTTCCAAAACTAAATGGTAATGATTTGATTAAATGCTGGATTTCTGCAAGTATTGTCTGTGCTGCAGCTTTGTCGTGGTACCTGACAATTCCAGGAAGAGACAAGAAAAAATATCAGCAGATATCAATAACAAGAACAGCAACTTGCATTTATATAGCATCCTTCACGCTGGATGGTGTTTGGGGTGCCGAATAGTGTCAGAGCCCGATGAGAACCAGGGAGAGGGGGAAGGTGACAGAAGGCACGGTTGAAGAAGGCCTTCAAGAGCGACCTGAAAATGGGGAGGGGGCAAGGCAAAGGGATTGAGGGAAAGAGTTCCACAGTTTCAGGGCATAGTGGCTGAAAGCATGGCCGCCAATGGTGGGGCGGAGGATCTGGGGTCAAGGAGGAGGCTGGAGCTAGTCAAGCGGAGGCAGGCAAAATAATCCTTGCCTTTGATATAGCACCTTATCATGTCTTTGAGACGTCTCAAAACGCTTCACAGAATATACCGTAAAGTGAATTGACTGTATATTTTGTGGGCGAAACAAGGCAGCCAATTGCCCACAACAGTGTCCCACAAACAGTCGTGGATTGAGTGACCAAATTATTATTATTTATGCATTTATTTTTTGGAAGGGATTATTACCCCCGAAAAAGTGATTCTCCAATCAACTAACAACGAGCTCCTACTTACTGCAAGGTGAACAGAGGGCAGGGGGGTTCCAGGGCGTAATGGGATTTAAATACAAATGAGCATCTTGAAATGGATTCACTCTGTGACAGGGAGCCAATGAAATTTGACAAGGATTGGGATAAAGGAGGTCCGGAGTTTACCTTGGATGAGAATGCGGGCAGCAGGTTATTTTAATCAGTTGAATTTTGTGAATAGTGGAGCAGGGGAGACCAGCAAGGAGGGGGTTTGAGTAGTCGAGGTGGGAGGTGACAAGGGCATGGACGAGGGTTTCAGCAGGGTTTAGAGTGAGGTACAGACGGAGACGGGCAATGTGGTGGAGGTGGAGGAAAGCGCTCCTGGCCAGAGAGCAGATGTGGGGTGGGGTCTTTATTTTCTGTTTCAAAGATTAAGTAAAGACACACTCAATTCCCTTGGCAAATAATAATAATTCTTACATTTAATATAACACCTTTCACGTCAGAAGGATGTCTCAAAGCCCTTCAAAGTATTCACTGTAAAGTTTAGTGACTGTAGATTTTCGCAAGTGAAAACAAACTAATGTGTATAGACAGAGACTAAGATAAAACCAGCCAGTTGTGCAGACTATTCTCCTACGGGGGAGTGGGGAAGGGAAGCGGGGTCTTCTTGAAGGTGAACTGGCTTCAAGGTAACATGGTTGGAACTGAGTCAATGCTCTGTGGCAGTCTCAGTAATCGGTTTCCCGAGTCAGACGAATCTTCTCTACTCCAGGACATTCAAAGACAGTCTAGCTAGCCTGGCTCATCATTCGGAGTTGTAGCGGCAGACCAGGTACTGGAAACAGGGATTCCTCTTGCTCAGCTCCTGTTAACCTTGCAAGCCAATGCCTTATCGGGAAAGATGGTCCTAGCTGGATAAGCAACGAGAAGCTTGCCAGGCAGTGCTCTCAATAGCAACCTATATGTTTTAGCTAAAGGTTAAACACAGCAGATACTCCAGGGTCCCCAACCCTTGGTTGTTTCCAACCTGAGCCAAATACTCTCCAGTATTAGATAAGCAGGATGTGTTGCTCCAGGGAGAGAGTGCACATTCCAAACCAGACACAGGGAATTTCCATGTGTAAGTGGGATGCATAGAACACTCAGTCTGGTTTGGATATTCTTAAGCATTGTAATGGGTTTCTACATGTGTCAAACACCCAGCTAACCCCAAAAAAAGCTGTACAGAGCTGTTCCAGATGGAAACAATTGCTTTCGGTCTCCAGGAGAAATTGAATCTTTATAAGAGCTGAAAAGCTGGAATCTTGATAGGAGATGAGGAGTCCCAGCCCAGAAAATAGTGCCAGTAAATGAGTAAATTCTCTGACATGGGAGTGGAGTATTAAAGTCAATGGAGATGCCAATTCTTTCAATTTTATTCCGTATTATAATTAATAAATCCAAGTGTAGCCCCAAATTCCAATTACTTGGGGTTTCATCTCATTGTTGTTTCTGGGACATGTAAGGGTACAGACCAGTAACTCTCTAATCTTACTCCAATAGTCGTACTGCATTCGTGGCTGCAAAATAGATTCGCGTTGTGCTATGATCAGCTTTTGGGATTACTGTTTTTGTGTTATTCAGGCAGGGAAGCAACGACTTAGCTGCTTGTTTAGGGTTTTTCCTGTAAGCAGTGATACCAGGTCCTGCGGGTACAGAAGGGAAAACAAATGTCAGTCAATCGATGGTTGTTGATGAATAATACAACTTAACAGGAAGAAAATGACTAAAATACAACATAATAACTGTATCTGAAACAGATATATGAGAGTTCAATTATTTAGACATTATTTGGGAAATCCTATGTTTGCATATTTTTTGAATCTTGTGAGGATTCAAAGATTGATTCTATTTAAGGAACAGAGGCGAAGGAGCCTTTTCCAGACAGTTAGGTGGCAAGTTGAATTCAATACAGTGAAATATGACGAAAGCACGAAGAAAGGAAGTACAGTGGAAGCCGCTTAAGCCGGACACATCGGGACGACTTTTTGTCCAACTTAAGCGGCATCCAATAATAACCAAAGTTCTTCCCGCCGAACAGAGGAGGCACCTCCTCCCTCCTATTGCCATTCCCATTGAATGAGAAGGGGAACAATCTGTGGCAACTCTGAGGTGATTGACAGCCTGGAACCGTTTGTGAATGGATGCGCTCTCCAACCACAAGCAATACTAGGCTGTCAATAAATTGAGATTTGACCCTTCCCATTCCCTCCTTTGTTCCTTCCCCGCTCCTCCAACCCCTCACTGATTGACAGCCCCGACCTGCTTGTGAAAACTGGAGTCCACGGTCAATCAATCGCAATTTGACTCCTACCATTTCCATCCCATAGCCGCTCAAGACACAAAGATGACCATAAGCAAAGGCGAACAGTGTGGCATTTTGTCCAAATTAATCGGCATACTTAAAACAGGTGAGAATACAAAGGAATCGGCGTCGGTGTTTTGTCCGATTTACCAGGTGTCCGGCCTCAGGACTTCCCCTTCCATTTATTCTGAAAGCAAGTGGTCCATCAATAATCGGGTATCTATTCTCTATAAGAGGGAGTATCCAATTATCGGCACATGATAAAGCACAAATTTCATTACGTGATAACAGCAGATGTAAATGGGTGCGTGCGGTGTTGCTGATTTATTTTCTCTCTCAGGTGTTGAATGGACTCAGACAAGGCAAAAGTTACCAAATAATTTTGGTAAAGCAGCTAATGGACAAAATGAGGTAATCCATGTCTGATTGCAACAAGTAAAGGTACAAATTTTGTTTGTGAAATGAAACATTGCGATGAAAAGATTTTTTCCATTTTTTCAATGATACAGTTAACAAGAGGAGAAAAAAATACTTTCACGACTGGAAGACCTGTAGATTCAGAAAGGAGAAATAAAATGTAGCTACTGTACGATCAATTTACACTCAATATTATGCAGTGCTGGCGGGTGACCTTTTTGACAGCTGAGGCAATCTACAACAACAACAATAAAATTATATTTGTATAGAAACTTTCACGTCGGGAGGATGTCCCAAGGCGCTGGACAGCCAGTGTTTCCGACCCGAGCTGGGGGTCGGGATTGGGGAGGGTGAAGGGCAGGGGGTGGGGAGCAGGGAGATCGAAAGCATGGTCGAAGAGAAGGGACTTGAGGATGGGTCTTGAAGGAGACAAGGGAGGGGGCGAGGTGGAGGGACTGCGGGATGGAGTTCCAGAGGGTGAGGGCAGAGTGGTAGAAGGCCTGCCCGCCAATGGTAGGGCGATCGAGGCGGGGGACAACAACAACAACAAAATTACATTTATAGAGCGCCTTGACGTGAAGCAGGCCTGCTGAGCGGAGGGAGCGGGCAGGATGGTAGGGGGCTTAGGAGGTCGCAGAGGTAGAGAGGAGCAAGACAATGGAGGGCATTGAAGGTGCGGACCAGTATCTTGAACTGTATCCTCTGAGCGATGGGAAGCCAGTGGAGTCGGATGAGGATGGGGTGATAGGGTCACGGAAAGGATACGAGTTGCAGAGTTCTGGATAATCTGCAGCTTATGTAGAGAGGAGTTGGGGAGGCTGACAATCAAAGAGTTTGCATAGTCAAGCCTCGATGTTACGAATGTGTATATGAGGGTTTCGGCGGCCTGCAGTATGAGACAGTGGCAGAGCCGGGTGATGTTGCGGAGGTGGGGGAAGGCAGAGCAGGTCATGGCACGGATGTGGGGTAGAAATGATAGTTGAGGGTCAATCAAGATACCAAAGTTCGGACTGGCTTAGTAAGGTTGAGTGTGCGTCATTGGATGGTGATGCTGTCAGAGCCAGAGGTGTGAAGACGCTGACAGGAGCCTATCAGGAGAGCCTCGGTCTTGTTGACATTCAACTGAAGAAAGGTAGCTCTCATCCGACTTGATGTCTGACAGACATTGTCAGGACAGCAGTGGTCCTGGAGTCAAGTGTGGAGGCAGAGGGATAGAGTTGGGTGTCATACATACATATAGATGTGGATGTTGACCCCATGTCTGCGGATGATGTCACCAAGAGGGAGCATTTAGATATTGAAGAGGAGGGGACCAAGGACATAGCCCTGAGGAACGCCGCATAAGATGGTTCGGGGGCTAGAGGAGAAAATGTTTGTGGAGATGAGGTAGAGGCGGTGTGAGAGGTACAATCTGAATCATTCAAGGATAGGACCATGAAGGTTCAGGTGGGAGGACAGCAGGTGGATGAGGATAGAGTGGTCAACTGTGTCGAAGGCAGCAGAGAGGTCAAGGAGTACGAAGAGTCAGAGATGGATAGAATGTCATTTGTTACTTTGACCGGGGCTGTTTCTGTGCTGTGGGCGACATGGAAACCCGATTGGAAGGGTTTGTGAAGGGAGTGGTGGGAGAGGAAGGAGCCAATCTGGGAAGCAACGACTGGTTCCAGGACGTTGGAGAGAAAAGGGAGGTTGGAGATGGGGGTTTAGTTTGAGAGCAGGGATGGGTCCAGGGAGGGTTTTTTAAGGATAAGAGTGATGACAGCCGTTTTTAAAGGGATGGGAATGGTACCAGTGGACAGAAAGAGGCTTATGATGTCTGTGAGGGGCCAGGAGGTGGAGCTGGGAGGTAAGGAGAGGGGTAGATGGGGTCAAGGGAGCAGGTGGTCGGTTTCATGCGGGTTATAATGGTAGTGAGAGAGGAGTGTGCGTTAGGGTTAGGATTAGGTTCGAAGGTGTGGAGGGAGGGATGGGTAGGGGCCGATGTGTGAGGGGGAGATGGAGAGGGGACGGATTGGTCGAAGCAGCTGAGCGGATCCCCTCAACTTTGGATTCAAGGAAGTCCAGCATCGCCTTGCAGTTGACATTGGAGGTGAGGATGGGAGATGTGTGAGTGTGGGCAGAGAAGGTTGGTGATGGAGAAGAGGAGCCTGGAGTTGTCCTTGGCCTCCAAGATTTTCTTGGAATAGAACGATGATTTAGCGGAGGCGAGGGAGGAGCGGTAAGATCTGCCGATGGACTGTTAAGTTTGATTTAAGCCAGGTGCGTTCAGCAGCATGTGCTTTAAGGGAGCGGAGGTGGCTGGTGTACCATGGAGACTTTTGTGAGTAGGGTATGGTTCCGGAAGTGAGGGGAGCAAGGGAATCAAGAGCGGTGGAGAGGGAGCTGTGGAGAAAAGTGACCAAGGAGGATAGGTCATTGTGGGATGGAAGCTCAGAGGGAGAGGAGTTCAGATAACTAAAAGGCAACGGAGAAGAAGGGTGGGGGGGGGGAGATTTTTTTTCCAGGGGCGGAGATGGAGGTGAGTTGAGTGGCACTGGGATTGAGGAGTTAAGGGAGTTAAGGGAGATGAAGTGATTGTTCGAGATGGCTTTGTCTAAGATGGTGAAGTCCGAGATGGTGAGGCCCCGAGTGATCACCAGGTCGAGGGGGTGACCGCGGAGGTGGGTGGCCAAGTGGATGTGAAGGGAGAGGTTGAGGGAGGAGATAAGGGAGAAGTCAGCAGAGATAGAGCAGGAGGGGGTGAAGTGAAGGTTGAAATAGCCTAGGATGAGAAGGCGTTCGGAGCAGAGGGAAAGGGAAGATAGGCCTACAAAATGTTCGGTGCCTCTCCAATAAAACACTCATCTAAGATGTCAGTGATGAAGGTAGGGGAGGGCTGGGGGGAGGGGGGAAGTGATAAATAAGGAAAATTTTGAGGAAAAGGTTGGAGGGGTAATAAAGGGTAAGGTGCTCAAAGGAGGGAAACGTTCCAGAGGAGTAAGGATATAGGCCGAGTGGGGACCAGAAGACGAGAGCCACAATATCACCACTGGTCGCGGGGTATGATGGAAGGTGAAGCTGGGTGGTGTGGCCTCTGTTAGGGGAAGGGTGTCGCCTGGTGTGATCCAGGTTTCAGTGAGGGCAAGAATGTCGATGTTTTCATCGATAATGAGGTCTCAGATGCTGAATGTTTTATTGGAGAGGGAGCGGACATTTTGTAGGCCCATTCGGAGGGGACAGTTGATGGTGGAATGTGGGGGGCAAAGGGGAGGATTGACAGGGAGCGTGAGAATGTGGGCGAAGGAGGAGAGGTTGGCCCCTGTGGTCAGGAACCAGTGGGCCTTGCGGCGAGAGGGGGGAATAGGGCAGTCAGAGTGGCTGCTGTTGGACAGCCAATGGTGTCTGCCACGGTGGGCCCAACGGAGGATTCGCAGGCTGGAACAGGGAGGGGGCTGTGAGACAAGCAGTGATAGGAGTCGGGGAGGATGTGGGAGAGGAGGACTGAACGGGAGTAGTGGAAGATAGAGGCCGGGTGGGAGCATTTTGGTGAAGCAGCTTGGGTTGATGGCGGCAGCTAAAATGTGCATGCTGAGACTAAGAGCGAACGGGGGAGCAGGGGGCAGCAAGGCATGGTTAGCTCGCTTGCGTAGATCATCATGGGGAGAGGGAACAATCTTATAGTCCCAGTGAGTCCAGGCTGAGAAATTCAAAAGTGGAGGGCGGATGTGACGTCACTCGGCCTCTGGTTGGATGTTCACCGGAGAGTCAGCAATGGCCGCGATGACTGAGGTGGCAAATCTCACATTGGCTCCGCGCAGCACAGGGTAGGAGGGTCTTGGTCCCCGTGTTGGATCTGGATGCCATTGGGGGCATCAGAATGCACGTTGGTGTTTTCCTGGAGCCCTGCTCATGGTGCGTTTGCTATGAGTTTGCCTCACCAAGCTATCTTGTTCCCATAGCAATAAACCCTTTTGCACATGTCTTTAGTCGTCGCCGGTCTGCCACACATTTCCGCTCTCACACAGCCTTGCTCGGAAGGAAGGAAGGAAGGAAGGAAGCAAGCAAGCAAGCAAGCAAGCAAGCAAGCAAGCAAGCAAGCAAGCAAGCAAGCAAGCAAGCAAGCAAGCAAGCAAGCAAGCAAGAAAGCAAGAAAGCAAGAAAGCAAGAAAGAAAGAAAGAAAGAAAGAAAGAAAGAAAGAAAGAAAGAAAGAAAGAAAGAAAGAAAGAAAGAAAGAAAGAAAGAAAGAAAGAAAGAAAGAAAGAAAGAAAGAAAGAAAGAAAGTAGCCGAGAATACCCATGATGGTGTTGCATTGGTACTTGTGAAAACTCCATTGTAAGCACACACTGCCAAGCTTGGTACATTTACATTCCAATGCTCCACAAACTTTCCGACAAAGCAGAAACATTTGAGTTGTGGCTACAGCAGAACTTTATAAGGAACCATATTTCTGGCGTAAAGACTAAAAATGTTACACGCAAAAAAAGTCCTACCTTTAACAGAACAATATGATATTTCAGTAACTAGACCTGTGTTATGTTTCTTTTCTATTGGCCACTGGTAAACATATATTGCTGAACTGGTGCTTGAAGCTTCAACAACAATCGCATTCTACAAAGAAGAAATCAATTACTATGTAATCAAATTTCAACTACAAGACCACAATTCTATCATAGCCTGTCGAGCCATTTTGTCTTACAATTTAACAACTAGAGAAGATTCTTACGTTTTGTTTCCATTTCAAAGCTGGTTCCTTTTAAGAAGTGCAGAGAAATGATTTCTAAATTAATAGTGAATTGAAAAAATTCTACAATTCTGCATACATTTTAAGACAAATTGGTGTTTCAGGCTAAAACTATGCAATATTTGATACCTTAGATGCTTATTTATTCATTCTTCATACTTTCATCACGATGTTCAATAAAAATGTCTGATCCTATTTTACAATTATTTGGTGCTCAGTGCCTAAAACTTAAGAAGATAGAAATATACTCTTGAAACCATTTGCAAAATGCTGGAATTAAGAACATATAGCAGCAATGGAAAGAGTACAGCATAGATTTACGAGGATACATTGGCCTTTTTTCACTAGAGAATGTACATTAACGGCGACTCTCAATAGAAGTGTTTAAAATTATAAAAGGTTTCGATAAAGTTAACATAAGCTGTTTCCATTAGTTGCGGAGTCCGTAAGTAGGGGACACAAATATAAGATAGCAACTAGGGGATCAAAAAGAGAATTTAGGAGCAACTACTTCACACAAAGGGTAGTGAGATTTTGGAACTTGCTGCCTGAAGGGGTGGTTAAATCAGGCAGTAAAGATGTGTTGAAGAGGAAGCTAGATCTTCACATGAGCGGAATAGAAGAGTATGGGAGGGAGTAGGAAATGGGCAAAGACTCGTGTGGATATAGTCAAGACTAATTTGACCAAGCGGCCTATTTCTGTGCTGTACATTTTTGTAAACTTGTTTATAAATGATTTGTGCAATTATTGTTTTGTTGGTAAAATTGAAGTATGTTTAGCAAGTGATCATAGAAAAAAATATATCAGAACTATAAATGATCAAATAATTGTATCCCTAATTCAGGCACTTCCACAGTTAACACAGAAAAGTGATTTACTAATTTCTGATTTGTTTCATCCTATTGAGTTGTCACCTGTTGTACAGCAATACTGCAGAAGACCGGGCGGGAGTGAAGAGTGGTATAATTCCTATTGGATAACAATAGCTGGCTGGTGACACTACATTCAACCACCAGTTTGGCTCAGTTGTAGCACTCTTGTCACTGGCCAGAATGTAAATGGGTTGAAAGACCTCTTGCCACTCTAGGCTTTTAAGTTTTAAAATGTTTGTTTTTCTGTTTTTGTTGAGGAAGATCCCATCTTCCTATGTAAGTGGGAATTTAGATCTTGAATGTCCCCTGATGGTATTATTGAGCCATCACCATCCTGGTGTGAGCTCATTATCCAGCCTGACATTCCTGGGAGAACGCTGTATTGTTGAAGACGCTATACTTTAATTGTAATACTGAATTAAATATTCCTTTTCATTGATAATAATCAATAACTGAGAATTACGTAAATGGACGCCTGAGGTTAACTCAGCACGAAGCAGTCAGCCTACCTTACCCTTCCTGCTTGGCCCGAAGTCTTGATTAATCCTCATTAATGGGTGTGGTTCAGAGCAGTGTTATTTTTGTCAAGTAATGTATAACATACCTCCACGCCTTTTGAAAATATTTTTTCTTCGGATGAATAAATAAATGTAATAGTAATAGTGATAATCGCACTGAAGACGAGAACTGTCACGGCTGCCACTATTTTTATTTTCCCATGTTGATTGCCTAGGTGAAAAAGACAAAGAATATAGGCAAAGCATTTGACAAAATCCATGTTATATTATCTAGGTTCCAATGTTAACTACACATTGATTCTGATATTCCATCATTAGGCATGTCACCTTGGAGCCTGTTCAACTTCTGAGAGAACTAACTTATCTCCCCACCCTCTCCCGATGGCAATTAACATTTCATAGGTATTGAGTGTAAGAAAGGGGTTAGAAAATAGCTAAGAGGTCTTAAAGCTCTAGGCTAGAAGAAGGGTTTCAAAGAGCTCAACTACACTGAATAAATAATAATCCTTGCATTTGATATAGCGCCTTATCACGTCTTCAAGAGTCTCAAAGCGCTTCACAGTATATACTGTAAAGTGAATTGAATGTATATTTTGTGGGCAAAACGCAGCAGCGAATTGCGCAGAGCAGGCTAATTGTAGCATTCCTACCATCCTGCCTGAGATCAGCTCACTCAGTCTAGACCAGTGATTCTGGTTGTTAGTACAGGTCACACCAGGCAAGGTACCAATCCACTGGAGGCATCCAATTCCCAGGCAATTCTCCATGAAGGAAATCATTTGAAAGTAATGGAATTTGGGGAAACAACTGTAAAAACAACTTGCATTTATATAGCATCCTTAATGCATGATATGTATTTAGTAAAAATAGATGTTTTATCTAGCCCAAATGTTTCCATATTATTATAGTAAACAATTTAATTGGTCCACATTTATGGGTGAGGGTGGGGGTTCAGTGTAGTGTTATTTTAGCGCCAATATATGACTACTTAATTTTGGAATGAACTCTGGATTGGACAGTGAGTAGGATAGAGAACTATTACTTTTAAGTGAGACATTCTTGATACAAAACATTTTGATGTGACAGGGTGCTATAACAAATGCAAGGATTATCTATTTTATGTTCTAGTAATGTGCCCTTGAGTAAAATATAAAATCATAAATGGGAAGGGGATTGCAGCAGTGGTGCTCCATCAACACCTGACAATATCCAGCATCAGCAAATCCATCAATCGCCAGGCCCTTCTAATAAACAAACCACAACTGAGTAAGACACTCCCTGATATATATATAACATATATATTATATATATATAAAAAATGGTACCCACCAGGCATTGGCACTTGCAGGACCTGTCCCTCAGGTGGCATTATTTCAGTGAATTCGAGTGGACGGAGAATTGTGTTACCTTTGCTTGGTATTGACATCTTGGTGAGGAGAATCAACCTCTGCCGCAAAATAAGAAGATGAAATATACATCAGTACCCATAAGAGTTTCAGAGAGAACTGGGCAGATTGTTGGAACAGAAACTAATCTCCCTGAATTTTTGTTTCGCTGTGAATTAACATACAAAATAGCAGAATCTTTTTGAGCACATGGTCAGCGTATAAGGCCAGCAGGCATTTACAGAAAAAATATGAAGCTAATTAAAAAGGAAAGTCTAAGGAGAAGGCTTCTGCATCTCATTCCTTACCACACAACACGATTGCCTTTGCAAGGCTGAGATTTGACACACGCCCTTTAGTTTTCAAGGGACAATATGCATGTTGTGTGTCAATCAGCCACTCCAGCGGTCAATGGGAAACTTCAAGAAAAGGAGTGCGTTCTTTGACCTGCCAAGATTAAGTCAAGGTAGTGAGAACTCGACTAATATATAGGAACTAGTGAACGACGTGTATCTGGTGTCTTCATTCTCTACAGCTAAAGGGGGCTGAAAACAATGGTACACAATCGTGTGGAAAATCCTTCTGTTCAGTCTTAATTTGCATGTCGTTTTCCCACAGATGTTAAAATAAATGACTTCCAATTTGAGTCTGAGTTCTGCAATAATCGAACATGTCAAGGCTAACCAGGCTGCTGAGATTGGGAAGTCAATTTACAGGAACTACAGTGTGTCTGTCTGTCTGGTGTCTTCATTCACGACTTGTGCAGACGGCTCAGAGCACACGTCTTGCGGTCTTTGCCTTAAAAAAAAACTCGTCTTAAAACGTTATTATATCAGTTTATTTTGGGTGCCCCCCACCCCCAATGTTAAAAGGCTTGGCTTCTAAATCTGAGTCTGAATTCTGCACCATCTTAAGCCTGAAACATAACTGCCCTCCAGGCTGGGCCTGGGGGGGGGGGGGGGGGGGGGGGCTGGGGGCGGTCTGGGAGGGGGGGCTGGGCCAGTGGGGGGTGGGGGGGCTGGGCCTGGGGGGAGGGGGGGCCGGTGGGAGGGGGGCTGGGTGGGGGGGGGTTGGGCTGGGGGGGGGCGGGGGGGGGGGGCTGGTGGCGGGGGGGGGGGGGGGGGGCCTGGGGGTGGGGGGGGGCCTGGGGTCTGGGGTGGGGGGGGCTGAGGCTGTCGTGGGGGGGGATGTTGTGACCTGCGCTCACTCCCACCTCAGGGCTCATGTGAGGCTTCTCCCAACTGTCTGCTCAGTGGCGCGGCTCCTGTGGGTGTACAGTGCCCTCTGTGCCAGGCCCGGGCCCGGGCCCACAGCACCTGGTGAGGAGGAGGCGCCGCGGATGCCCTGAGACACTGAGAGAGTGAACGTGAGCGTCGGGGATTGTGCGTCAGTGACGCTCTGTCCCAACGTCCGGCATCAGAGCTGCAGTCCTCCAGCGCCAAAGATCAGCCAAACAAGAGAGACAGCGAGAGCAAGAGGGACCCCCCCATCACTCTCACTTCATCCCCTCCCCATCACTCTCACTTCATCCCCTCCCCCCCATCACTCTCACTTCATCCCCTCACCCCCCCATCACTCTCACTTCATCCTCACCCCTCACCCCCCAATCACTCTCACTTCATCCCCCCCTCACCCCCCAATCACTCTCACTTCATCCCCTCCCCCCCCAATCACTCTCACTTCATCCCCTCCCCCCCCAATCACTCTCACTTCATCCCCCACCCCCCCAATCACTCTCACTTCATCCCCCAATCACTCTCACTTCATTCCCCCCCAATCACTCTCACTTCACCCCCCCCTCATCCGCCAATCACTCTCACTTCATCCCCCCTCACCCCCCAATCACTCTCACTTCATCCCCCCTCACCCCCCCATCACTCTCACTTCATCCCCCCCTCACCCCCCCATCACTCTCACTTCATCCCCTCACCCCCCCATCACTCTCACTTCATCCCCCCGTCACCCCCCCATCACTCTCACTTCATCCCCCCTCACCCCCCCATCACTCTCACTTCATCCCCCTCACCACCCCCCCCATCACTCTCACTTCATCCCCCCCTCACCCCCATCACTCTCACTACATCCCCCCTCACCCCAATCACTCTCACTTCATCCCCCCCCCCATCACTCTCACTTCATCCCCCCTCACCCCCCATCACTCTCACTACATCCCCCCCTCACCCCCCATCACTCTCACTTCATCCCCCTCACCCCCCATCACTCTCACTTCATCCCTCACCCCCCCATCACTCTCACTTCATCCCCCCTCACCCCCATCACTCTCACTACATCCCCCTCACCCCAATCACTCTCACTTCATCCCCCACACCCCCCCAATCACTCTCACATCATCCTCACCCTCACTCCCCCAATCACTCTCACTTCATCCTCACCCCCCAATCACTCTCACTTCATCCTCACCCCCCAATCACTCTCACTTCATCCCCCAATCACTCTCACTTCATCCCCCCCGCCCCCAATCACTCTCACTTCACCCCCCACCCAATCACTCTCAATTCATCCCCACCTCATCCGCCAATCACTCTCACTTCATCCCCCCCTACCCCCCAATCACTCTGACTTCATCCCCCCACACCCAATCACTCTCACTTCATCCACCCCACCCATCACTCTCACTTCATCCCCCCTCACCCCCCAATCACTCTCACTTCAACCCCCCACCACCCCCAATCACTCTCACTTCATCCCCCCTCACCCCCATCACTCTCACTTCAATCCCCCCTCACCCCCCATCACTCTCACTTCATCCCCCTCTCACCCCCCATCACTCTCACTTCATCCCCTCACCCACCCCATCACTCTCACTTCATCCCCACCCCCCCAATCACTCTCACTTCATCCTCCAATCACTCTCACTTCATCCCCCCCACCCCCCAATCACTCTCACTTCATCCCTCCACCCCCCAATCACTCTCACTTCATCCCCCCTCACCCCCCAATCACTCTCACTTCATCGCTCCCTCACCCCCACAATCACTCTCAATTCATCCCCCCCCAATCACTCTCACTCATCCCCCCCCACCCCAATCACTCTTACTTCATCCCCCTCACCCCCAATCACTCTCACTTCATCCCCCACCATCACTCTGTTCACCCCCCCTCACCCCCAATCACTCTCAATTCATCCCCTCCCCAATCACTCTCACGTCATCCCCCCACCCCCAAATCACTCTTACTTCATCCCCCCTCACCCCCCAATCACTCTCACTTCATCCCCCCCCCACCCCATCACTCTCACTTCATCCCCCCTCACCCCCAATCACTCTCACTTCATAGCCCCATCACTCTCACTTCATCCCCCCTCACCCCCAATCACTCTCACTTCATCCCCCCTCACCCCCCCAATCACTCTCACTTCATCCCCCCCTCACCCCCCCAATCACTCTCACTTCACCCCCCCCATCACTCTCACTTCATCCCCCCCTCACCCCCCAATCACTCTCACTTCTTCCCCCCACCCCCCAATCACTCTCACTTCACCTCCCCATCCCCCCCCAATCACTCTCACTTCATCCCCCCTCACCCCCAATCACTCTCACTTCTCCCCCCCCCCACCCCCAATCACTCTGACTTCACCCCCCCTCACCCCCCCAACCACTCTCACTTCATGCCCCCCCCACCCCCAATCATTCTCACTTCAACCCCCACTCACCCACCCAATTAGTCTCACTTCATGCCCCCCCACCCCCAATCACTCTCACTTCATCCCCCCTCATCCCCTAATCACTCTCACTTCTTCCCCCACCCCCAATCACTCTCACTTCTACCCCCCACCCCCAATCACTCTCACTTCATCCACCCCCTCACCCCCAATCACTCTCACTTCATCCCCCCTCACCCCCCATCACTCTCACTTCATCCCCCTCATCCCCCAATCACTCTCACGTCAACCCCCCCTCACCCCCCCAATCACTCTCACTTCATCCCCCCCCCACCCACCAATCACTCTCACTTCATGCCCCCCCACCGCCCAATCACTCTCACTTCATGCCCCCTCACCCCCCAATCACTCTCACTTCATCCCCCCCACCCGCCAATCACTCTCACTTCATCCCCCTCACCCCCCAATCACTCTCACTTATCCCACCCTCACCCCCCAATCACTCTCACTTCATCCTCCCCCAATCACTCTCACTTCAGACCCCCCCACCCCCCAATCACTCTCACTTCAGACCCCCCCACCCCTCCATCACTCTCACTTCATCCCCCCTCACCCCCCAATCACTCTCACTTCATGCCCCCCCCCCCCAATCACTCTCACTTCATCCCCCCTTCACCCCCAATCACTCTCACTTCAACCCCCCCACCCCCAATCACTCTCACTTCATCCCCTTCACCCCCCAATCACTCTGACTTCATCCCCCCCACACCCCAATCACTCTCACTTCATCCCCCCCACCCCCAATCACTCTCACTTCATCACTCCCCACCCCCAATCACTCTCACTTCATCCCCCCTCACCCACCAATCACTCTCACTTCACCCCCCTCTCCCCCAATCACTCTCACTTCATCCCCCCACCCCCAATCACTCTCACTTCATCCCCCCCACCCCCAATCACTCTCACTTCATCCCCCTCACCCCCAATCACTCTCAGTTCTTCCCCCTCACCCCCCAATCACTCTCACTTCACCCCCCACCCCCACCCCCCAATCACTCTCACTTCATTCCCCCCCTCACCCCCCATCACTCTCACTTCTCCCCCCCACCCCCAATCACTCTGACTTCAACCCCCCCACCCCCCAATCACTCTCACTTCAACCCCCACTCACCCACCCAATTACTCTCACTTCATGCCCCCCCCACCCCCCAATCACTCACTTCATCCCCCCACACCCAATCACTCTCACTTCATCCCCCCCTCATCCCCTAATCACTCTCACTTCTCTCCCCCAACCCCAATCACTCTCACTTCTCCCCCCCACCCCCAATATATACTGTATATTATGTGTAAAAGAAAAGGCTTTGGGCGCATGCCAAATTTTGGGACTAGTTTTTGTCATTCATGCAGGTACAATAATAACAAAATTACATTTGTAAAGTGCCTTTCACGCCGGGAGGACGTCCCAAGGCGCTGGACAGTCAGAGTTTTGGACCCGAGCTGGGGCTCAGGGTGGGGGACGGTGGAGGGCGATGCGGGGGAACCAGGTAGATCGAAAGCACAATCAAAGAGGAGGGCCTTGAGATGGCTCTTGAAAGTGGCGAGGGTGGGGGCAGAGTGCCTGAAGGCTGAAGACCAATGGTGGGCTGGTCAAGGTGGGGAACGTGAAGCAGGCCAGAACCCACTGAGCGGAGGGAGCGGGCAGGTTAGTAGGGGGTTAGTAGGTTGCAGAGGTAGGGGGAGCAAGGCCATGGAGGGCTTTGAAGGTTAAGACCACGATCTTGAACTGTATCCTCTGTGTGATGGGAAGCCAGTAGAGTTGGGCAAGAATGGGGGTGATAAAGTCATGGAACCTGATGCAGGAGAGGACATGGTCTGCAGAGTTCTGGAATAACCTGCAGCCTACGTAGGGAGGAGTTGGGGAGGTCGACAAGCAAGAAGTTTGCATAGTCAAGCTTCGGTGTTATGAATGCATTTATGAGGGTTTCTGCGGCCTGCGGTGTGAGAATGGTGGAGCCGGGCGAGGTTGTAGAGGTGGGGAAGGCAAAGCAGGTCATGGTGCGGATGTGGGGTAGAAAGGATAGTTGAGGGTCAAACAAGACTCTAAGGTTCCGGAATGGCTCAGTGAGGTGGAGTGTGCATCCTTGGCTGGTGATGCTGTCAGCGCCTGAGGTGTGGAGGCGCTGACGAGAGCCAATCAGGAGAGCCTCGGTCGTGTTGACGTTCAACTGTAGAAAGTTAGCTCTCATCCAGGACTTGATGTCTGACAGTCATTCTATCAGGACAGCAGTGGTCCTGGAGTCGAAGGTGGAGGCAGAGATAGAGTTGAGTGTCACCCGCATACATGTGGAAGTTGACCCCATGTTTGCGGATGATGTCACCAAGAGGAGCATATAGATGTTGAAGAGGAGGGGACCAAGGACAGAGCTCTGAGAAATGTCGCACAAGACGTTGTGGGGGCTAGAGGAGAAACTTTGGGAACGGTACCAGTGGATAGGGAGAGGTTTATGATGTCTGTAAGTAGAGGTGCAAGAAGGTGGAGCTGGGGGGTAAGGAGAGGTGTAGGGATGGGGTCGAGTGAGCAGGTGTTCGGTTTCATGCAAATTATAGTGGTGATGAGAGAGGAGTGGGAGACAGGGTCGAAGGTGTGGAGGGAGGGATCATGACATTTAGGTGTGACTGTTCTTCTGAGGTTGGGTGGGGGAGGTCAGCAGGATTTCCTTGGAGCTGAGCTGACACCAAGGTGTCATATCTGGCAACGGAATGTCAGAATCGGGCCAGCCCTCTGTGGAGGTCTCAGTAGTCAAGTTCCTGAGCCAGGCGGGTCCACAGTATTCCAGGGCACTTCTGATGGCAGCACAGCCAGCCTGACTCATCGTCAGGACCTGGAAGAACAGACCAGGTCCTGGAGGTGGAGTCATCCCACGCAGCTCTTGTTAACCCTGCAAGCCAAAGCCCTAATGGGTAGGGTGGTCCTAGCTGGACAAGCAGCAGGAAAGCTTGCCAGACAGCAAGCTGTGCGGTTTTAGCTGGTTAGAGTTCAGCAGTACCGCAACACAAACTCTGGGGTCCCTAAATCTTGGCTCTTGCCAACCTGTGCCAATAGTTTCTGGAATTAGGTAAGCAGGATTTGTCCCTCCAGGGAGAGCACGCATTCCAGTCCAACAAAATATCTGGGATTTCCATGTGGAAGTGGGATGCATGGAAATCTCAGTTTGGTTTGGATACTCTTTAAGCATAGTGATGTGTTTCCGCATGTCGGATACCCGGCTAACCTGAAAAAAATCAGGCCTATGGTGTTGCCGGGTGGCATCTGAAATGCAGAAGGGAGGAGCTGTGTGCTGCTGAAGAGAAACAAAGAGACAGGCGGACAGTCCATTGAGAGTGCATGGAGAGTTGATGGTTCATTGGGAGAGCGGGACTGGTTGTAGGATACACGGATGACCCAATGGGTGGGTTGATAGGAAGCGGATGGCCCAACAGTGTGCAGAAACGTTGAGGACGCCATTCGTGTCGGGAGGATAATAATAATCCTTGCATTTGATAAAGTGCCGTAACATTGTCTTTGGGACATCTCAAAGTGCTTCACAATATACTGTAAAGTGACGCGGCAACCAATAGTCCAATAGGATAGTCCAATAGGACATTTGTTGCTGATTTGAAACCTAAATGGTAAATGATTGAACCATCCCATCCACCTGTTAACTTCCACATGTATGCATATAATAAATAATAGTAATCGTTGCCTTTGATATGGCACCCTATCATGTCATTGAGACATCTCAAAGCGCATCATGGAATATACTGTACAGTGAATTCACTGTGTATTTTGTGGGCGAAACGCAGCAGTCAATTGCGCACAGCTCTGTCACACAAACAGTCATGGATTGTGTGACCACATTTTTTGGATGATACCCAACTCTATCTCAGACCCCACCCTCGACTCCAGGACCACTACTGTCTTGATGGATTGTCTGTCACACATCAAATCCTGGTTGAGAGCCAATTTAAATGTCGACAAAATCAAAGTCACCTGTTTGGCTCCCGTCAGCACTTCCTCACCACAGGCACTGTCACGATACTTGGATGCACTCTCCACCTCGTCAAGCCATTCCAGAACCTTAGTGTCTTGTTCAACCTTCAACTGTCCCTTAAACCCCACTGGTCTGCTCCACATCCTACACAGTGCCATTACTCGTTCTGCCTTTCTCCACCTCCGCAACATTGTCCAACTCTGCCGCTCTCTCACCCTTAAGGCTGCTGAAACCCTCATCCATGCTTTCAAGACCAGGCTTGATTATGGTAACTTCATGCTCACTGGACTTCCCACTCTTTCCATCACAAGCTGTAAATTATTTAGAACTCTTGCAGCTCTTGTCCTCTCCTGCACTAAGCTTCGTGAGCTGTCCTTGCTCAGCCTCACTGGCTCCCCATCCCCAGACGATCGAGTTCAAGATCCTTGTCTCCATCTTTAAAACCCTCCACAGTCTTGCTTCTCCCTGTCTCTGCGACCTATTAAAGCTTCACCAAGCTGTCTGCTCCCTCTGCTCTGCAGGCACTGAATTGCTCCATATCCCCCGCATTGCTTCCTCCACTATCAGCAATCGGACTTTCAGTCTTTCTGCCCCCACTCTCTGGAACTCCATCACTCTGCTTCACTCCCTCCCTCGCCTCCTTCAAGTCCCATCTCAAGACCTTTCTTTCCCATCGTGGCTTCAGTCAACCTGCAGCTCGGATGCAAATCCCTCATTGTCCAGCGCTCCCAAATTGCATTTAGGTGCTATATAAATGCAATGTATTGTAGTTGTTGTTGCCATTCATCTATAATAATTCAGAACTTTCAAAAATGGTCAAATCAATTCTAATCTGTAATTCAGATCATGCCCAGGAGGAAGTTTGTAACAGACTTCAACTGCAGCGTTAGAAAACTATTTTTATACTGTAGTGGCAAATGCAAACCTCCCTGCTTCATACCAGAGTTTTACTGTGGAATACTTTTCCGTGTTTGGGGGATTTTTCTATTATTAATTTAATTCTAGGTCTCAACTTTGAAGTGGGTTTGCTGTAGTTTTTAAGGGAAGTATATAGAAAACCAGCTTCAAAGTACAGGCTGTATTTCAGAATTTCCTAACACTGGATATTTTCAAGCGCTACATAAATAGAGTAAATCTAGACTCGTGGAATTTTCCACACACGTAGTGAATATAGCAATTCCTGGTAATAACTGCATAATTTCTAAAGATGGTTTTAATCATACAACATAATGTTATATAACATGAAACAAGCAATTTTGGTAATGAAAAATATTGAATAGAACCAAAACATAACAGCTAAAATATATAAAAACGAAGGTGTCCCATGAAGTGATTTCTGAGCTGTTTGGGAGGAGAGTTCAGATGGTAATTATAAATCACGTAAGCTCCACTATTGTGGTTAATGGAATTATTTAAATATCATGAATAAGAAGCAGTAAACTCCTGATAACTCATCATTTCAAGGGAAACTTTCAAAAATGGTCAAATCAATTCTAAACAGCAATTCAGATCGTGCCCAGGAGGAAGTTTGTAACAGACTTCAACCGCAATGTTAGCAAAACTATTGTAGTGGCAAATGCAAAGCTGAAGAGGTATCTGGACTGGTGAGTTAGGCACATGTATAATAAATATGTAAATAAATGTGTCTGGGATATTGACAGTATGATGACTTAAGTGGTACTGACAAGTCAAGCCACGGTCAAGTTATCAGGAATTTACTGTAGTTTACTACTTAAAGCAAGGATTCCAGATACGTAGACTCTGTCTATATGGTAAAATGTCTATTATAGAAAAGCAAAGAGGCCATCAATCACATTGAAAATATGGGACATTAATTCTGGACTGCCTTTACAAAATGAGTCACAGTTAACATAGTTGCTATATGGTATATATTGTGAGACAAATTGATTGCATTTTTATTTCTATTTAATGTTTGGTTCTGAGTTATTCAAGTTCTTCCCATTTTCTCTTTGCACCTATTACAGGGCCAATGATAGTTAGATGATTCACTCTCAGCTCTACTCTGTCCAGTGACCGAGAAGTATATGCGAGTGGCTAGAAGAAAGCTTCCTTCTAATGTCCCGTCACTCAGTGCTTCAGGCAAAGGCATACATGAAATCAACAATTTTACAATTTAGTGAACCATAAGTGGCTAACAATTTACCTCTCTGTGCTACAGCACCACTGACTGATTTAATTCCCAAAGGCTCATGTATAGCAGAGCACATGGTGGCTATAACAATCTCGGTCTCTGCAAAAGCTCATGTCCACTCTTCCCCACCCTCCCATTCTTAAAACCACCTGTTCCGTCGTAAGGAATAATTCTGAGTACCATTGTTTATTTTAAGTTGTTTGGATGCTAGTGAAAGAGAAACTTCCTAATGAGAACATGAGACATTGACTGCTCATGTACTAATCTACATTGGAAACCTAGCACTTGATTGAAGGATAAAACTCTGGTGGCTTCTCAAAGTGTTCTTCAAATGACCATAACATGCTTTAGATCAAATGACAAGCCAAAGAGATGGTTAAAACAAATGTCAGTTAGATCTTGGTTAAACAAACATCAGTCTTGGTTGTAAGAAAATCGTCCTGAGAACTTGCATTATTACAATTTATTCACTGAAAATTGCCTTGAAAATAATTGTTACACATACCATCCCTATGATTAAAAACACAAAGAAAAGTGTTTTAAAAGTAGTTGAAGACATTGTAGTTTTGATCCCTCGAATGGTTCGTGGAATCTTATTGGTGACGTTTAACATGAAACCAAGTGACCAGTTTATTTTGTGTCCTTTTATCTGAAACAAGGAGAACACTGCAGCATTGCGTTTGCATAAATCAGAAACAGTTGAATTTGCTATTTTAAAAAAAATCATTAAACTTACTTTATTTGTAAAAGTTATCTGTTTCCAGTTCATTGGGTTAAACTTGTACCCATGTACTAGCAGTGTGTATATGTAGTGTCCACCAAAACAGTAATATCTGATGAAGGTATTTGAGATATTTGGAAACATAATTTTTAGCTGTAAGACAGGTAATATTTGTTTAGTTTATCTTATTTAGTCATGTTATTCTTATATCACTGTATAGCATTGATTTTTGTGCCATTTTCAGTACAAATTAGCTGCCATGTTTGCCTCCATAACAAGATTAGTTAATTTCTAATTAATCTCAATTTGTAAAATATTTTGACACCAAAAAAATCATGAAATGTGCTTTATAATTACTAGTTGTAGATAAAATAACAATAAGAATCCTTGCATTTGATAAAGTGCTTTATCATGTCTTCAAGACATCTCAAAGCGCTTCACAGAATATACTGTAAAGTGAATTGACTGTATATTTTGTGGGCGAAACGCGGCAGCCAATTGCACACAGCAGTGTCCCTCAAACATTCATGGCTTGAGATGGATTCACGACTGTTTGTGGACAGTTTGTAAGTGTTTTCATCACAAGAACACAAGAGATTTAGATGAAGAAGTCTATTGAGTCCATTTGATTTTATCCTTCCAGAATACCCACTTTACCACCTTCTCACCACAGCATCATGTTCCTGGCCTCAATCACTCTTCCTGGTAAATTGTTCCAGTTGTTAATCATCAGGGTACTTCTGATATCTGTCCTATAATTTCTCTTTGAAACTCAAAACCTCTGACCTCTGGTTCTTCTCTGCCTGCTTCACATCCCCCACCTCGCCCACCCCACCATTGGCGGGCAAGCCTTGAGCCACCGCTGCCCCCACCCTCTGGAACTCCATCCCGCAGTCCCTCCGCCTCGCTTCCTCTCTTGCCTCCTTCAAGACCCATCTCAAGACCCTCCTCTTCGACCATGTCTGCAATCACCCTGCTTCCCGCCCTGCCCTCCACCCTCCCTGATCCCGACCCCAGCTCAAGTCCGAAGCATTGACTGTCCAGGCCTTGTGACATCGTCCCGACGTGAAAGGCGCTATACAAAAATAATTTTGTTTTTGTTACTGTTGTTCTGTCGTGGTGCATCCAAAAGTATTGTTCTGTGATGACTTTCACAATCCCATTTAAAATAGTATATACCCAGGGCCCTCTCTGAGCTGCCTCCTTTCACGATTCCTGGCTTGTCTGATCGTCATTCAAGGCTTATTTGTCTAACTCTGGGGTTCATCCTTGTTGCTCTCTGCACTTCCTTTGGGGCCTGGGCCCTTAAGTTGCAGCAATCAGAACTGTTCGCAGCACTCTTAAGTGCGGTCTTACCAGAACATTATAGAGTTTGAGTATGACTTCTGGGGTTCTGAAACCAGTTGATTTTAATAATCTTTGTATTTGATTTAGCACCTTATATCATGGACTTTTGGGAGAATGGTGTCAGCCTTCCTTCCTTCCTTACATCAAAGGATACTGTTTTGGTGGAAACTACATTTATACACTGCTCGTAAATAGTTTCAAGTTTAAAGAAGGAAGGCTGGCACAATTCTCCCAAAAGCTATAAAACTGTTCAACTCTTTAGAAAGCAGTACAACTCAGATAAAGACACCTCAGAGAACAAGGTAAATAATGGGACAGCACATGGTGGAGTGCAAAACACAGCAGAGATGAGAAAGAAAGAAGGCAGAAAGTGTTACTGCAGAGCAAGGCACCTCAAAGACATTGTTTCTCAAGATCCAGTGGCTCTGTAGTCCTAGACAGAATGAGGACACACTGACCTCAAAAGACGCTCCTCCCTAACTCTGTGACCTGCTAGCTCCATACAGACCTTCCCATTCTCTCTGCTCAGTTCCCCGCCCGGCCCTCTTCACCATCAACGGTCGGGTCTTCATTCTTTCTGCCCCCACTCTTTGATACTACATCCCAGAGTCACTTCGCCTTGCTCTCTGTATTGCCTCCTTCAATCACAAGACACTGCTCTTCGACCGCGTCTACACTTAATCTTCCTCCCCTACCCTCCCTGCCCTCCACCCCTCCTGATCCCAAACCCCAGCTTGGGTCCAAATCCCTGATGGTACAGCACATTGGGACGTCCTGCCAAAATGAAAGGCGCTATACAAATGCAATTTGTTGTTTTTGTTGTTGCTGTAGTAAAGGATTCAGCTTGTGAGCACCCGAGAAGTTAGTAAAAGGAAAGCTATACCATAGCGCACCGATGACAGGCACACAATTAGGTTTTGAATTATGTTTACGTGAGGATTACACTCTTATCTTGGGTTTTTCCTGTTATTATGTATTCTACAAATATATTTTAACTACATTCTGTGGTCACCACCACCAACATAAGCTGCAGTCGACATTGTTCCAATGAGTCATATTAATAACTTTTTCTTAAAACATTCTATGCTGTTCCAATGAGTTGTATCGATATTGCGTCAAAGTTATCTGTCAAAATGACCCAATTTCCTATTTTTAAAGTAATGGCCCAACACAAGCCTATTTCCTGCCTAACTACAGAGCTGTATTCCCAAATAAATCATCCAAATAACTCACAGATAATTCATATGTACAATTATGTACATTGTTTTTTTCTATTCCCCAATTATGTTATTAATCTTATATCATGTTTGTTATGCGGTGCAACTGAATTTTGACCCCACAGTTTTAGCAAAAATATTCAGAGATGTATAATATTTCATCTGGGTGTTTGATGGAAACTTTTGCTTTTAAAAAAAATCTTAGTTACAGTTGCATTGCTTTACAATAGGAACACAAACACATTCTTTATGTCACTGACCAAATCCATAAGATTCAATCTTGGAATACTTTCCACATCTTAACAACATTTTAGGATAAAAAGAGCAATTTGTTACTTACCTCAGCCCACTTTTTTGTACAAAAAGACCAAACTGCCTGATTGTATTTAGTCACTGGAAATGAAAGCGGCAACTGCAAGGCTTTTCTCATGTAATGGAATCCGCCAAATGCCTAGATTATTTGGATGGAAATATATATAATTCTACTGTAAATTTCATAACCTAACATGCAGATAAATTCAGATTTTCAAATATTTGCAATTGCAATTTACCGTAAATTTTCCATAGATTTCTGGAACATAGTATCCATTGAATGTGCAATAACGTTTACCAGAGCAAGCTTCAAAATCAAACAATAAGTACGCTAATTGTTGGCACTTCGCAGGATTTCCTTTTCCAATGAAAGTTACCATAACATCAGGCTTGTAATCTGCTGTCTTTTTCGATACAGTGCATAAACTTCCAAATAAATTATTCACAGAAATTGTGTGATTGTAACCCGAGGGCCAACAAGGACATTCAAGAATTGTTTTGCCTTCTGAAGCCTAAATTTAAAAAAAAGATTAGCTGGAGTGTATAAGCAATAAAAGTTTCGACATTAATACAGAATTAGCATCTGAATACAAGTAGAGCATATGAATCATATGTGAACCGTATATTATTCGTATACTGTAGTATATATATTTGAAAATAATTCAAATGTGCTACAATTCGAAAATGGTCTTTAGACATTAATATTTAGAATTCTCATGGATTGTTTGCTACTTATTATGAATAGTTCCAAATATAAGCCTCCAGTAATCCAGGCTGCTATCTACCTCATGAGGGCTCAAACTTATGCTTGTTGAAATGTCAAATTACCATCCAATGACTAGATTCCTTGGAGGGGAGGTAAGCAAAGTCCCCACGGAATTCAAGTGAGTTCAAGGTGACATACTGTTAGAATACACACTTTTTGTATACTGCTAGAATCATAATAGATGTTGTGAATGGGTTAACTTTTAAGTTAAATGTGGGGGACAACTGGACTGACAGTCATGGGATAGGACACATCTGGTTTTCTCTGTTTTTGAAAGAATAATGGACGGACAGGGGCAGGGGGTCACCTCTTATCAGTAAATGACAACAAGCCACAGAGGTACCAGTCGACCCAGGATCTCGACTGAGCAATAAGTCACTAGATTCTGACAGGGCCAAGCAACAGAAGGCAACCCTCAAGAATAGCAATTAATGAGCAAGTTGCTTAAACTAGAGGACCTTAGTACCATCCCGGGATACTGATAAGGAATAACCAGTCACTTAAAAGGAATGTACTAATGATCCCACACCACAAAATAATGAGCACCAGATACAGTCCTAAACTGATCAATCCTCTATCTTCGACAATTAGATCAGATAACAGGGGTCTTAAGGACAATGTGTCGTGTGCTGAGGCACGTACACCCCATGAGGTGCTCACGTGAACCCAGCATGATTTCGACAGGTGATCTAATGTCCGCACCACGATTGGATGAACATTGGTATAAGAGTTCCGATAACTTTGTGTACGGGGCCGTCCCGGGTCGTGGAGACAAGGATACGGGAGATGGGGCCGTCCCAGGTCGCGGAGACAAGGATACGGGAGACGGGGCCATCCCGGGTCGCGGAGACAAGGATACGGGAGATGGGGCCATCCCGGGTCGCGGAGACAAGGATACGGGAGATGGGGCCATCCCGGGCTGCAGAGACAAGGGTACAGAGATGGAAAACTGAGAGCTAGAAACACTAAGACAGGATATCAGATGGAAGATTGAAAGCTGTAAGCAAGAAGACTGAAAGCATGAAGAATCAAGCTTGTGTGCTGAAAAGACAGTTTTGAACTCTTGAACTCGATATATCTATAGTAGTGTTATTCTGTTATAAGATCTGTTGATTGTACCGGCCTTTGGTTTGACCCATCGGGATATTGGGGAATAACGAACGAATAATAATAAAACAGTCTGATATCTGGTTAAAGGAATTAGCGTTATTTCCTTACAGATTTGGCTGATTTTATTTTCTTACAATGGAATTCTGGAAATGAGACAACCCCGTGGTGTCCACTATTCCAGTTCTTGATCCTGTCTCTAGCATCTCGCTCTTCCGTCATCTCCTGCATAAAACCTACTACCTACACTCTTGACCCCAACCCTATCCTGATCATCCAACTTCTTCTTGCTCTCCCCACCCTCCCCCATGTGCATCGTGAAGCTCTCTCCACTAGTACAGTCACACCTCTTTCAAAATTACAGGCATTGCCATCCCCTTCTTAAGAAACCCTCCCTTGAAGAAACCCTTCCACGGTTAATGACAAATATTTAAACTGCCTTTTCTCTCCAAGGTGCTGGATGAGTCATTTCCTGGCACTCCCCACAGCAGCCTCTCCAATCAGCTTCTGCTCAATCCACAGCACAGAGACTGCCCTAGTGCAACTTACAAACAATATTCTCTCCATTTGTGACAAAGGCTTTCTCTGTCTCATTATTCTCCTTGATCTCTCTGATGCTTTTGACATTGTCAACCACTTGAACCTTTTCCACTGCCTCATTACTCTGTTCTACCTTCAGTTTCTCAGGCTCTATCTTCGGTGCTCTCCTCTTCACCATCTATATGTTTCCACTCAGTGATATCATCCAAATACATGAGGTTCACTTCCAACTCAATCTCTCTGTCTCTACTCTCAACTCCAGGACCACTGCTCTGACCAATTACATGTGGGAGATAAAGTCTTGGAATGAGAGCTAACTTTCTCCAGTTGAATTTGGCAAGACAGAGTCTGCTTGGTTCCCGGCAGCACCTTTTCACCTCAGAGGCTAACAGCATCAACATGAATCGATCTGACCTCCACTCGGACCCTCGGTGTCTTGTTTGACTCACAACAGTCTTTGAAATCCCATATCTGTATTCTGGCCTGTTCAGCCTCTCCTTTTGGGCCACCGAGATCCGCATCCATACCTTTATCACATCAGGCTTGACTACATTAATGGTCCTCTCACCAAACTTCCCAGCTGGTTACACAGGCTTCAGCCTTCTTGCATTTGATGTAGTGCATTATCAAGTCATGAAGGATGCCTTAAAGCGCTTCATAGGATTTTACTGTGAAATGGAGTGAGTGTATGATTGTAGGCACATGCGACAGCACAATTGGCACAGCAAGGACCCACAAACAGCCATGAAACAAATGGCCAATTTTATTTGGCACCTCTGATAATGCAAACCCAACCTCTCCACCCAGCACTATATTGGAGTGAGTTCAAGTCTCCATGTGGGGCTTGAACTTTCAATCTTCTGATTCAGAGCACAGACAGCGACTCCTGAGCCAAGCTGACACACTACAGAATTCTAAAATCAATATCCTATCCCCCGTCCCCAACCTCACTTGGCTCCACTGACTCCCTAACCCCAGTGGATTGAATTGAAGATCCTCATTCTCAAATTCCGATTATTTCACCCTAATTCTGTGAATTCCTTTCAACCATACCAACACTTCCTCTCTCTTTACTCAGTGAGCATTGGCCTGCTTTATGTCCCCCACCATATCCGCCCCACCATTTGCAGGTGGACTTTCAGTCATTCTGCCCCCGCTATCAGGAACTCCATCCTGAAATCTCATTGTTTCCGTCCCTTCCTTTGTTCTAGCCCCATCTCAAAACGTACCTTTTTGTCTGCACATTTGGTCATTTTTACCCTCCCTTCCCTCCTTAGCTCCCCATCCATAGTTTGGATGTCCAGCCAACAGTCAGCTCTTTGAGATGTACTTTCTTCCAATGTTAAAGGTATTACATAAATGTAAATTGTATACTGTTCGTCTAGGTGGGTCTGTGGTACTCTAGGGCACTGCTAATGACATACTAGCCTGCCTGGCTCATTGGCAGAATATGGAGGGGCAAACCAGACACTGGGTGCAAGGATTCTTCCCACTGGTCAGCTGTACCATCACTCTCTCTCCAAAGCGAAAACCTCCTTGCATTTGGTATAGGCTTTCATGTTGGGAGGATGTCTCAAAGCGCTTCACAGGATTTATTCTAAAATGGAGTGACTGTTTTTAGGTGAAATCCGCGGCCCAACTAGACACAGCAAATACTCATGTTCAGTCATCTTGGAGGCCAAGGCCAATCTCAAGCTCATTTTTTCCTCTACAAATCACTTACTTCATTTCCCTGCCACCTCAAGCCCTCTATCACCTCTGATTCCAAAGGGACTGTGGACTGTCATGGACTGTGTGTTGCCCCCATCGGAAGCTGTACCTTCACTCAGCCCTTAATTTCTGGAACTTCCTGCCTCAATCCCTTCACCTCGCCCCTTTTTTTAATCTATCTTTAAATCCTACCTGAATACCTACCTCTTCATCTGCACCTGTGGTTATCTCCCCCTTCCCTGTTCAGCATCTAATCCCACCATACAGTGCTCCGAGACACTTTGTGAAGGGCGTTATGTAAATGCAAGTTGTTGTTTGTTGTTTTTAATCCTGGAAGCCAAAGTCCTATCTGGTAGGGTGGTCCTAACTGGACAAGCAGCAGGAAGCTTGTCAGACAGTGTTCTCAATGTCAAACTATGCTGTTTTAGCTGGTTAAACTCCAGCACACTGTGGAATACCCAAGTCTTAGCTCTTGCTAAACTGCGCTTCTATTCTCCAGAATTATGTGAGCAGGGTGCATCACTCTAGGGAGAGTGTGCATTCCTTTCCAGATATCGGAATTTCTGGCTGTAAGTGGCAAACGTGTGCAACTCTTAAGCATGGTGATGGATTTCTCAAAACCTTGCCTCCACCAAAAAATTCTGACAGCCAGTGTATGGTAATCCCTTGTTAAATGTACATATTGGGAACAAGTACGTGTCTCCTTAATGTGCACATCAATTCACATATATCGGAAAACTCCTGTACAAAATGTATCAAGCTCAGAATAACTGACTTTTACAGAATTTACATTGATATTTCTAAATCACCTGATAAATATGGACCAGTAGTCTCAACTCAGCTTCCTTCCATCCAAAGCAATCAAAGGTTTCAGTGAAGACCTTATATTTATACCCAAACAGTGTAACTTTGTATGTAGGAATATATTTTGAAACCTTCTTGGCAATAAAGGTGATGTGTGCAGCACCTCCAACTAAGGCTAGAGCACCTGTGGTCCTGGATAATGGAGAGCGTTTGTATTGTTGCAAACCATCCAACTGCAAAGGATTTGGCAAAAAAGAACAAACTTAATCACATCTCATCACATAAATACGAAAATATAAGTGTTTTCTTTTCAATTCAATGGAACATTTTTCATCTTAATTCCAAAGGTATTTGATTCTTCAAAAGGTTAATTGGCCCATTTCTGATGTTTCTGGATCCCTAAGCTTCCACCACCACCTCTCGCTAGCCTGAGAAGATGCCCTGAACTCCTATCCTTTGCTTTTAATCTTTAATCCTTTATGTTTTTTCTTTAATCCATTTTACTGCCATTCCCACAATTCCAAATGCCCCTATTTTAGTACGAGCCTCTCATGCGGCACTTTATCAAAGGGCTTCTGGAAATCCAATTAGACTACATCTACTGCATTTCCCTTGTCTACTTTACCAGTTCCATCTTCAAATGATTAAATAAGGTTGAACAGACATTACCTTCCTTTCATAAATCCATGCTCTTATATATTCTCCTTCTCTAGATGACTAGTTATTTCATATTTTGTTATAGATTCCAATACCTTACCCCAAACCAACGTTAAGGTCATTGGCCTGCAGTTTCCTGGAGTAGCTCTATCACCCTTTTGTAAAAATAGGTATTACATTGGCCATTCTCAAGTCCTCTGGCACAATTCCTTTCTCTACAGTTATTAAATATATATACACTATTTAAGGATTTGTTGGCAAGGCTACATTCAAAATTCATTCCCACAAAATCAAAACAGGTCAAAAGGAACCAAAGAGACTGGATACTCTTAAGCATGGTGATGAGTTCCCGCAAGTGTCAGACATCTGGCTAATCAAAAAATTATACTGTCGTCTTTGGCATGGGTGTGTTTGGAGAACAGGGCTTTGTTTTGTGTTTATATTTTGAATTTGTAGTAAATATTGTAGCACATATAGCAAAAGTGGTCATGTAATTCACCCATAAATCTTCAAGAAATATAACTTTACCACACATCCTTACCACCACCAAATTGCCTCTTAAATAGTTTGCCGCGATCCAGCCGTAAATTGCTTCTTCTCTTGGAGAAACAAATGTAATATGTCCATAACCGAATGGTAATCTTTGGAATAAAACTCTAATTGCCGAAAATATTCTCTCTGCCACGACCTTGTCCTGCAAACTGACAATTCCGGGAAGAGATGAGAGAAAACAATCAGAGATCACGTCTTTATCTTCGGTTTCAGAGATTATCTAAGGACACTCAATTAACCTGACTTTTTTTTTACTCATTTCAGCTTGTGGGTGATGCTGGCAGTGGCAGTGGTAAAGTAAATTAACATTTATAGACGGAAGGAACAATGAAGCCAGCAAGCTTCACAGAGCATGAGAAAGTGAATCTTCTCATGAACAGAATCACTGGAATATTGTTTGGAGAAAGATGACAGTTCTTAATGGAGAAAATAGTTCAAGTAAATGGGTAAATTGTCTGACATGGGAGTGGAAAATTCATTTTAGATGAGAGTTCTTTATGTTTTATTCTGTATTATTAATAAATTCAAATTCCCCCCAAATTCTAATGAATTGACTACTTATCTCATAGAACATAGAAACAGAGAAATCTAGATTGCAGAAAGAGGTCCTTCAGCCATCGAGTCTGCACCACCCCATAGAGCAAGGAGACCAATTCAATCCCACCATCCCACCTTATCCCCATACCTCTTTGAGCCCCTCACTTTCTGTCTGCCTGTCTGCTTCCCTCTTGAAAGCTAATAATGGTCTCCATCTCTACCATCCTACTCTGCAGGAACAATGAAGCCAGCAACATTAAGGTTTTGGCATTAGGGCATTTGATAAGGTTCTACACAAAAGATTATCAGCGAAAATGGAAGCGCATGGAGTCGGATCTAACCTTGGAACTTGGCTTGGTAATTGGTTGGGAGGCAGAAAACAGAGAGTAGGGATAAAGGGAACTTTCTCTGTTTGGCAGGATGTGACAAGTGGTGTCTCCAAGAGGTCTGTTCTGGGATTTCAGCTATTCGCCGTTTATATAAGTGACTTGGATGAAGGAACAGAAAGTTTTATATCAAAGTTTGCAGACAACACGAAGCTCGGAGGCTCAGTAAATTGTGCAGATAGGAGTAGGAAGTTACACAGGGACTTAGACAGATTAAGTGAGCGGCCAAAGCTGCAGCAGATGTAATTCAATGTAGGGAAGTGTGAGGTCATCCACTATGGCCCGAAAAAAGATAAAGCAGAATATTTTCTTAATGGGGAGAAATTAAGAACAGTGGAGGAGCAAAAGGATTTGGGTGTCCATATCCACAAATCACTAAAAACTAGTTCCCAGGTGCAAAAAGTAATCAAAAAGGCAAATGGAATGTTGGCCTCTATCTCAAGGGGCCTGGAATATAAAGGGGAAGAAATGATACTTCAACTGATAGAGCATTAGTCAGACCCCATCTGGAGTATTGCATTCAGATTTGGGCACCACACCTCAGAAAAGATGTATTGGCCCTGGAGGGGGTGCAGTGCAGGTTCATCAAAGTGTTTCCAGGCCTAAAAGGGTTAAGATACGAGAAAAGGCTGCATAAATGTGGATTGTATTCCCATGAGTTTAGAAGGTTGAGGGGTGTTTTGATTGAGGTATTTAAGATGACAAAGGGATTCGATAGGGTAGATACAGAGAGCCTATTTCCTCTGGTGGGGAATCCAAAACAAGGAGGCATAGTCTTAAAATTAGAACCAGGCCATTTAAGAGTGAAATCAGGAAGCATTTTTTCACTCAAAGAGTGGTAGAAATCTGGAATTCTCTCCCCCAAAAGGTCATGGATCCTGGATGCATCCACACCTTCAACAGTAAGGTTGATAGATTTTTGGTAGGTCAGGATATTAAGGGACATGGGGAGAAAGCAGGAAATTGGAATTCAAATGGTTAGTTGAGATACAAATCAGCCAAAATCTAATTAAAAGGCGGAAAGGGCTCAAAAGGGCTGAATGGCCTACTCCTGTTCCTATGTTCCATTGCGCATCTCAACAACTATCTAGGTGAAAAACATTCGTCCTAAATTTTTTTTTGCTATTCTTCTGGCTAATTTATAACTATGTCCCCTAGTTACTGACTCCCGTATCAATGGAAAAACTTAATAATAATAATCCTTGCATTTGATATAGTGCTTTACAGTTGTAGCTGCAAATAAATTTCCACCTTGTTTTGTTCCACTTTTGGGATTATCAAACAAGGCATCAATTTGTTTTTTTAGTTTTTTTTGTAATTGTCGTTGAGACCTCTCAAAGCGAATCACAGAATATCCTGTAAAGTGAAGTGACTATGTATTCTGTGGGCAAAACATAGCAGCCAACTGCACACAGCAGTGTCCCACAAACAATCGTGAATTGCATGACCAATTTTTGGGGAGGGATTATTACCCCCGAAAAGCTATATGCCAATCAATAATGACCAGGTTCCTACTTACTTCTAGGTAAACAGAGGCGGGCGAAGTAAGGAAACTTGCCTAAGAGTTTGCCCCGCCCAGGAATCGGGTCTGGGTCCTCTCACTATTTACCCTTACAAAACTGGGACGTCCTCCCGACGTGAAAGGCGCTATACAAATGTAATTTTGTTGTTGTTGTACACCTGTATCAGGTCCCCCCTAAACCTTCTTTTCTCCATCCTCTCCAATCCCTCCTCGTAATGGTAGCCCTTCATCCCTGGAATCATTCTCGTAAACCTCTTCTGCACCACCTCCAAGGCCTTAACATCTTTCCTGAAGTGAGGCCCAAAACTGGACATAGTATACTCCAGCTATGGCCTAACCAATGATTTGTCAAACCTAGCATTATTGCTTTTCTTAATTGCTTTGCTCTTGAATTCATTGTTAACGGGACATCCACTTCCTTTCCATTCAATTGTATTTGTATAGCACCTTGGAATGTTTTATTTTACATGAAAGGCACTATATAAATGCATGTTTCTGTGATCGTACTATGCTATATATTACTCTAATGTGTAATTCTCAAGAACAAAAAGTCTCATCTTACTACAATAGTCGCATTTCAGTTGTAGCTGGGAAAAAAATTTCCGTCTGGCTTTGTTCCTCTTTTGGAATTATTTTTATTGAGGCATTCAGGCAGTTAGCCAGTGAATCAATTGCTTTTTTAGGATTTTGTTTGTATTGAGGGGAACCAGTTTCTGTGGTAGAAAAGAGAAAACAATAACAACAGAATTATTTTATAGAGCACCTTTCGTGTCGCTGGACGGAGTTACGGACCAGAACTGGAGGTTGGGATGGGAGAGGGTGGAGGACAGGGGGGGGGAAGTAGGGAGATTGAAAGCACGGTCGAAGAGGAGGGTCTTGAGGTGGATCTTGAATGTGACGAGGGAGGGGGCGAGACGGAGGGACTGCGGGATGGAGTTCCAGATGGTGGGGCAGAGTGGCAGAAGGCCCGTCCGCCAATAGTGGAGTGAGCAAGGCGAGGGACGTGAAGCAGACCGGAGACGACTGAGCGGAGGGAGCGAACAGGGTGGTAGGGGTTTAGGAGGTCGGAGAGGTAGGGGGGAGCAAGACTGTGGAGGGCTTTGAAGGTGAGGACCAGGATCTTGAACTGTATCCTCTGTGTGATGAGAAGCCAGTGGAGTTGGGCAAGGATGAGGGTGATAAGAGTCCGCGGAGCGTGGTGCGGGAGAGGACACAGGCTGCAGAGTTCTGGATGATCTGCAGCCTGTGGAGGGAGGAGTTGGGGAGGCCAACAAGCAATGAGTTTGCATTGTCAAGCCTCGATGTAATGAAAGCGCATATGTAATGATGTAAATGATGTAAGTTAATTGATGGTTGAAATAATGATGATAATGAAACTTGTATTTGCTATAGTGTCAAGTCTTTGAGATGTTTCAAAGCGCTTCACAGAATATACTGTAAAGGAAATTGACTATATTTTGTGGGCAAAACGCAGCAGCCAATTGCACACAGCAGTGTCCCACAAACAGTCGTGGATTGACTGACAAACTTTTTAAAAAAATTTTAAGAGATTATTATCCATAGAAAAGCGATCTTGCCAATTGACTAACCGGTTTCCTACTTACTGCTAGGTAAACAGAGGCGTGTGGAGTAAGGAAACTTGGCTAATGTTTCGCCCTGCCGGGAATCAAACCCAGGTCTGCAAGCTTGCGAGGTGAGTGCTCTAACTACTCCATGACTAAAATGACCAAAAAACAATATAATAACCACTCCTGAAACAGCGATATGATGTTGTAGCTGGAGATTGACAGATATTTCCTCCTATTCAAAGTTCTCCAAGGCCTTATAAATAATAATAATTATAATATTTGCATTTGATATATAACACTTTATCACATCCTCTAGATGTCTCAAAGCACTTCACAGAATGTACTGTAAAGTGAATTAACTGTTTATTTGTGGGCGAAACATGGCAGCCAATTGTGCACAACAGTGTCCCACAAATATTTGTGGATTGAAGCAATCAATTCATTATTGTTTTCTCTTCAGGACGCCTTGCTCCTTCCTACCTCTGTGAACTGATAACGCCATATCAACCTGTTCGTTCCCTCTGCTCAGCAGGCTCCAGCTAGCTCCACATCCCCATCATTGGCTTCAGGCCTTCAGCATCTCTGCCCCCACCCTTTGGAACTCCATCGCAGTACCTTCACCTTGCTCCCTCCCTTGCCTCCTTCAAGACCCTTCCTGCCTTCAAGCCCTCCTGATCCCAACGCCCTGATTGGATCCAAATCCCTGACTGTTCAGTGTCTTGGGACATTCTCCCAACATGAAGGCACAATACAAATGTAATTTGTTGATGTTGTTGTAATGTTAACTGTTGGAAGATAACATTTTGTGATATGCAATTAATGGGGTAAAATGGGTTGCTTCTGTTTGCTTGTGGAATGAGCAAGAAGAAAAAACTGAAGAGTTAAGCCAGCATTCTACAAACCAAGCCTCCAGTTGCTGGGCTCCACATGATAAAATCAGCAACGGTTGCCTCAGCTGGCTTTGGACTCACTGTGGCACCTTCATTGAGTATTGGGGGGAATGGAGTGGGGGGGTTGGCGATCACATTTGCAGAGACTGCAGAGAGGTCTTCAGTCATAAAGTCTCACAACCATTTTTATCCACAATGTGATAAATCCAAACCGACATCCTATTGATGGGGGTGGGGGGGGGTCTCTGTGAATACTCAGACAGAAGTAGGAAGGAGCAAGGCGTCCTGTAGTTCAGTAGACAGAGCACTCGCCTCAGTCTCAGACTACCATAACTGCCACGGAGGTTGACTCGATACAAGATTTGTCTGGAAGAAGGCCCTCCGGCCCATCCAACTCATTCCTCCAGAACACCCATCCTACTGTCACTGCATCAAGCTGCTTTTCAAATTAGTCTTGGGTCCTCGCTACTTTTTTTTACTATCTTTTCTTTTTACCTTTTTACTTTTTCTGGCAACCTCTTCCAGTCGTTGATTACCCTCAGCCAATTGCACAAAGACAGCAATGAAGTGAATGGTCATTTTTTTAATATAGGGGTATTGTTGGCCAGGACACCAAGAGAAATGCTCTTCTCTTTTTGAATAGTGGCATGGGATCTTTATCAGCAGAAGGGCAGATGCACGGAGACTAGGAGTGCTGGGAAGGTAGGGGTATAGCACACTCTAGCTTGAAGTACAGGGATGCTGCTCCCCGGACTGTCATACCTCCCGGCTGCTCCCAGTGGCCCCAGAACCTGCAATCAGCCGGGCTGGCGAGCAGACATGGGGCTAGACTGGCTGCCAGGCAGTGTGCGTGGGCGAAGGAATGAGGACAGGGCTGTGGTGTGAGTTTAGGCAGTGAGAGTGGTGGACGCTTCCCCAAAACAGCAGCAGTGAGGGAAACGGAACAGCGCGTCCACGAGGCTCTGTCACAGCGGCAAGCTCGAACCTAAGCAAAAGAGTGGGGGGAGGAAGCGAGGGATGACCATAGACCCGGTCAAAGAGATATGTTTTAGATGTGTTGTGAGGACCACCATCCTCTACCTCCTCCGTGCCCGCCCCCTCAGGCCTCCTCAATCTTCGTATCAAATGCCAAGTGCGAGGAGGTCATGGACTTCTTTTCAACTAAAATACTGAACATCTCCACTAGGCAGCCTCATCCACCTGCCCCTTGTCACCCACCACCACGCCCTCTCTGTCCCCCTCACCCTCCTCATCATCTGCTCCTACCATCACCCCCATTCTACATTCCTTCCTCCCCATCTCTCCCTCCTCCCATTCACCCACCATCACTTCCATGAAACAACAACAACAAGATTCCATTTGCAGAGCGCCTTTCACGTCGGGAGGACGTCCCAAGGCGTTGGACAATTGGGTCAGGACCCGAGCAGGGGGGAAATGGTCAGGGTGAGGGAAGGGAGGGAGCGAGGAGGGGGTAGAGAGTTGATAGGGGAGCTGAAGGCACGGTCAAAGAGTAAGGTCTTGAGACCGGCCTTGAAGGAGAAAAGGGAGGAAGCAAGGCGAAGGCACTGGGGAATGAAACCCACCACCTGCTGCCTTGAATCCCTTCTCACCAACTTACTGGTCACACAGCTCCCCCTCCTATGCCCACTACTGGCTGACATCATCAACCAGTCCCTCTCCTCCGGATCAGTCCCTGCCCCCCCTCAAAACTGCTGTCTTCACCCCCTTCCTGAAAAAACCCTCCCCAGATCCCTCAAATCCCAGCCATTACCGCCCTATTTCTAACCTGCCCTTACTCTCAAAAGCTCTAGAACGGGTTGTGGCCACCCAACTTCGCCCACACCTCTCCTCCAACTCCCTCTTCGAACCCCTCCAGTCCAGTTTCCGCCCACAGTACAGAGACTGCGCTTGTGAAAGTCACAAACGACATCCTCTCTTATCTGTGACCAGGGCTCCCTCTGCCTCCTTGTCCACCTGGACCTCTCCGCCACGTTCGACAGTTGATCACGCCATCCTCCTCCACCGCCTTTCCTCCATCATCCACTTCAGTGGGACCGCACTCGCCTGGTTCGAGTCCTACCTCACAAACCGCCAGCAGTACATCTGCATAGATGGCTTCTCCTCCCGCTCTCACCTGGTCACCTGCGAGGTACCGCAAGGATCCATCCTTGGTCCCCTCCTCTTTCTGATCTACATGCTCCCTCTTGGGGATGTCATCCGCAGACATGGGGTACATTCCCACATGTATGCAGATGACATCCAACTCTACTTTTCCACCTCTCTTTGCGACCCCCAGTCCCCTGATGTTCTATCAGCCTGCCTGTCAGATCTCAGGGGCGGGATGAGCACAAACTTCCTTCAGCTGAACGTTGACAAGACGGAAGCCATACTCTTCGGCTCGTCAATGTCTAAAATCTCTCCTCCACCACCTACCCGACCTCCCCCTAAAACTCTCCGAACCCGTACGCAACCTAGGCATCAGGTTCGACCCCCAATTATCCTTTCTCCCCCACATCCGGTCCCTCACCAGCACCGCTTTCTTCCACCTCCGACGCATTGCCCGTCTCCGTCAATACCTCTCCCCAAAAGCCGCTGAAACTTTGGTTCATGCCTTTGTCACCTCTCGGCTGGAGTATTCAAATGCCCTCCTCGTCGGTTTCCCATCCACTACCATCCATAAAATCCACTCATTCAGAACTCTGCTGCCCGCCTTCCCACCCGCATGAAACTCCGCTCCCCGATCACCCCAGTCCTTGCCAGACTGCACTGGCTCCCTATCCCAGAGAGGATCGATTTCAAGATCCTCACCCTCGTATTCAAGTCCCTGCACTCCTCTGCACCCCCCTACCTCTCTGACCTCCTCTCTCCTCAGCAAAGTACCCGTTGCCTTCGTTCCTCTGGGTCTGGCGGAGTCCTTGTCCCCCGAGTCCTCCGCTCTACCCTCGGCGGCCGTGCCTTCAGCCACTATGCCCCGAGGCTCTGGAACTGCCTTCCTCACTCCCTTCGTCTCGCTCCCTCCCTTCCCATTTTCAGGTCTCTGCTGAAGACCTTTCTTTTCGACCGCGCCTTTGGTCACCTTCCCACGCCTCCCCCTGGCTCGGTCCCGGGATCCTAAACTGTAAGGCACTCTGAGACGCCGTCTGGCGTGTAGGGCGCTATATAAATCCAAGTTGTTGTTGTTGAGGACAGACAGAGAAGGGGCAAGTCAAAGCAATAGAAAGGCAGGCAGTTGCAGAAGTTAAGAGGTGGTGACAAGACTTGGCTATTGATGGTGATGCGAAGGAGGCGAAGGTACACAGCTAGCTTGGGGGGAGTTGCAAGCAGAGAGATAGGGAGGTACTTAAGCGTGAAGGGATTGGTACATGATATAGAGCAACTTGAGGTCGATGTGATGGGAATGAGGAGTTTGGTGCAAGTCAGGATATGGGTGGTGACATTTTGGTTCGCTGGATCTGTGCCTGGTGTAACTGAGGAAATCAGTGAGGAGTGTACTGAGGAATCAAGGCGGGAAGTGACAAGTGTAGTTAAGGGTTTTAGTAGTATTCGTGTGATGTCAGGGCAGAAATATAGCGTAAGAGAAGAAAATTAGTTTTGGTCAGGGACCGAATGTGAGGAAGGAAGGACAGCTGAGAATGGAACCAGAAACCGTAGTTGGGCACTCGTTCGGTGAGATTGAAAGTTAGGGGAAGTTGAGGATGTTAAAGATGGAGGGGAGGAGACATTGGTGAGAGCCAAGGAAGGTGGCCTCTGTCTTGTCCATGTTAAGTTGCAGAAAGTTGATGCTCATCTAGGCCTTGATGTCTGACAGGCAAGCAGACAGAGAACATCGATGGACCTGGAATCAAGACTAGAAGTGAAAAAGTGTAGAATATCATCCATATACACCTACAAACTCCTTTTCTTCTTGAATAGGGTCAGGGATCTTTGACCCACCCACTTGAAGAAGAGGTAGAACAGACCTCAGTTTAATGACTCATTGGATGGATGTCTCATTACAAATGTGCTTTCCTGTTTTTACTAAAGTGTTAGCCTACCCAACACCATGATGGTGATGCAGTAGCATTGTTAGCACACGATACCAAGCTTGGTAATTTACTGCTGAGAAGAATACTATCATCATGGCAGTGCCCTGGATCTGTGCAGGGTGGAACTGAGGAGATAATTCTTTGACAAGAGGAGAATAGATCCTAGAAACATAGAAATTTACAGTATAGTTGGTTCATTTAAAGAGCAACTTATTTCAGTCTTTCACCCTTGGCTTATAACATTGGAGGTGTAGATGCAACGGAGTACCATACTATAAGGCGCTATATCGAATGCAAGGATTATTATTACCTTTCCCGTCCCCCTTGGCTCTCACCCCCAGCTTGGGTAACTAACCAGCATTGTCAAGTACTTTGAGACATCCTCCGATAGGGAACAATGCTATGTAAGTTGTATTATATTGTACTTATTGGACCACTCTATTATTACATAATGCCTCACAGAGCGCGAGAACCCGAGTTCGGTTCCCGGCAGGGCGAAATGTTGGGCAAGTTTCCTTACTCCAAACGCCTCTGTTTACCTAGCAGTAATTAGAAACCTGGTTATTAGTTGATTGGCGATTGCTTTTACAACAATTGCTTAAAAAGAATAATAATAATAAATTGGTCACTCAATCCACGACTATTTGTGGGACACTGCTGTTCTCAATTGGCTGCCGCGTTTTGCCCACAAAATATACAGTCAATTCACTTTACAGTATATTCTGTAAAGCGCTTTGAGACATTTCGAAGAACTGATGAGGCACAATATCAGATGCAAAGATTATTATTATTATATTGGTGGCCTAAAGGCTAAACATGTTTCAGAATAAAATTTGAGCTGCCTACCTTGAGAATAGCAAATTAATTTTTCACTAACAACACCTGTGTTACGTATCTTTTCCGCCGGCCACTGGTAAACAGTTAATTTTGTTCTGACGGTTCCAGCCTCAAGAATAATCCCATACTATAAAGGAGAGAGATACTTCCCATTTATTAATGATGTTAACATTTTCAACACTAGAAAAAAGATCTCAACATCATGCTAAATGCTTATTTCCTCATTCTATACACAATTCTGCATTACCTTAATTTTAAGACAAATTGGCCTTCCAGATTTAGACTAGGTGGAGTATCAGACCTTAGTTGCCTATTGTTTATTCTGTGCACTTTTATCACAATGTTTATTAGAATCTCTAGTGCTATTGTATAATTACTTGTAACTTGGACTTAGAATATGTTCCCCATCCTTTCTATGCCACCATTGGTGATCAAGCTTTCAGATATAACATCCGTAACTTCTGGAACTTCCTCCCTCCACACCTCCATCTTGCCTTCTTTCTATAATTTCTATCAAAACCCCTCATAATTTTAAAGACCTCTATCAGGTCACCGTCAAACTTCTTTGTTCCAGTGGAAAATATCCTTGTTCCTCCAGTCTCCGCTCAGGGCCAAACCACTCATCCTCGGTATCATCCTAGTAAATCTCCTCTGCACTCCCTCAATGGCCTTGACGTCTTTCCTAAAGTGGAGTGACCAATACTGGACACAATATTCCAACTAATGATTTATTAGCATTTTAGTTCAGCATTCCCCCATTGATTTCATATTCTCTGCCCCTATTTATAAAATCCACTGGGCACTTTGGACATTTTATGAAGTTAAACATGATTGTGTCTCTGTGTAAATCAAACTGATTGACTGATAATTGGAAGGTATTATTTTGAAAATGTTATATTGTATAATAATTGTCTAGCTGTCATTCGAAGAAATGAAAAGGACGGAATTGAATAACACCTAACATACCTTCATTCCTGCAGTCAGAATTTGTGATTTGGTTATGTAGACAACTGTAATTGTTATTATGCTTGTCACACATAAGAACAGAATTACTGCAGCTATTATTATTCTCTTCACAACTTCACTGTCTGGGTGAAAAAGACAAAGAATACAAACCAAGCATTTAACAAATTCCATACATCATCATCCAGGTTGTTATGATAGCTGCACATTTTGTTCTGATTGTTTTATTATAATAATTCTTGCATTTGATATAGACTTTCCATGTCAATGAGATGTCCCAAAGCATTTCACAGGACACAATGTAAAATGCAGTGATTGTTTCTGGATGAACGTAGATTCCAATTTGCAGATAGCATGCCCCACAATTAGCCATGGAGTGAATGACCAATTTTATTTGTGGAGGCCAGTTGACCAGGACACCGAGAGAAACTCCCTTCAATTTTTGAATCGTGTCAATTGTATCTTTAACGTCCAACTGGACCAACAGAGAGGACCTCAGTTTAACATCTCCAAAGGATGGCACTACAACACCATCAGCACACCTCCAGCACTGCACTGGAGGGTCAGCATAGACGATATGTGTTCCAAGTCCACCATGTGGCTTACAACCCATAACCTTCTGACTCAAAAGCGACAGTGCTAGCAACTGAACTAGGCTGCATACCTAATCTGGAAGTGGAAGCAAGGGTGGTGGGTGGGTGGGGAGCGAAAAGGTGACTGAAAATACAATCAAAGAGATACATCTTGAGATGGACCTTGACAAGGTAACAGGGTACCAGAGAGTGTAGAGGCTAGCATTACAATGGAAGGGTAGGTAGGGTGGCCTCAGTGAGAGGAAAGGTGTCACCAGGGATGAGCCAGGTTTCAGTGAGTACTCTACAAGTATACTAGTTTCTGGTACTGAACAGAAGGAAATGTTGTTTTAAATGTGGATATGCAGTGGGTGGGAGATGTTTATTTCATTATTTTTGAGGTTAGCCAGTGACAATTTAAATGTTCTTCCATGAGATAGAATGATGAGGTAGTGCTCATGATAAAATATGCTTGGATGGACATCACAGGCTTGACGGAGAAAAATGCCTTTTTACATTCCAGCCTTCCAGTGTCAACCACTGTGGACAGCTACAAACACAAACACTAGCTTGATGTTCCTAAGGAAACGGGCGATGTAACATTACCTACCAATGCCATGCTTTTGCAGGTTCCACCTCGAACGATGCTGTGCTCTGATTGAAACTTCCGTAGGTCTTACTCTACCCTTCATCTTGGTAAGGAGGAAAATCAATCCCTAAATACCATCCCTAAAATGAGATTAAAATACATTAGTGACTATATGTTTCAGTTAGAATTTGGGAAGTCTTTGTTGAACAGAATTTTTGTTCCCCTTTGAGGAAAGTTTCAAATATTAGAACCTTAAAGCGTAGATGGTCAGTGATGGTGACAAGAGCACTTGCACCGAAAGGAAAAAAATATTAAGTGAATCAAGGAAGTTTAAGGAGAAAACCTCTGACTAGCACCTCATCCCTTCCCATGTAACAGGGCCGCCTTTCCAAGGCTGAGATATGATACACTCCTTTAGTTCCCAAGAACGATATGCAAGTTGTATATCAGGGACTCCAGTAATCATTGGGAAACAGCAAGAAAGGAGGCCATCCTCTGACCTGTATAGAACTCTAATCTAAGACATGAAAAGTGCTATATCAAATGCAAGGGTTATTTATTATTGTATTTATTTATAATTCTAATGCAGTAGGCATTTGAGTAATTTATAGGAACTACTGTGAACCATTTGTGCCTGGTGTCTCCATTCACTAGATACGAGAGTTGGAAAAGAGACCAAGAGATCACTGTCATAAAATTTTAGATTGTGGAAAATTTAGTGAGATGGAGCTTGACGAAGTGATAGGGTACCAGAGAGTTAGAGGCTAGCATTACAATGGAAGGTATAGGTGGGGTGGCCTCAGTGAGAGAGGTGTCAGCAGGGCCGAGCCAGGTTTCAGTGAGTACTCTGCAAACTCCATGCTTGTCAGCTTCCCCGAACTCCTCCCTCCATAGGCTGCAGATCATTCATCACACAGAAGATACAGTTCAAGATCCTGGTCACCTTCAAAGCCCTCCATGGCCTTGCTCCCCCCTACCTCTGCCACCGCCGAACACCCGCTCTGGGCCCGCTCTGCCCTTCAATTGTCTCCCGCCTGCTTCATGTCCCCCGCCTCTCCCGCCACACCACCCCCACCCTCTGGAACTCCGCAATCCCTCCGGCGCACCGCCTCCTTCAAGACCCATCTCAAGATGCTCCTCAAGATGGGGGGGGCTGGGCCTGGGGGGGGCTGAGGCTGGGGGGGGGGGCCCGGGGCTCGTGGAGGGGGGCGGGGCTCGTGGGGCTGGTGGCGGGGGGGGGCGGGGCCTGGGGCTGGGGTGGGGGGGGCTGAGGCTGTCGTGGGGGGGGATGTTGTGACCTGCGCTCACTCCCACCTCAGGGCTCATGTGAGGCTTCTCCCAACTGTCTGCTCAGTGGCGCGGCTCCTGTGGGTGTACAGTGCCCTCTGTGCCAGGCCCGGGCCCGGGCCCACAGCACCTGGTGAGGAGGAGGCGCCGCGGATTCCCTGAGACACTGAGAGAGTGAACGTGAGCGTCGGGGATTGTGCGTCAGTGACGCTCTGTCCCAACGTCCGGCACCAGAGCTGCAGTCCTCCAGCGCCAAAGATCAGCCAAACAAGAGAGACAGCGAGAGCAAGAGGGACCCCCCATCACTCTCACTTCATCCCCTCCCCCCCATCACTCTCACTTCATCCCCTCCCCATCACTCTCACTTCATCCTCACCCCTCACCCCCCCATCACTCTCACTTCATCCCCCCACCCCCCATCACTCTCACTTCATCCCCTCCCCCCCAATCACTCTCACTTCATCCCCTCCCCATCACTCTCACTTCATCCTCACCCCTCACCCCCCATCACTCTCACTTCATCCTCACCCCTCACCCCCATCACTCTCACTTCATCCCCCCACCCCCCATCACTCTCACTTCATCCCCTCCCCCCCAATCACTCTCACTTCATCCCCTCCCATCACTCTCACTTCATCCTCACCCCTCACCCCCCCATCACTCTCACTTCATCCCCTCCCCCCCAATCACTCTCACTTCATCCTCACCCTCACCCCCCAATCACTCTCACTTCACGTCCCCCAATCACTCTCACTTCACGTCCCCCCAATCACTCTCACTTCATCCTCACCCCTCACCCCCCCAATCCACCTCCCCCCCACCTCCCCCCCGCCCTCCACCCTCCCCGATCCCCAGTTCAGGTCCAAAACATTGATTGTCCAGCGCCGTGGGACCCCCTCCCGACACGAAAGGCGCTATTACAAATGTAATTTTGTTGTAATATTTCCTTAAAAAAAATTGGTCACTTAACCCATAACTGTCTGTGAGGCCCTGCTGTGCACAACTGGCTGCCACATTTCGGCCACAAAATATACAGTTAATTCAGTTTACAGTATATTCAGTGAAGCGCTTTGAGACATTTCGAAGCGTTGAGAAGGCGCTATATTAAATGCAAGGATCCTTATTATTATCCCTGTGCAGCACTCCGAGACATTATCCCATGCGAAGAGCGGTATGCAAATTCAAGTTGTTGTTATCTTTAATATTGTCTTATGAGGAGAGCGAACCAGTCAAGGTGATCTTGTTTTAAGCGCTCAAAGACTGCCCCCAAGTGGAAGGGTGCTATATAAATGCAAGTCGTTGTTATCTTTCGGGTATCTAATCGTAGCAGCAGACCAAGACCAAACAATCAGAAACCGAATTTCCTGACAGTTGTCAAAGATATCAGTCTGGAGTCACCCGGGGTTGGGGTGGGTGGGGGGGGGAGTGACGTGGTTGGGCCACTTGCCACACAGGCAGGGAAAAGACTTTCTCAAGTCTCGAGACTGATTTTTTTATTGACCTATTGAGACTGGTGCTACCTGTTAATCAAAGATCTTCTAAGCAGTTTACAAAGTTTGTGCCCTGTATATCAGAACTGTGACTATTTTTGTAACCACCACCGGATGTTTCTTCAGCTAAACATCCACAGGCAGTGGACATTCAAGGATTTTTCCATGGATTGGATGCAGCTACCATATCCCGAAAAAAACTGCTAAACCTCCCCACAATTTTTTGTGTAATATTATGTACTTTTGTTATTCCCCAAATTGCAGTAGCCATCTTATTTTACAATTTTTAACTGTACTAATTTCTCCCTCCAAAGATTTTATATTTATTCAATTCCTTTTGAAATGTTTCTAATGTTCTCATCGTCAATCAAGACAATGGTATGATGAGCAGAGAGATGATTTTTTTATGTTTCTGGAGTAATACTAATAACAATAATAATCCTTGCATTTTGATACAGTGCTATATCATATCATTGGGACGTCTCAAAGTGCTTCACAGAATATATCGTAAAATGAACTGACTGTATATTTTGTGGATCAAGCACAGATTTAAAAATGTTTTTGCTTTAAACTTAATAATAATCCTTGCATTTGCTATAGGATTTTATCATGTTGGTGAAATGTCTCAATCCATTTAAAGATAGCCTAAAATCGACAGCACACAAGGCAATTAAGCCCATCATACTTTCTGAAAGATCTAACTGTTCAGTACACTTTTCTGCCCTTTCCAATACTCCTTAACATTTCTTTTTTCAATATTTGTTTAATTCCCTTTTGAAATCTATTATAATTCTGCTTCAACGATGTATTTTGACAGGGAAATCGATTGTCCTTTCTATGCTTCATGTAATTCAATTAACCTCATTTAGTTTATTAAATAATCCTAAATTCATGCCGTCTAATTACCGATACACTAACCGATTGGGGGGGAAAAAAATCTCATACCTAGAATTATCCTATAATGTTTTTGAGTGATCCAGGACAAAGCTGCTTCTTTCTTCGTTCGCAAAATAAAACCATAAAGTTGCAATTTAAAAACAAAATCCAACTCCAGCTTCCTAATGGGCTGAAAACACCCCCAGTTAAAACCTCTGCTATAGATGGCTTTCATCTGCGATAATTAAAAACTTTCACAATGGTCAAATCAATTCAGGCACAGGAGCAAGTTTGTAGCAGACTACTACTGCAGTATTAGTAAAACTATTTTATACTGTAATGGCAAATGCAAACCTACCAGACCTGTACCAGAGTTTACTGTAAAATACTTTCCTGTATTTTGGAAAATCTTATTAGTTTCATTCTATATTCCCCAGTATGTGCAAAAGTGAAACATATGGAAACAGTGGAACTTAGATATTTTGATCTAGAGTTAAAATACATGAAATGTATTAAACATAGGATTTACCAGTAATAACCGCATAGTCTCTGAAGTTAACTTTAATCATGTATTAAAATATTGACATTTAACAGAAACATGAAACAAGCAGCTTTTGGCAATAACGATACTGAATGATATATAACAATTATAATATGTAAAACTAACAGGTCTCCTGGAGTGATTTCTGAATTGTTTGAGAGAGTTCAGATGATAATTACAAATCAATCACCCAAAATAGTGTACTGCTTAAAACAAAGATTCCAAATGCATTCTAGAAAGACAAGGAATCCAACAAACACTGAAAATATGGGACATTCATTCAGAACTGTCTCTACAAAATTACAGTCATAATTAACATCGTTACTCTATGGTATATATTGTGAGACAAAGTAATTCCATTTTTATTTCTATTTAATGTTTGGTTCTGAGTTATTCAAGTTCTTCCCATGTTCTCTTTGGACCTATTACAGGGCCAATGATAGTCAGGTGATCTGCTCTCAACTCTACTGTGACCAGTGACCCACAAGTTTATGTGAGTGATTAGTGGAAGGTTTCCTTCTAGTGTCCCTTTACTCAGTGCTTCAAAGCAAAAAGCATACATGAAATCAGCAATTTTACATATAATTTAGCAAACTATAGACCTGGAAATCCATCAATTCTTAGTCTGTCAAACCATTTTTAAAAAATTATTTAACAGGGAAGTTAAAATTCTAAAACAAAGTCTCAATTTGGAAGCTGAATCTTTTTTAAGAACTGCGGAAACCCGGCTTTCAAATTAAGATTAAATTAAAAAATGTTCCCCAACCTCCCACCTTGAACCGATCTGTTCTGTCATAAGGAGAAATTCTGAGTACAGTATTTGTTGTGTCTAAGTCATTTAAAATCCGACATCATAACCCTACATAAGTCATGTATGATACGATTTATGTATGTTTTACATTTAACTCATACTTTTCATAAGTCGTATTGAATGCATGGTCCTAACTGATATGACTTGTGAGGTTTACTGTACCATTGTGTATCCTAAATTGTTTAGATGCTAGTGAAAGAGAAACTTACTAATGAGAATATTGAGGCATTGCCTGCTCATGTACAAAATGCTAGATTAGAAACCTAGTACTCAAAATTTCTCTTCAAATTAAATTAACATGCTTCAGATCAAATGACAAGTCAAACAGATGGCTTAAAACGAGGATCAGCTACAGGTTTTTCATCAGTGTTGTTGTAGATGAAAAAATCATGGATGTTTTATCATCTGGTAAATGATAAATATACTGAACATTAATAATGAAGAAAACACAATGAGAACTTTTGATAATATAGCTAGCTTAATCATATTTTCTTTCCCTTTAATTTCTCGTGGGATTTGATTGGTGACATTTAGCATGTAACCAAGTGACCAGTTTACTTCATTGCCGTCCACCTACAACAAAGAGAATATTATATTGCAGTGTGCATTTATAACAAAGAGATACAAACAAAGAGATAGGTCATATAATCATAGAATTATACAGCACAGAAGGAGGCCATTCGGCCCATGTGTCTGTGTGGGTCTTTGAAAAGAGCTATCCAAATCAATCCCATTCCCCCACTCTCTCCTTTTTAAGATTGTACCATCAGCTTATATTGCCTCTACTCATTCTTCCTCCCAAAATGCATAATTTCACATTTCTCCATACTAAACTTCATCTGCCACATGTCTGCCCATTGTCCTATTGCAGTCTGCTACTATCCTCCTCACCGTTTACTACTTTTCCTAGGTTAGTATCATCCGCAAATTTGGAAATTGTACTCCCGATACCCAAATCCAGGTCATTTATATAGTTCAAAAAGAGCAGCTTTAAAATATTTTTTTAAATAAACTTACTTTTTTATTAAAACTTATGCGTTTCCAGGATGCTGGTTTAAACTTGTACCCGGATATTAGCAGTGTGCGCATGTAGTTACCACTGAAACAGTATCCTTTGCGGTAACGATCTTTATCTTTTGGCAACATCACTTTCAGCTATAATACAGGTAATAACTCATTAGTTTGTCTCATTTAGCAATGCTACTGTAAATCATTTTTAGATGTTTCTTTTGTGTTAAAGATGTTATATAATAATAATCCTTGCATTTGAAAAAGAGTCTCATCATGCAGTTGAGATGTCTCAAAGCGCTTCAATGATATACTGTAAAGTGTAATGACTGTGTGTTTTGTGGGCAAGCCTAATGCACATAACGACATCCCACAGTCATATAAATGTAAGTTGTATATATGCTGATAGCCATCTTTATTGATATTGCATTCATTATTTATTGTCACGGTGGTAATAGGCACATAGCTGAGCATTCCCAGGTCAGATTAATAACAATGCTAAAGAATACCCTCACATATGTAGAGTCCAGTAGTTTAGTGATTAGAGCACTCGCCTCGCAAGCGAGAAGACCTGGGTTCGATTCCTGGGCAAGGCAGAACGTTGGGAAAGTTTCCTTACTCCACATGCCTGTTTACCTAGCACTAAGTAGGAACCCGGTTGTTAGTCGATTGTAAGATTGCTTTCCCGTGGGTAATAATTCTTTCTAAATAAATAACAATAATAATAATAATAATCCTTGCATTTGATATAGCGCTTTTCACATCGGGAGGACGTCCCAAAGCGCTTCACAGAACACACTGTAAAGTGAATTGACTGTATATTTGTGGGTGAACGCGGCAGCCAATTGCACACAGCAATGTCCCACAAACAGTCGTAGATTGAAAATGACCAATTTATTATTGTTTTTGGTTTTCGAGGGATTATTATTAGGCGTGTGGAGTAAGGAAACTTGCCCAAGGTTTCGCCCTCTGCCTGGAATTGAACTCAGGTCTCTCACTTGCAAAGCGAGTGCTCTAACCACTGAGCTACACGACTCCACGAGTTCTAATAATCCTAATAATCCTTGCATTTGATATAGCGCTTTTCACGTTTTCTCGACGCCTCAAAGCGCTTCACAGAATAGACTGTAAAGTGAATTGACCATAAATTTGTGGGCGAATAAATAAATAAGAAGAATTTGGTCAATCAATCCTCGACTATTTTGTGGGACACTGGTATGCAATTCGCTGCTGCGTTTCGCCCACAAAATATCCAGTCAATCTCAGTGTATGCTGTAGAGCACTTTGAGTTGTCTCGAAGACGTAAATCGCTATACCAAATGCAAGGATTATTATTATTATTTTTTGTACAGTGGAGTAAGTGACCAATTTTGTTTGGGAGATTATTGACTAGGACAATGGGAGAAACTCCCTTCTTTGTTTGAATATGGAGTAAGTGACCAATTTTGTTTGGGAGATTATTGACTAGGACAATGGGAGAAACTCCCTTCTTTGTTTGAATAGTGCCATAGGATCTTTAATGTCTACCTGAACAGGCAGACAAGCCTTGGTTTAAAGTCTCATCCAAAGGCACCTTCAAAAATGTAATGCTTCCCCTGCACTGCATTGGAATGTTATCTTAGACTATTCGAGTTTCAAGTCCCGACATGGGGTTCAAGCCCATAACCTCTGACTCAGAGGTGAGAGGGCCACCAACTGAACCAGCCTGACACACAATTTTACCTAGTCTTAGTCTGCAAGACCATTTTGTCTTAATATTTAGGATGATGCAAAAAATTAAAAAAGTTTGATATCCAATCTTAATTTAGCAACTGGTTCATTTTAACTACTGCAGAAAACTGCCTTCCAATTTAAGAATGAATTGAATAATTTCCCCCAATTTTGTGCAAACTTAAATGTTAAGACAAAATGGTCTCACGATCTCACATTAGGTAGAATGTCAAGCCTTTCAGCAGAGACCTGAAAGTAGGAAGAGAGGGGGCGAGGTGAAGGGAGTGAGGAAGGGAGTTCCAGAGCCTTGGGGCATAATGGCATAATGAAAGGAGGAGGCCAGACTCGGAGGAACAAAGGCAACAGGCACTGTTTTGTGGAGAGAGGAGGTCAGAGAGATTGGGGGTTGCAGAGGAGTGGAGGGATTTGAAGACAAGGGTGAGGATCTTGAAGTCGATCCTCTCTGGGACAGGCAGCCAGTGCAGTCTGGCGAGGACTGGGGTAAACGGAGAGCGGAGTTTTGTGCGGGTGAGAATGTGGATGGCAGAGTTTTAAATAATCTGGATTTTATGGATGATAGTGAATGGGAGGCCGGCGAGGAGGGTGTTAGAATAGTCCAGCCAAGAGGTGACAAAGGCATGGACCAGGGTTTCAGCGGTTTTCGGAGAGAGGTATTGACGGAGACGGGCGATGCGTCGGAGGTGGAAGAAAGCAGTGCTAGTGAGGGACCGGATGTGGGGGAGGAAGGATAATTGGGGGTCGAACCTGACGCCTAGGTTGCATACGAGTTCGGAGAGTTTTAGCGGGAGGTCGGGTAGGTGGAGGAGGTGAGAACCGTGAGATTTTAGACGTTGAGAAGAGCCTAAGAGTATGGCTTCTGTCTTGCCAACGTTCAGCTGAAGGAAATTTGCGCTCATCCAGCTCCTGTGGTCTGACAGGCAGCTGACAGAACATCAGAGGACTTGGGGTCGCAAAGTGAGGTGGAAAAATAGAGTTGGGTGTCGTCCGCATACATGTGGAAGTGTACCCCATGTCTGCGGATGACATCCCCCAAGAGGGAGCGTATAGAATATTACTTCATTCATTTAATTTCAATATTGACTCATTGCATTCCACGTCCTAATACACACTTAGGAGTACAATTCCCAGTAATGCTGCTTACCTCAGCCCAGCTTTTGGTACAAAAAGACCAAAGTGTCTCAGTGAAGGTGGTCAATGTAAATGAAGTCGGCAACTTCAAAGCTCTTTTGGTGTAATAGAAAGCAGAAAAGGCCTGGATTGTTTGGATGAAAAAAACACAATAATTTGACAAAATAAATCTCATAATGCAACATGCAGATAGAGCAAATTCAGATTTTCAAACATATGCAATTTACCATAAATTTTCCACGGACTGTTGGTTGATAGATTCCACTGAATGAGCAATAGTGCTTACCAGCGCAGGCTTTAAAATCAAACAATAAATACACTAACTCCTGGCACTTAGCAGGATTTCCAGTTCCAGTGAATGTTATCTCATCATCAGGCTTGTAATTTGCTGGCTTTTTCGATGCAGTGCATAAACTTCCAAATAGATCTTTCATAGAAACTGTCTCATTGTACCCAGAGGGCCAACAAGGACTTTGATAAGGCCACTTGCTTTCTGAAGCCTTAGTTGAAAAAAACACAAGATTGGGTGAAAAAGAATATAAGGAATAAAAGTTATCGTCATTGGTGCAGAATTAGCAGATGTGAATAACAAGAACATATGAACCAAAATACAGTAATATAAAATATTCAAAATCCTACAATCAGAAAATGGATTGAATTTAGGTTTACTGTGCATTAGTTTAGTTGTTTAGAGGTTAGTTGTAGCCTGGCTAAAATTGGTCATGGATGTTTGTGAGCAATCACTGCACAAATTGACTTCCGTATTTGTGTTCAAATTACACAACCACTACAGTTTGCAAAAGAAAACTGGATGAAGTGCTTTGATATGTTTCGACATGATAGAGCCCATAATCAAATGCAAAAATATTATTAATTGTAGCACATAAATTCCAATGTAAGCCTCCAGCAAAAATGTCAGTACAGCCAGTGAACAGTGTATGGTAACCCTTTGTTATCTGCAAATATTGGGAAATAGTACCTTTCTCATTACGTGTATATCCATCCATATACATCAGGAAACTCCAGCCCAGAACCTATCAAGCTCAGTATAAATGACATTTACAAAACTGACAAGGACATTTCTGTTTCTCTGAAGATAAATACCTGATAAATATTCACCAGGTATCTCCTCTCAGCTTCATCCTTTCCATAACATTCAAAGCTTTGAGTGTAGATCACATATTTGTGCCCATACAACATAACTTTGGCTGGGGTAGCAAGTTTATTTAAAATCCTTCTGGGAGTAAAGGCTATTTGTGTAGAAGCTCCACCTAAGTCCAATGCACCCGAAGTTCTGACAATAAAAGGATGTCTATATTGCTTATTATTTCTCTGCCAAAGAAAATGGTGGGGAAAATAAAATTAACTTCCATCAGCACATGACATAAACATGAAAATATAAAAATATATTTTCTTGTTCACAATTAAAATTAAGACTTTTTATCTTATCTCTGGAGGTCTTTTGTCCTTGAAAGGGTTGATTGGCCTATTGGAGCTCAGCCCTTCAGGTAAAGAGTGGACCGTTTTATATTAATTCACCTCAAAAGCATGGCGGATACATCAGTCTTTATTTCCTCTGAGCCTCTAAAGACCATAATATGTTGTTACCTGTTTTTAGTATACTGATAATTAAATTTTATTAGATGATATTTTAACAAATAATATGTGGCTTTAGCTGCTGACTTTACAAATATTCTAGTTTCATAACTTAGCCTCCTCTCCCTGTTTGGGGCATTGTTTCTGATATTTGGAAAATTAAAAATAAAACAGTTAAAAAAAGTTCTGGTTTATTGGACAAATGGCCCAAGAGCTTCAAGGGACTGCGGGGGGGGGGGGGGGGGGCGTAAGCCAAATTATGCAATTTAGATCTAATGCATTGCAAAAATTAAATTTCAGGATAGACATCTTTACACAGAGCAAGATTGAGATGGGTTACGAGGAAGGGTGGTTAGGACCAGGATCATTTTAAGCATTGTGTGTGCCACAAACATGCAGTGGTGTGTAAATATTTCACAGTAGTACAGCTTTGATTTGTACGGAGTTAGTACTGGTCTTTGACTCAGTGGAGAACATCCACCCTGCATTGTCATCGTCAGTATGTAAGAACTCAAGGGACCTTGACCTTCCCTTGCTGTATTGTTGGACCACCATGATTAATTCTAAAATCTACAGTATGAATGCAGCATTCACATTGTTCTCAAATAGTTTACAATATGCGCATTCTCTTAAAACTTGCATACTATTAAAACATTGCAGGCAGCCGTTCTGGTGAAGAGCAGAGAGTGCTTTGGTGGATCAGTGGAGCAGCACTTACAACAACAATAAAATTATATTTGTATAGTGCCTTTCACGTCGGGAGGATGTCCCAAGGCCCTGGACAGTCAGTGCTTCGGACCTGAGCTGGGGGATCAGGAGGATGGAGGAAGGGGCGTGGGGGGAAAGGAGGGTGATCGAAGGCAAAGTTGAAGAGGAGGATCTTGAGATGGGTTTTGAAGGAGGCAAGGGAGGGTACAAAGTAAATGGACTGCAGTATGGAGATACAGAGAGTGGAGGCAGAGTGGCTGAAGGCTCGCCCGGCAATGGTGGGGCGGGCGAGGCGGGGACATGAAGCAGGCCAGAGCCCTCTGAGCAGAGTGAGTGAGCAGGTTGGTAGGGGGTTTGGAGATCACAGAGGTAGGGGGGAGCAAGGCCATGGAGGTCTTCGAAGGTGAGGACCATGATCTTGAACTGATCTGTGTGATGGGAAGCCAGTGGAGTCGGGCGAGGTTCGGGGTGATGGAGCCTGGTGCGGGAGAGGGTTAATATTAGGTACCTGGTACAAAGGTTAATACCAGAATATTTCTTACTGGTACTGATATTCTCAACTTTATTCTAAAATTAAAAGAATATACAGACTCCAGCAGAGAAAAAGTGGTAATGTAGTTCAGCTGAAATTTTTAATCTTCAGGAAATATAACTTTTGACTTACCTTTACTAAATTGCCCTTTAAATAGTTTGCTGAGATCCAAGCGTAAATTGCTTCTTCTCTCCCAGTAAGAATATGAACACGTCCAAAATTAAATGGTAACGTTTTGAATAAAGCTTCGATTTCTGAAAGTATTCTCTGTGCTGCGGGTTTATCCTGCAGTCTGACAATTCCAGGAAGAGATAAGACAACAACATCACGTCTTTAGCCTCGGTTTACATAAGAATTTGCTAGGCGAAAGAAGACCAAGGTCCATCTAGTTCATCTTTCTACCATCCTAGCAGTCGCTTGACATGTTGTGTCCCCAAACTACATACTGTATCTCGGATTCAGGGATTTTCTAAGGACACAATCAATTAATCAGACTTTTTTTTAAACTCTTCTCGGCTTGTGGGTAACACTGGCAAAGCCAACATTTATTGCCCAACCCTTGGTAAATAAATGAATATGTATAGACAGAGGCTACGATAAAGCCAGCTAGCTACACAGAGCAGTTTTAGACTGAAGCAGTCCTCTTGAACTCCAGCAAGTGCTTGAATATTCATGGGAGATGAGGAGTCCCATCTCAGCTCTCATTTGAGAAAACGCAATGCAATTTACACATAATATTATACAGCACCTTCCATGTCAGGAGGACATTTCAAAAGTAGATTTTTAAAGACAACGTAAAATTATTTACGATTTATTCTGTAATAATAAGTTTGTCCCCCAAATTCAAATTAATTAGCTATTCACCTCATTATTGTTTATTGTTCATTGGACATTGCTAGGTCATATTAACTGCCATATTTGCCTGTATAATATCCATTTCATTTCTATTCCATTTTAATTTATGTGAAAAGCACAATATAAATGCAAGTTCCTGCTTTGTGTTCAAGACCCAGTCAGGACTTAGAGCTCATAATGTCTCGACTGACATTCCAATGCAGTGCTGGGGTTGTGCTAAATTGTTGGAGGTGCCATCCTTTGGATTAAACCATGGCCTGTCTGCCTGTTCAGGAGAACTTTAAAGAACCCATGTCACTATTTGAAAAGAGAAAAAGAGTTTGGACAACAATCGCCCAAACAAAATTGGTCATGCACTCTATCACTGTTTGTGGTACATTACTGTGGGCACATTGGCTGCGCAGTTCATACACAAAACACAAAATCACACCACATTACAGTACTGTATTATCAGTACCTAGAGAGCATCAATTTAGGATAGTTAGAAAACAAGCAAATGGGAGAGATTAGGAGAATTGTTTTCATAGATAGATTAGTCAGGAATGGAATGACCTGTCAATGGTGGAGGTTGAGGCAGAATGCATATTGGCCTTCAAGAGGGAACTAGACAAATACACTAAAAAGAGTCAGCTACAGGATACGGGGAAAGGTCACACTGAAAAATAAGACTGAAAGGATTGCTTGAGGTTGGAAAGGCCTTCTTCTGTGCTGTAAATTTCTATGGTTCTACATCCTCTGAAGCGCTTTAAGAAGTCTCAGCAACATGATAAGGCGCTATATCAAATGCAAAGATTATTATATGCTGTACATTTTATTTTTAACTTTATTTTTAAATGTTAGTATGTTCAATTTTTTTTCTAATTTTTTTCTCATTACCATATCTAACTAAGTGATCATGGTTCATGCGTCAGCTTTGGTAGTGAATGTCGGCAGACTGTCAAGGGCATTGGAGCTAAGCCTGACTTCTCCTCACCTGGCTGTGACAAACAGAGCCTTAGAGATTTATTTAGGGTGTTGAAGATAGACCAGAATCAGGAACCTGGCTGATTTTCCGCTGTGTAACCCTGGGATGTTCAGCAACCAGTTTCGTCTCCCCATGCAGCCTCATCAGACACCAGCAAATTTAGGGATTTGAACCAGTGAGCTCCCGACCGATAAGGTGTAGCTCTATCAGCTACCCCAGTGAGGCTGCTGTATATTGTTGCAATGTGTAAATGTAAACATCAATAACCCCTAATCTTACTCTAGTAGTCGCATTCCTGCTGTAGCTGCCAAACAGACTTGCGTTGTGCTATATCGCTCTTTTGGGATTATTTTTAATGTGCGATTCAGGCAGTCAAGGATTGCAATAGCTGCTTGTTTAGGGTTTTCTTTGTAAGTTGCGATGCCGGGTCCTGCAGGTAGAGAAGGGAAGACAAATGATGTCAGTCAATTGATGGATGAAAAAATGATGATGAATAATGAAACTTAACAGGAGGAAAATGATTAAAAAAACAACATAATAACGACATCTGAAACAGATATATGATGTTGTAGCTAGAGTGACTGGCAGATGTTTCCTTCTCTGTTAGCTCTTGGAGATGCTTACCTCTGCTGATTATCTTACAAGAGGCTAAAGAAGACGAAAATTTTAATTAAACTGACATTCCAGTTGCTCTACAAGACAAAAGACAATGGCTGCAGTTGGCTTTGGACCAGAGCATAGAGTTAGGTGTGTGTATGTATGATGGTGATCATAACTGTAAAGCAGTCTTTAGTCATAAACTGCCTCGACCATATTTATCAACAATGTAATACTAATTTTTTTAAAAAAGTGTGTTTTTAGTCAGCTTGGTATATGAATAGCTAGATAAATCATTATAACAACAAATTACATTTGTATAGTACCTTTCACATCGGGAGGACGTCCCAAGGCTCTGGGACTAAACACTAAAAGGGTATTCAGGGAAGACATTAAAAGTCTAAGGGATTCAAAGAAGGTTGAACAATGGAATAAACAGGAGGTGGCAAAGTATTAAATGACAACTTCCAGGAGGTTTTTTACCAGGGAGGACAATAAACCATGCCGCTAACATCCAGCAAATATTGTTTGAGTTCCAGGATGTTAACATAAATAAGACTAAAGTTCCAAAAAGGTTAAAGGGCCTTGAAACTCAAGCAATTCCCCTGGGATGGATGTATTGTATCCCAAGGTAGAGACAAGGCAAAAAATGTGTCCGTTGCACCAAGGGGATAAGGACAGGGAGCAACTTAGGGAAATTTTCATTAGTAGAGAATTGGTGCTAGGGAAACTCTTAGCACTAAAAAGCACTAAAAAGTGACAGATGCCATGGTCCAAGGTGACTTGCATCCCAGGGTTTTAAAAGAGGTAGCTTATGAGATAGTGGAGGCCTTATGTCTGATCTTCCAAAATTCCTTGGATTCTGGAACAGTCCCCATGGATTGGAAGATCGCAAATGTCACACCAGACAACATGAGGGAGTCAATTGGTGACATTCCAACAGCCTGGAAGCAAACAAACGTTATTCCAATTTTCAAGAAAATTGACAGAACTATAGCTGGCATCTATGGACCCATTAGCCTGACCTCAATAATTAGAAACATTAGGTAGTCAATCATCACAATGGAAATGCAAGGTTAGTTGAATAAAATAATCTAATATATGACAGCGAACGTGGGTTCAGAAAGCGTAGGTCGTGTTTGACCAACCTCATGGACTTTTTTGATGAGGTGACTGCCCAAGCTGATTGTGGAAAGCCATATGGTAAAATAGAGCTACTTTCACATTGGAAGGATATACTGCCACCTTTGCCTCTTGAGCTATTCAGGGCTATTATATGTGAGGAGACAATGAAACTCCAGTGTAAGATTACGTCGCCAAGCTTGGTAAACTTACTGATGAGAGTACTATACCAAGGTTCCAACGCTCTGTATAGTTTCTGACAAAGGGAGAATAGGTCCTTGTTCACAACATTTGAACTGCAGATATAACAGAACATTCTGAGTACTATATGTGGCCTGAAGACTAAAATTTTAGAGAATAACATTTGAGCTTTCTACCTTCAATTCTACAATGATATTTTTCAGTCACCAGACCAGTGTTATGCTTCTTTTCTGCTGGCCACTGGTAAACAAATGCAGTTGTCCTGCTGGATCCAGCATCAAGAATAATCCCATACTGTAAAGAAGACAGATAATGGCTTTTATTAATTATGCTAACTTCTTCAACATTAAAACAGATTTCAACATCATGCTAAATAAGAATAATAATCCTTGCATTTGATATAGCACCTTATCAAGTTGTTTAGATGGCTCAAAGTGCTTCACAGAATATATTGTAAAGTGAATTGACTGTGTGGAATAAAGAAACTTGCCTAAAGTTTCACCCTCCCGGGATTCAAATCCAGGTCCTCTCACTTGCTAACCAATACACTATGGGACTCATTCTGTGTACAATTTAGCTCCATCTTAAATTTATAAAAAAATTACTACATTATTACAAGCTGAAGCTAGTCGGAATTTCAGACCTTAATGCTTATTTGTTCACTCTGTGCACTTCTATCACACTGTTTGATATGATGTCTGATACTGACACTATTTCAAATTTCCCAATTGCCAGAAAAATACTCTTCAAACCATTTGCAAAATACCCAAATTACAACTTCAATGTAATCCTAGGGTAACACTGCTGAAACTTGTTAATGTTGTCGTTTAATGTGAAACTGAATTAAATATCCCTTCAATTAATAATAATAGATAATTATTCACATTCAAATCAAGCCCCACTTAGGGATTTTGAATTCATATTCTCGGCCGACACTCCAGTGCAGTGCTGCACTACAGTGCACTGATGTACTTCAGGACAGATTAAACTGAGGTCCCATCTGCCTGTTAAGTAGACGTGGGATGCATGGAATTCTCAGTTTGATTTGGATACTCTTCAGCTGACCAAAAAAAAGATCCCAGAGCACCACAGAAATTTATGGCACAGAAGTAGACCATTCAAACTATCATGTTCCCTCAAGAGCAATCCTTTCAGTCCCAATCCCCTTGGCTTTCCCTATACCCCTGTACCTAACTTTTTAAGGTCTGCATTAAATTTCACTTAATAATAATAATAATAATCCTTGCATTTGATATAGCGCTTTTCACGTCGGGAGGACTCCCAAAGTGCTTCACAGAACACACTGTAAAGTGAATTGACTGTATATTTGTGGGTGAACGCGGCAGCCAATTTCTACTTACCATTTCTCTGCTCAATCAACTAATCTGCCTATATCTCCCTGAAATAAAAACAGACCTCTCTGGGAACACTCAGCAGGTCAGGCTGCACCTTTCCTCAGAACTGGGGAATGTTGGAAGGGAGCTGTTTATAAGGACAAACAGAGAAGACTGTTTGTGGGACATTGCTGTGCGCCATTGGCTGCCGCGTTCGCCCACAAATATACAGTCGACGTGAAAAGCGCTATATCAAATGCAAGGATTATTATTATTATTATTATAAGTGGGCGGGGAAAGAAAGTCAAAGGAAAAAAAAAGGTTGAGGACAGGAAATTAATAGATCACAGAGGTGTTGATGGTGCAAGACAAAATAAGGTAATAGTGGGAGATGAGAGAAAGAAAAAATATGTCTGCGAACCAGAGGATGTGTGAATGGTTATAGAAGAGGGAGAGAAGAGGCAAGGCTGAGAGAAGATGGGAGCCGTGGTTAAGGTCTGAAGTAGTTAAAATCAATGTTGAGGCCAGAGGGCTGTAAGGTGCCTGTAAGAAGATAGATGAGGTGCTGTTGCTCGAGCAAGTGCACCCCTGAGGTTCCGGTCACTTGCCATTTTAATTCTCCTTCCCATTCTGACCTCTTTGTCCAGGGTCTCCTACATTGTTCCAACAAAGCACAATGCAAGCTCGAGGAACAGCACTTCATCTCACACTATTGTCTTTTTTTGTCTTGCATTCGTCAACACATCTGTGATCTCATCATCTCCTGTTCTCCATCAAATTTACATTATATGTAAATACAATTTGTTATTGTATAACAAATTTGAGATGTCTTTCCAACGTAAGACACGATATTACGTGGTAGGATTATTATCATTAATGGCTGTAACATGAAATAAGAGTTAAAAAGCAGTGTCTTTATGTTGCCTTTTAATTCTGTCTTATGTCTGCACACGGGCATGACAGGACTCCTCAAATTGTCACATATATTACCTTTACTGAATTTTGTATTTAATAATTATGTACTGTTGTCAAATATGCATTTTTCTATTTAGTAAATGGGTCATTTTGGAAGTTGGTTTCTTTATTCCTACAATGTTATCCCCATTCCTCAAGGCAGTGAGGCATCACATCGATAGATTAGATTTATATAGCTTCCTTCATGTTGGGAGGCGTCATAATTGTTAATATAACGTATGTAGAAATTAAATGTGTAGATTTCAGTAATAAGTAACATACCTTCAATCCTGAGGACAGAATTTTCTTTTTGGTTGCAAAGGCAATTGAAACAGATATGATGATAAGCAAACTGCAGAACATAACTGATATAGCTATGATTAATTTCTTAGCTACCATTCTGAAGCCTGAGTAAAAAACACAAAGAATATGGACTAAACATTTGACGAAATCGATGTATTATTATCTAGGTTCTTATGGTAACCACATCTTGCTCTGATCTTTTTGATCAGAGCTAAACTGGTAATCCAAGAGGGATCGAAGGACCGGCCTCAGGCTCAATCATTGCACTGGGCTGGGAGGTGGGAGGGGCGATCCCTTCAGTTCTTGTGTTCAGCTCTCAACATGGTGACATTTTCATTGATGTGTCATTTACACCTCAGATCATAATGCTTACCCCCATCATATTAATAACCTGGCTGTACAACAACAACTTGCTTGGCTCCCGTCAGTGCCTCCATACCTCAGGCGCTGACAGCATCTCCCTCCACAGATGCACTCTACACCTCACAGAACCAATACAGAACCTTGGAGTCAGGTTCGACCTTCAACTGTCATTATTACCCCACATCCGTGCCGTGACCTGTTCTGCCTTTCCCCACCTCTGCACCATCGCCCGGCTCCACCACTGACTCACACTATAGGCTGCCGAGACCCTCATACATGCATTCATAACACACAGGCTCAATTACTCAAACTCACTGTTTGTCAGCCTCACCAACTCCTCCCTCCATAGGCTGCAGATCATCCAGAACTCTGCAGCCTGTGTCCTCTCCCGCACCGGCTCTGTGACCTCCCTTCTCATCCGACTCTACTGACTTCCCATCGCACAGAAGATTCAGTTCAAGATCTTGGTCCTCACTTTCAAAGTCCTCCATGGCCTTGCTCCCCACTACATCTATGACCTGCTAACCCCGAAGCAACCTGCCTGGTCCATCCACTCATCAGGCTCTGGTCTGCTTCACATCCCCCACCGCCCTCCCCACCATTGACAAGTGGGCCTTCAGCCACTCTGCCCCCACTCTCTGGAACTCCATCCCGCAATCCCTCCGCCTCCTTCAAGACCTAACTGAAGACCTTACCTTTTGAACGTGCCTTTAGTCACTCTCCTTCGCCGCCTGCCCTCCACCCTCCCCGATCCCAACCCCCAGCTCGGGTCTGAAACACTGATTGTCCAGCACCTTAGGACGTCTTCCCAACATGAAAGGCGCTATACAAATGTAACTTTGTTGTTGTTGCAGTTATATTACACCATTCACATAGGATAATAATAATCCTTGCAATTCATATAGCACTTGATATAGCGTCTCAAAGTGCTTCACAGAATACACTGTAAAGTGTATATTTTGTGGGAGAAACGCGGAAGCCAATTGTACACGGCAGTGTCCCACAAACAGTCGTGGATTGAGCGATCAAGTTATTATTATTTTTATTTGTTATTTTTTGGTACAGTATTACCCCCGGAAAAGCAATGTAATAAACAACAATTGGGTTCCTTCCTACTGTTGGGTAAACAGAAGCTTGTGCAGTAAGGAAACTTGGCTAATGTAATAATATTCTGGAGTGTTCGCAAATATGGGGTTGGATGTCAAGCATGGGAGAAATAGGAATAGAGAGGACTAAGTCCAAGTATAATTCACATATGCATATGCCACTAGCCTAGGAGATACATTTATTAAGAGCAGAAATTTGTAAAGGGATATAGATAGGTAAGGGAGTGGACATAATACAGAGCCAATAAATAACATAACACGAGAAACAAAATCCACTAATAATATTAAACAGTAGAGTCTCAGAACTCCATCATTCCATCCTGCTCAATCACCTTTTTGCATCATCCATCAACGTGGGACCGCGCTCTCTTGATTCCATTCTTACCTGATCATAGCCTCCACTTTGTCTTTCCTTCCTTCCTCCCCCCCACCCCAAAGAACCCCTCACCCCCTCCTCACCCCGAATGGTCATCTACAGTGTACCTCAGGAGGCTAACCTTGGCACTCTGTTTCCTCATCTACATGCTCCCGTTTGACAATATCATCCACAGACATGGGATTAACTTCCACATCTGTAATTACTACACCCAAATCTACTTTTCCACTTCAACTCAACTCCAGGTCTACTGATGTTCTCTCTATCTGTCTGTCAGACATGAAGACCTGGGCGAACCAAAACTTCCTTCAACTTAATATGAATAAGACAGAAGCCCTCAGCTCTTGCCAACTGCACCTCTTTTCTGATTCCTAACTCCTAAACCTCCCTGGCCTTTCTCTCAAAAGCTCCAAACTAGTGTGCAAAAAAAAAACCTTGGCATACACCAATTTCCAGTTATCCTTTCTCCCTCAAATCCAGTCCGTCACCAAGACTGTATTTCTTCATATCCATCACATTGCCCATCTCTGCCCTATCTCACATGCAATTCTGCTGAAACACTTACCCACATCCTATCTCAACAACAACAACAACAAGATTCCATTTATAAAGAATATAAATATCGGCACATCCCGCTTAGTATTTGCCAATATGCTCCTCAATGGTCTCCCTATCAACACCAATCACTAGCTGCAACTTATCCAAAACTTCACCGCCTGCATCCTCACCCAGACCAAACTCCACACAACCATCATCCCAGGCCTTGGTAGTCTCTACTGTCTCCCAATGGATTGATTTCAAGCTCCTCACCCTCCCCTACAAATCAATCCAATCTTTGGCATCCCCTTATCTCTCTGATCTCCTAACCTAATCTTTCACATGCTCCCTTCAGTTCCTACAGCCCTAACATCTGGAACTACTTCTCTTTTCCACTCCATCTCATCTACTCTCTTTCGGTCTTTTAAGTCCTGCCTCAAATCCTACCTCTTTGAAAATGCTTTAGCCTCCTCCCTCTCTCTTGCTTGGTGGACAAACCCATCTCAGTGAAGCATTCTGAGAAGTTATCCTTCATAAAGAACTCGATGATAAATACAAGTTGTTGTTGTAGAATAAATCTTACAAACAATCCAAAGCATTTGATGAGGCATAATGGCTTGAAGGAAGTGAAAATATCAGGTTTCAAGAACAAATTCTATTCTTGAGTCTAGAAAGAAATTCATGCTAATTATGCATATGAAAGCTACTATTCAACTGTATAACGAAGCATTCTCCACACAAAATTGCTCCTAATGTTCACAAAATTAATTTGGATAAAGAAATAATAAAAATAATAACAGTTGCATTTGCTATAGTGTCTTATCACGTCTTCAAGACATCTCAAAGCGCTACACAAAAATATACTGTAAAGTGAATTGAATGTATATTTTGTGGGTGAAACGTGGCAGCCAATTGTGCAAAGAAGTGTCCCACAAACAGTCGAGGATTGAGTGACCAAATTATTATTACTATTATTTTGAAGGGATTATTTACTCCTGGAAAAGCGATCCGTCAATTGACTAACAATCGGATTCCTACTTAACGCGAGATAAAAATAGGCATATGGAATAAGGAAACTTGCCTAAGGTTTTGGCCTGCCCGGAAATCCTCTTTGACACTTCTGCTTTGAAGACTGAAGAACCATACCTTATCCAATTGTTTCTCATGACTCATTCCTCTAACGCTTCGTATCATCTAGATGAGTCAGCCTGGCTCAGTCGGTAGACTCACCTCTGAGTCTGAAGGTTGTGGGTTCCAACTCCAAGTTGGGACTTGAAACTCACAGTAAATGCTGACAAGCCAATGCAGTGCTGGGGGTGGATTGCATTGATGGAGGTGCTGCCCTTCAGATGAGATGTTAAATTGAGGCATTGAGGCATCCTCTCGACGTGAGAGACGCTGTATCAAATGTAAGGATTATAACTGTTCTCATTGTTCTACTTTACAGCACCTATAGGGCTTGGGCCACTACCCTTTGGGAAGGATGCTTAATAAATGCAAGTTGTTGTTATGCTGTATGCAGTACTCTATGTCCTACCTCACCAGCACACTGCAGCTCGAGTACTCCATCTAGGGATTTGAACCCCAAGATTTGGCAATATAGCCCAGAATCCTTTTTGCCTTATTTATAGCTGCCTCACACTGTTTTGACACTGCAAATCCCTCCAGAGTCTTGTCCCCCCCCTGTGCAAAATGGCAGCCGCAATCTCCCACAAAATACACAATCACTGGACTTCAGTATACCCTGTGAAGCACTGTGAGACAACCTCCCAATATAAAGGGCACTTCATAGAATCATAGAATTATACAGCACAGAAGGAGGCCATTCGGCCCATCGTGTCTATACCAGCTCTTTGAAAAGAGCTATCCAATTCAATCCCACTCCACACAGTCTCTCCCCACGGCCCTGCAAACTTGTCCTCCCCATATAATTATTTACTTTTCTCTTAAAAGTCGTTATCGAATCGGCTTCCAACCCCTTTCAAGCAATGCATTCCAGATCCGAACAACTCACGGTGTGAAAAAATTTCTCCTCACCTCCCCTGTTTCTTCTAACAACTATTTTAAACCGGTGTCCTCGGATTACCAACCCACTATAAGGATAATTAATTAATTATAAACTCTTTTAAGAACAGCAGAAAGACAACTTCCGATTTAATGCTATACTTCAGAATTCTCCACTCACTATGTGCAGAAATAAAACACATTGAATATGAAATGACGTGACTTCCCTCAATATGGCAGAGGGCAGCCTCTTTCTACACTAAGATGGCTGTCTGTTGTTTTGAATACTCCATTAAGAAAGAATGTGTACCCTGAATAAGTTAACTTTTCTAATTTATTTTTGAAAGTATAATTTTCGGGTTTCTTCTGTAGAAAAAGGGAAAATCAAGGGGGAAAATAATTTGATGGAGAATAAAACAGATATGTTTTGTGGTGAAAAATATCTATCACTGATTTTCTGCTCATTGTTGAAGGGAACTGATCAGAGAACTCAACAGTCCAACTCCAAACAGCTTTCACTCGCGGATCACTAGTAACAAACGTAACCAATTCGGGTGCGAAGTAACATAGTTCAACACCAAAAAGACTCCTAAATCACACTGAGGTCATACCAAAGCCTCCTGCTTGTCCTTCGTGCTCTCCGTTCCACTGTTGGTGGCCCCGAAACTCTGGAACACTCTCCCTCTAACCCTCCACCTTTCCCCATTCTTTCCCATCTTCAGGTAGCGTATTCTTTCCCATCTTCAGGTACCTTCCTCTTCAACCGTGTTTATAGATTTTTAAGAAACGTTCGCTAAAACATTCATGTATTTATAGTGAAACTGGGTAAAAGCAGACTTTAAAGATACCTAGGAATCTCAGAGCAGAAGTGTCAAGTCTTTGTGATCCTGATTTTGCTTCCTTCCGATTTTTTCCTCAGTTGTTTCCACTTGTCGTTTGTGAAATGCAGATTAGTGGCTATTCCCCTGCAGAACAAAGTTATATATAATGTACAATACAAACTTACTTTTATACAGCACTTTAAACAGTGGCAATCTGTCCTAAGGCCCTTGCCAGTCCTGCTTTGGCACCTGAGCTGGGGGTGGGAGGAGCGGGTGGAGAGATGAAAGATGACCGTAGGTGCAGTCAAAGAGGAAGGACTTGAGACGGACCCTTAAAAGTGGTGAGTGAGAGAGCGAGTTGGAGGGACTCTGGGATGGAGTCATCATCCTATTTTTTCACTGTGTTAAGATGTTAGGTTCCACCTGACATGTGATTAATAATAATAATCCTTGCATTTGATATAGCGCTTTTCACGTCTTCTAGACGTCCCAAAGCGCTTCACAGAATATACTGTAAAGTGAATTGACTGTATATTTGTGGGCGAACGCGGCAGCCAATTGCGCACAGCAATGTCCCACAAACAGTCGTGGATTGAAAATGACCAATTTATTATTGTTTTGTTTTGGAGGGATTATTATTAGGCTCTGTGTGGAGTAAGGAAACTTGCCCAAGGTTTCGCCCTCCGCCTGGAATTGAACTCAGGTCTCTCACTTGCAAAGCGAGTGCTCTAACCACTGAGCTACAGGACTCCACTGATTAAGGTACATGTAGAGGGCCCACCCTGCCATTTCCATTTCAAAGAAAACTTGGGAGTCTTTCTCCTGGTTCATCTTCTTCTCCTAATCCAAATGTGTCCCCAAATTCAAATTAATTTGGCTGCTCTTCTCATTGTTCCTTGTGGGACACTCCATAAAGAACTGCTTTGAGACATCGATGTGATGAGGCCTCATATCAAATGGAAGGATTATTATTATTATTATTTGTATTGTTATTATTATCCCCATCTCTCCACCATCGGCGCACGTGCTTTCAGCCGCTACGCCCGAAACTTTGAAACTCTGCCTGGCCGCCTCCGTCCCCTCATTCAGAGGGCAGACACCTGAAGACCTTCCTCTTCCACTGCGCTTACTCTCTCCCGCTGGCTCGGCGTTGAGCTCTGCCCGGTTGAGCTCCACAAGCTGCTGCTCCCGAGCGAAGGGCGCTAAACGGATGCAAGTAGTAGTAGTGGTGGTAGTAGTAGTTGTTGTTGTTGTCAGACACCGAGCGAGTGCGGGTGAGCGTCACGGCCTGTGTCCCACCGTCCAACGCAGCCGGAGGACCAGCACTCCTCCTGCGCCAAAGATCAGCGGCCAAACGAGAGAGAGAAAGAGAGCAAGAGTGACCCCCCCCCCCCCCCCCCCCGCACCACCCCCCCACCCCACCCACTCTCACCTCAGCCCCACACACAGCCCTGTGACAGCAGAGTCACAGGAGACAGCACTTGGGCAAAACCCCCGGGAGCTTCACACCCAATCAGATTTGTTTGTTTTACTACAACAACAACAACAACAAGATTCCATTTATAAAGCGCCTTTCACGTCAGGAGGACGTCCCAAGGCGCTGTTACTACAACAACAACAACAACGACGACGACAACAGAATTAGACTTGTACCGCTACAGTGAAATTCGGTTGATTGAATACCGGACAATTGAATAATTTGCTGTGCGGAATAGAATTTAGGAATCCCAAAGCAATTGCACGTCTAATCTGAGAATGTAGATCGGGTCATTTAAAATCAGATATACGAGTCATTTGGTTTATCCCACAATGTTTCCGGTGACCATTCATATCAAACCATTTAATCCGAGGGTAGATCAGGAATCCTGTAGCGAATTGGGTAGAGCGCTCGCCTCGCAAGCGAGGACCTGGGTGCGATTCCCATGCGGGGTAAAACCTCAGGCAAGTTTCATTACTCCACATGCCTCTAATTACTCAGCAGTAAGTAGGAACCCGGTGCGAGTCGGTTGGCGGATTGCTTTCTGGGAGTAATAATCCCTTCAAATAATAATAATAATTTAGTCATTCAATCCACTGCTGTGTGCAATTGTGCATTTTGCCCACAAAATGTAGTCAATCCACTTTACGGTATATTCTGTGAAGCGCTTTGAGACGCCTCAATGACGTGTAAAGCGCTGTATGAAATGCAAGGATTATTATTTATTATTGAACTCGCATAGCCCGAGCTGACACTAATAATATAATAATCATGCCGTCCTCAGGGTGTGCTTTATTGTCAGATGTTAAACTGAGATTCCATCTGCCTGCTAAGTGTACAATAAGGATCCCATGGTATTATTTGAAAAGAGAAGGGAGTTTCTCCCGATATTCTGGCTATTAATCCCCAAGTATATTTGGTCATTTATTTCATGGCTGTGTGTGGGACATTGCTGTGTACAATTGGGCTTCCAAATTTGCCTACAAATACACAATCACTGCACAGTAAATCCTGTGAAAAGCTTTGGAATGTCCTCTTAACATGAAACAACAACAAGAACAACAAAATTACATTTATAGAGCGCCTTTCACGTCGGGAGGATGTCCCAAGGCGCTGGACAGTCAGGGGTCAGGACCCGAGCATTGGGAAGGGGTGGGGTAGGGGTGAGGGAAGGCAGAGAGGTGGGAGGGCGACCGGTGAAAGTCACTAAACCAATTGCAAGGATTAATAGGATTATTATTGATCTATGCAAAATTGGCTTATGCATTTACCCAATACACACATACCACTTTACAGTATATCCCGTAAAGCACTTTGAGTCAGTACTTGGTATAGAGTAGACTCTATACCAAGTGTAAGTATTATTATGTGTCAGAGACTCACTTTCCAAAAATAATTGACAACACGAAAATAGAGAGAGCAACAAAAATAACTTTGGAGCAAGAGGATTGCAAAATAATTTAGATTGGTTGTGCATTAGGCTCAGCAAGATACATTCCAAGTGAAGTTTAACATTGGTAAATGTAAAGTACAACAACCACAACAACAAAAAACTTTATATTTATATAGCACCCTTTACGTGGTGTAGTGTCCCGGAGCGCTTCACAGTGGTGGAGTCTGACAACGAGCCATGGGAAGAGGAACGGGGGGAAGGTGACCTTAAGCACGATCAAAAAGGAAGATCTTACTCATAGACTGGAAAAATGTGTGACACACTGTATAATATAGAAAAAATAGAAACACAGAAACAAGGGTAGGCTATTCAGACCCTTGAGCCTCTTCCTACATTTTATAAGATTATGGCTGATCTGTACCCCAAGTCCAGTTACCTGCTCTTGCCCCATATTACTTAATACCCTGACCTAACAAATATCTATGTACCTCCGCCTTGAAAACGTGAATGGATCCAGAATCCACAACCTTTTGGGGAAAGAGTTCCAGAATTCCACTACTCTTTGGGTAAAAATTTTACTCCTAAATGGCCTAGCTCTAATTTTAAGATTATGTCCCCTTGTTCTGGATTCACCCACCAGAGGAAATAGTTTATCTGTATCTACTCTAAATGAATCTCTTTATATTTTAAATATCTCAATTAGATCACTCCTCAACCTTCTGAACTCAAGGAAACAGGTTTATTTAACCTGTCCTCATAATTTAACCCTTTAAGCCTTGCTATCAACAACAACAACTAAATTACATTTGTAAAGCGCCTTTCACATCGGGAGGATGTCCCAAGGTGCTTGGACAGTCAGAGTTTCGGAAAGCAGAGTGATCAAAAGCACGGTTGAAGAGGAGGGTCTTGAGATGGGTCTTGAAGGAGGCAAGGGAGGGGGCAAGGTGGAAGGACTGCAGGATGGAGTTCCAGAGGGTGGGGACAGAGTGGCAGAAGGCGCGTCCGCCAATGGTGGGGTGGGCAAGGTGGGGGAAGTGAAGCAGGCCGGAGCCTGCTGAACGGAGGGAACAGAAAGGATGGTAGGGGGTTAGGAAGTCGCAGAGGTAGGGGGGAGCAAGACCATGAAGGGCTTTGAAGGTGAGAACCAGGATCTTGAACTGTATCCGCTGTGTAATGGGAAGCCAGTGGAGTCAAGCGAGAATGGGGGTGATAGGGTCACGGAGCCTGGTGCGGGAGAGGACATGGGCTGCAGAGTTCTGGATGATCTGCAGCCTGTGGAGGGAGGAGTTGGGGAGGCCGACAAGCAAGGAGTTTGCATAGTCAAGCCTGGATGTTATGAATGCGTGTATGAGGGTTTCAGAGGCCTACAATGAAAGACAGTGGTGGAACCGGACAATGTTGCGGAGGTTGAGAAAGGCAGAGGGGTTCATGGCACGGATGTGGGGTAGAAAGGATAATTTAGGGTCAAACAAAACGCCAAGGCTCTGGACTGGCTTATTAAGGTGAAGTGTGCATCCATGGATAGTGATGCTGTCAGCCCCTGAGGTGTAGGGCCAAGGACAGAGAGAGCCCTGAGGAACGCAGCACGAGACGATGCGGGGGCTAGAGGAGAAACCATTTGCGGAAATGAAGATGAGTTGGTGTGAGAGGTGTGATCTGAACCAGTCAAGGCCAGAGCTGTGAAGATTGAGGTGAGAGATGAGAGGGGGTGGAGGAGGATACTGGTCAATGGTGTTGAAGGCAGTAAAGAGGTCGAGGACGAGGAGGCAGAGGGATCCCTGGTCGCAGATGGACAGAATGTCATTTGTCACTTTGTGCTGTGGGCGGCACGGAAACCTGATTGGAGGGGTTCGTGAAGGGAGTGTCGGGAGAGGAAGGAGCAAAGCTGGGAAACAACAACTCTTTCCAGGACCTTGAGAAGAAAGGGGAGGTTGGAGATGGGGTGGTAATTTGAGAGCAGTGATGGGTCCAGGGAGGGTGTTTTAAGGATAGGAGTGATGACGACTGCTTTTAATGGGGTGGGAACAGTACCAGTTGTTAGATTATACAAGTTGTAGTCTAATAATAATGAACATTAAACAAATGTAGAATGGAGAAAGTACTGACGGTCATGGGATAGGAGACATCTGTTTTTCTCGGTTTCTGAAAGAATAACAAGACAGCTTTGAAAAAGGGCATCGGGTCACCACTTATCAGTAAATAACAACAAGCCCACAGAGGTAACGGTCCAAAGTACCGGTCGACACAGGATCTTGACTTAGCAATAAGTCGCTAGATTCTGACAGGGTCTGCCAAACGACAAAAGGCAACCCTCAAGAATAGCAACTAATGAGCAAGTTGTTTAAACTAGAGGGCCTTGGTACCATCCTGGGATACTGATAAGAAATAAACAGTCACTTAAAAGGAATATACTAATGATCCCACATAACAAAATAACAAGCACCAGATACAACCCTAAACTGATCAATCTCCTAATTTAGACAGGACAAAGGGAAGACCTCGTGCAGACTCAGTCAGGCACCAAGCCAAATGATTGATTAACCTGAGTAAGTGACAGTATCAGAAGTGGGTAGAGGGGCCCTAGAAAGGACACTTGGAGAAAGAGTATAACTATGGCACTCTAGGTGAGAGCTGTTAGAAGAACAGGAAGGCTCCAGAGAGAGAGAGAGAGACCAGTGTGGAGAGGTCCCCTTAAGAATCACAAGGAAGGTGTTCCGTGACGTTGTGTGACTGTCTTCAAAGACTGGTAGTATAATTTGTTAGACATTTGTAGTAACTTGTTAATGCATGTTGTGTTCACTCTGTTCATACTAAACCTTGCTACACCATATTTGGATTGTCGAGTCATATTTCAAACTACGGGATCGGAAATCCCAACTCAGTGGACAGGGAGAGGTTTATGATGTCTGTGAGTAGACATGGAGGTGGAGCTGGAAGGTAAGGAGGGGTAGGGATGGTGTCGAGGGAGCAGGTGGTCGGTTTCATGTGGGAATGAGAAATAGAGTTGAGTGTCATCCGCATGCATGTGGAAGTTAGCTCCGTTTCTGCGGATGACATCACCAAGAGAGAGCAGAGGAAGAGAAGGGGTCCAGGGATGTAGCCTTGGGGTACTACACAGGTGATCGGCGGGGTGAGAAGAAAAAACATTTGCAGAAATGTAGTGCTGGCAGTTTGTAAGGTAGGACTCGAACCAAACGAGTGCGGTCCCACTGCTTTGGACGATGGAGGAGGGAATGGAGAATGGCATGATCGAATGTGGTGGAGAGGTCCAGGAGGACGAGGAAGCAGAGAGAACTCTGGTCACAGATAGAAAGGACATCATTTGTGACTTTCACGAGTGCTGTCTGTGGGCAGGGCGGAAACCGGACTGGAGGGGTTCGAGTAGGGAGTAGAGGGAGAGGTGTGCGCGAAGTTGGTTGGCAACAACGTGTTCCAAAGCTTAGGCCAGGAAGGGCAGGATTGAGATAGGGTGGTAGTGCCCGAGGTTGGAGGGGTTGAGAGTAGCTTTTTAAGGAGGCGGGTGATGATGGCAGTTTTGAGGGGGAGTGGGACTGATCCTGAGAAGAGTGTTGGTACTTAGAAAGACTTCCCTCATCGTATCGTAATCAATGAACAACCTGACAATCCCAAGTGGGTGTAATGAAGGTTTATTGTAATATAAGCAGAATCATCATACAACATGTATTGCAAGCAATAATTACAGAATCAAGACCATATTACCCGGTTCTTGGACCCTGGGCATACTTAGGGTGGAGAGGAGTGCAGTGACCCCTCGGCACCTGGAGCTGCGTCTCCTTCCGCTTTGTCCCTTCTCGAACTACTGCGTTGATTCTAATTTTTGGTTCACCCTTTATAGTGTTAAATCATATTTTACTTTGCAACAAGCATTGCCCCTTTATCATATGTATTTTCCCTCCCAAATTAGATGTTCCTCACGTGTTTGTTCCTTATCTTGTTTTTGAGCGATACTGCACAGCCATTATAAGATAAAAACCACATGACTCGGGGTCACAAGGCCATATAACTTCTCCACTCTTGTGATCACCAGTTCCTTATATGGACTTGTTATTGTCATATTTGTCGTGGGGTAGGGGACATAGGGCAGGAGGATGATGCTACCAGGTGGATGTTTTCTATTTTACAGATAAGGAAGACCATGAACTCTTCACACATGCCGTTTGATGTGATGATTGGAGGTGCTTGAGGGGGCGCATGGAGGAGGTGCTGGGTGGTGGAGAATAGGATTTTGGAGTTATTTTTGGCCTCCAGAATGAACTTTGAGCAGTGTGCAGTTTTTGCTTGCGAGAGGGAGATGTGAGGGTACGCGAACCACAGCTGGTGGTGAACTGTGAGGCTGGTTTTCTGCCAACTGCGCTCGAACAACCGGGTTTGTGATTTCAGGGAGCAGAGATGGCTCTTGTACCAGGGGGAGCGGGGGGATTTGGAGACAGTTGTGGGGAGGGATGAGGTTGGAGAGATAGGAAAGTGCCAAGGCGTAGAGGGATTTGAACACTAGAGTGAGGATCTTGAAGTTGATCCTCTCTGTGACGGGGTCCTGGATTTCAGAGGGACAAGGGAGTTGAACATAGAGAAGAGACAATCGTGGAGCAGCTTGACGGCTGCATCAGGGTCGCTGTTGGTGGAAGGCGAGAGGGAGAGGAGACCTAAGGATCAGAGGGCATTTGTGAGGGTCTCGGGGGAAGCCTTTTTCATGGGCGGAAAAGGATGGTGGAGGGCTTGATGAAAGGGAGAGGGATGCGAGGAGAGGGAAACGAGGAAATGGTCTGAGATGTCCATGATGGACAGACTGGAGATATCTAAGCCATGGGTGATAACGAAGTCCAGAGGGTGGGCACAGTTGCAGGTTCGGGGAGTTTATATGGAGGGTGAAATTTAGGGTGGAGAGGAGTGCAGTGAAGTCAGAGGAAGTGGGGCAGTAGAAGTTGAGATGAAGGTTGAAATCACCGATGATGAGCAGGCGTTCAGTGTAGAGGGGCAGGGATGAGAGAAGAGAGGAGATGTCCGTGAAGAAGGAGTTAGGAGGTTTGGGGGGCAGTACACAAGGAGGATTTTGAAGGAGAGCGAGTAGGGATGGGAGAGGTGCTTGAAAGGCTTGGGGACCTCAGTGTGCATTATACATTAGAATACATTAAAATATGCAGCACAGAAACAGGCAATTCGGCCACATGAGCCTCCTCCTGCCCTTCCTCAACTAAGCCTTCAAGCATAACCTTCTATTCCTTTCTCCCTCATGTACCTCTCTAGCTTTCCCTTAAATACATCTATGCTATTTGCCTCAACAACTCCTTCTGGTAGCATGTTCCACATTCCCACTACTTTCTGTGTGAAGAAATTTCTATTTGATCTATTTGTGACTATTTAATATTGATGGCCCCTGGTTTTGGTCTCCCCCATAAGTGGAACCATCTTTCCTATGTCTACCCTAACGAAACCTTTCATCATTTTAAAGATCTCTATCAGGTCACCCCTTATCCTCCTATTTTCAAAAGAAGGTCCAAGTATGTTCAGCCTTTCCTGGAAGGTATAACTTTGGTGCTTTAGGGCTCAAAGCAATAGTTTTATTGGTAATGGATTGCTTCTATAAATCATCCAGTAGCAATGAAGGCAGCAGGAGATTTCTGACCATAATTATGTTTTTTTTGTTTGTCTTCCTCTGTAGCAATATTCATAGATCGTTTATATCCATTTGTTTATATTGGGTATCTTTCATTCATTCTCTTTTATTCATCGTCTCTTGAATTGTAAAGCTATCCATTATCAGCCATTATAAAGTAGTGCAATGAATTACTATGATGTGGTTGTAATCTGATGTATATCTTCAACTTCAGATAGACTAAGTATCTAATTATTACAGCAAACTCCCCTATACAGCAAATGTTACTCCCCTGTACAAAAACAGGCAGAAGGATAAACCCAGGA